AACGAAACAAGGACGCTTTGTCTACAGCAAACACGATACGGGCGAGACGGGTCACGCTCAAGACGAGGCTTGCAAGGCTTGTAAGGCGTATGTAAAGCTTAGCTGGGCGTGGAATAACAGAGCATGACAAAAGACAACATAGGTTTCGATATATTCTTGGATTATATATTGCGGCTGGGTTCAATGGATATGGCTGGAGGGTTATGGAGGAGGGAGGTGTCACATCCGAGTGTGCTAGCTACCAGCTACCTTTAGGTACCTAACCTAAAATACATGTCTGTTCATAAACAGCAGACAGTAGGATAAATAGAATAACATAAATTAATCCTAAGAAGGAAAAGAAGAAGATGAAAAGCTTTTGAGTGATGGTTTGAGCTAGCCTACCTGTTAGTATTAACCTTTTTTTCGTCTTTCACATTCCAGTGTCCCACATTGTCCATTTTCCTCTTCAACTGATACCAAACACTCGCAAGTCGACCGATGAAAAACCTTTTATACAAGGCTACGAGACTTGATACCGCTAGGTGAAAATATGATGTTCTAAAACGCACGTTGCTTGCTTGCTTGCTATCTATGAGATCTCTTTGTCGACGTGCGGTAGGTAGTGTGTAAACGTCTCCACGTGTCTATGAAGCGTGGAATTCTCGAAGTAACAAGGGGGTCACAAAACTTGGAGCTACGAGGGGAGATGAAGTGATGAAGTGATGAAGTGACGTAGGTACCTAATCGAATGGGATCGATTAACTATGTTTCCGATCCTTTCGATTAAGTCAGCCTACTACGTATGTATTAAGCCCAGGACATGGAGCCGAAGACTAGGTGGGGCCAAGGGAAACCAGCACGGGGACCGATGGAATGTAAAGATTTGAGTGTTTTTGTTTTTTCTTTTTCGAAAAAAAAAGAAAAGAAAAGAAAATCAGTGTTCAAGTTCGTTGTTATACTACATTGGGAAGACCGAGTGAAGGGGGTGGGCGAGTGACATAACAAACCCCCAGTGTTCAAACAAAGGGTACAGTCAACAGTAACAAAGGTACTTACACAACAAATATATAGCCTCATTTTTTTATCTCGACCTTTTCGTGCGTATCCATCTATCTACATAGTAACAAGTGAAGACAAGGATGTAAAATACGTTTCTACGGCCCGCGTAGAGAAGGCAAGTAAATCGGCTCGTTAGCTGTCCCCGGGAACAGAGGAGGGGTGGCGGGCCTTCTGGTGGCGCGTATCAATTACACTTACGGTGGAAGTTGAATGTTGACTGTTGAGTAGGTATTCAATCGACTGACTCGGCAGATTGTCACCTTGCCTTTACTTCACGCGATAGTTTAACCATAATTTGGATCTGGCAGGTACATTACATAAGTATGTAACCGTCAACTTGCTCGACATTCTATTGCGCTTTCAATATTCAACTTCATTTTGGTCACATAAGGTACCTAGGGATATGTTCTCATGTTGTTAATCTGTCGTTCTTCGTCCTTATACTAAGTTACGTATAATTACGACGTATGAAAACGGGCAGATGAGATCAGAGGCGACCGTTCGGGAGACCCACGTTAGTGATCAGAAGAAGAAGAACAACAACAAGAAGAAGAAAACATAGAAGCCGGGGGGCCATGTCAAGGTGACAACACATCGTTCACAACGTTCGTGGAAACGTGAGAAGTGGGCGAGCAAGGGGTGGTGAAGAGCCTGTCGTGCTTTCCCACTATGTGGCTTAGGTATTCCACCTTGCCTATATGTATCAACTGTAGATTACAGCTAGAGGAAGTAGGAATATTCGAGAACCATTGTAATATGGACAGGTTGTGAACAAGATCAATACCTACCCTCCGTTCTGTTGTATACATTCATGTGTATAATTGCGAGTTCTGCGTTTTGTTACCTACCTACTTTCAGTCTAATAAAACCTGGTATTGACTCATCCACCATAAAGCCCAAGTCAGCAACCTAAACCCTTCTTTTTCTTGGCCCGTTGGATCAGCCCAGTTCTGGATCAAGGCAGGTCAGGTAGACATGCGTTGTTGAGGTCGGCTTACGTGCTGTGCGTACCGTACACCACTGCGTGCGTTGTGATCAACGGGCACACAGCATTAAGGTTGGCTGCCGCGTGTACTGTGTTCTACTAACTGTGTAATTTTGGTTTGTGATGGGTTCATTGGTAGGTACTTCCTATATCAAGCGTATGGTCGCCAAAGATTGGTTAGTAGAAAACATTCGAGGTCACCTGTCTCGTAGAATATCTCGACTCTCCATCGTGCTCTACCATTCCAACGTCAACATCCAGTTTCCAGAAAGTGTGAGATGAACGGGTCACTGGAAGCAGTTAACGTCAAAGGTACCTAGAAATTCACGAGTGTACATTGCTAAAGGAATCAAGTAAGGAACTGCGTAGTGTGACATGTGTTTTGGCCAACAAATAAATTGCCTTCAGCTTGTGCTACATACCAATTTTACCTTTCTTAATGCCGGCCTCCGTCCTCTTCGAGATCCACGATCCATCCCGTTGTACTCTCCTCAGCTATTTGCGCTGTCTTGGTACCTTGGCCTCCTTTGTAACGCCTAAAACACGAGAAGGATTGAGAAACAAGAGCACGCACCGTGGAACACAGCACAGTGTTTGATGTACACACCAAGTATCGACGTGCGATGTACCAGAGTGCAACCCATCCTTGACAATGTAACTTTCCCCAGACTCGCACAACGGCTGGTTTCCCACCGAGCTGTGGCTGGCCTGCGCAGGATGAAGAATGAAGGAGGATACTGTGCTGTATGTCGCCTAGCTGCATGGCGAGGAAGAGATGCGATGAGAAAATGTGAGTATCGCTTGACAACACATCCTTGGAGCCCCTAGGCAAGCTTCCGGACCCTTATCCGCGATATTGAAGAGGAAGGGAGGGGGTCCAGCGACAATTTGTGGACATCCGCTGTACTTGAGACTCGAAAATGCCTGCTGAGCAGGGCAGAACATCAATGTTCCCAGTGCCGTCGTCCACGAGAATTGTCAGTATAGTAGCCGATCGTCCTCGATGTTCTATCCCCCAATCTTACCCACAACCAGTCTACGATGGATACAAAGTAGTCCACGAGATAGTTGCCACCCCCAATATCCCTTTTGGATCTTTTACGGAACGAGGATTTAACGCTGACAATCATCATCAACCTTGTGAAGAATCTGCTTCGCTTATTGAGCCGAAGAAGAAAGGGTAAGGTTAGAAAAAGCGTTGCACATTGTAACAAGAGCACAAGCCTGATAAGGCAAGTGGGCAAGTAGATGGACGATGGGCTAGTGGAGCCGAGTGAGGCTCTTGGACTCGCTGTAACCTGACCTCCTGAGTCTTCCAATGAAATACCCCCACCTGCCGAGAACAAACAATGGGATGGATGCAGGTACTCCATTCGCAACACACCACCGCAGCCAGTTGCCGATCGAGGGATGGCGGGATGTGCGGGAGTGATAAATGGACTGGATGTCTTTGGCCACCTGTTCGTCTTCGGCTGCCCATAGGCGTGACAGGTGGGATAAGCGGGACAGACGGGACGGGAGGAGGGCACCTGGCATATGGTAAGGCGACAAACACACCTCAGCTTGCATGCCTGCTCGCAGCCCACTGTGACTTGCACCGGCCCGGCATCGAGGGTTGACGAGAGCCAGTAAACTTGTCCGGTTTGTATGCGTCCACTCGGGATCTCGACCCCATTGTCTGACGTGAGAGGGCAGTGACACCGAAGGATCGGGAGCCGGCGCCGGCACCGGTAAACATTAGCTCTGAGTGGTGATAGGTGGTGACTTGTGAATGGAAACACGCCTGGAAGTGGGTTAACACGTAATCATTCACGAAGAGACACCTGGGTGGAAGATCTGCCCAGCCAAATGGTCATGGCCTGGAAGAGAAGAAGGAAAAAAAAAAAAAAAAAAAAAAAAAAAAAAAAAAAAAAAAAAAAAAAAAAGAAAAGAAAAAAGAAAAAGAACCAAGTACCCGTTGGGGAGGGGTCCAGGTTTCAAGCAAAGCAAAGAAAGGAATCTGACTGGCAAGAGAGCACTGTAAAGAGCGGACCCCTCCTTTCGAGTCTGGGCAGACGGGTAGGTGCATTATCACCCTCATCACTCCCGCTTATGACCAGCAACCATCCAGCAGTGCTAGCATTGATACCACAATGGCTTTATGTTCAGGCATGGCAATAGGGATGACAGTATAAGCAGATAAATGCCGTGTTTTGTGGTGTAAATGGTTGTCGCTTGTGGAGTTGAGACGGTTGTACTCGTTGTCAACACTCGACCACCTTGAAGAGATTGCAGGGACAAAACAAAAACCCGAGCAGTGTCAGGAATGACGAGAATTCAATTGTATCATGACAGGGGCGACGCACCTTCCATTTTTGCTCGTGGCAATATACATCATGATACTCTAATGTGAAGTGGAGGGTAGGATCGACTCTGGAACTTTCTCCGCGTATGAAGCAACCACGGATCACAAAGTCTGCTATGACGTATTAGGGTAGGTCAGGTCAGTGTTGGGCAGGGCGGCCGACGATAGACCACACACGATGGCGTGCAGGGCCGCCGCGGTAAATGCAATCCCCTTTTTCCTAATCCCTTCTCTCTTCCTCTCTTCCTCTCCGCGAACGACCATGGGTGATGGATGACACTTTACACACGGCGGCTGGCGAGCCCGTCCCCGGACTAGTTTCAACCGCTGCAGCCGTGCTGCAACCTGCTGCGGCCGGCAACCCTCATTCGTCTCCTCAAATCCTTCTAGATTCATGCCGAAGAAGGTAGACTGCCGTGGGTGTCTAGCTATGTCTTCTCCAATCGACCGGCCGAAACTACCTGAGCCCCCGTCAACTGGCACTCCAAGACACAACTTTCAGTCTTTGGCCGAGACATTCACGAATCAGGGGCAGTCGCTTCAGACTGGAGGTAAAGGGAAGGTTCTTCCCATACTCGGTCGTGGATTCGGGTTAAGGTACACTGTTCATCTTTATGATTGGGTTTCTTGCTATTCAATCAAGGCGTACACCGCGTACAAACTGAGACTGACAAACCTTGGGGGGTTCTTTTGACCGGCGATAGATGCGAGCGCTATGCTACACCGCTTCGCTTTCGTTGACAACGTGCCTGACATTTGTTTATGTCTGTCATACACTCGGAATAATCCAACTTACCATATTCTTTCGCTTGAAACATCCCATTGTCCCATTGGACTAGAATCATTCAAAGTCTTATGCAAAAGCGTTGTTGATGAAAGGTCCCGTGTCGAGCTGTGTGTGCACTTAGCTACTCGATCTAGGACCGAATCAACAAAGAGAGCGATCGGTTCAGGATCCGATCCAGATCGACTGACTCAAATATTCGGCCCCAACCAACCAGTGTCAACAAGAAACATGGCAGAAGCTCTGTCATGTCTCACCAGACAGCCATGACAGGACCCTGCTTGCTGATCCATTCGAGCCATCAACCTTGTATCCCTCAATGGAAATGTAATATTCATCGTGGTCATCTGCAATCTTCCCATCATGGTCTCTGCGATTGGCAAAGACGGCAGAAAGGGCGGCTCTTGATCGCCAGGGGGGCCATGTGCTCGGCTCGATCCGACGTCTCACTCTCTTCTTCCGTGGCTTTCCTATATTCTCGCCAATGTTGTTCGGTCTTCTCCTAACGCTTGCCATGTGCATGCGTCGACCGAAAGCAATATTGGTCACGTCTGATCTACGCTCCGATCGCACCTGGGATTTGCGGGAAAGTGTATCCGGACCTGCTAAGCCACTCATCAACTCATACCAGATGAGCCGCTCCATGGTGTGCTTTGAGAGGGCAAGAAGTTCCAGCGAGGCCAACTACTTCCCCGACGGCTTTCACACATAGATTGACAACTATAGATCAGGCTATGGCATCTGGTTTCATGATCACCGGGGACGCAGTGTGTTCCGGACGTAGATTTCATTGCTTCGGTTTGCTTCATACCCAACATCGGCTCGAGACAATTTATCCATCATTCCGAGCCTCTGACTCAAGAGAGCCCCTCACAAAGCTTTGCGCTCCACATACATAACACAGCCAATGTTCCTCCAATTTCCCAACAAAAGCGGTAAGAGTGTCTTCTATGTTCCAAGACAGATGGCGGCTCAGTAAGGTTTGTTAGCCTTGTGCTTCGCTCAACAACGCAGAGTTGTGCTAGATCCAGTGAGGAACTTGTATCACCATGGGAACCTAGAGTACCATGTTTTCTGTGCGCTAGGTTGAGATCGTCCCCGCGGTAATATTTCCTTGAATCTCAGATTTCTCTATATGAAAGAGCACGGAGCTTAGAGTACCTGGCCACCGGACACGGATTGGAAGATCTGCAAGGACCCTGAACACAGGATCTGATCTCGCATTCCTAATACGAACCATCGCTCCAATGGCGTTGTCAAGATGGGGGGAGCAGAGGGGTCCATCGTTTTCTGGGGGCGAGGCGCCACGTCTCAACCTCAACCTCCACATCACTTCGTCAGCTGGGTCTGGAATATACCGCCTCCACGAACATGGCATGATATGAAGTCGAACTACCGGCCGAAGGAGGGGAATGTGGACTTTGATTGACGGCCCGTTACCTCATCTGACTCTTGTCTTTATGGAGGGTCTTTTTCAAATATATCCCAATCCTGGCATCCACGAGGCACGATCGATCAGTGATTTGGTTGCTCCTTCGGCGGTGGCTGCCGCGTGTTATCGTTAGCCCAGTTACATCCGTGTCTGCCCCTATGCATCTAGAAGCACTTTTGAGCTACGAACAATGTCATGTCAACTTGACAACGCCATTCTTCTCGTGGCCCTTGCCATGTACTCCGTCCAAAACGGGGGTCATTAACTGGTTTCTATCCAGGCATGCTTCCTCTTGCAGGATATTGACTGACCTCTCTCCATATTGTCTCAGGGTCCTTTGAACTCACGGTACTGTCATGCATGCATGCAGGCTTCCATAGTGCGCCCGATTTTGTTCATAGACGGAGCGGTGCTAATGATGGGTGGTATTGCAGGTACTGGAAAGTATGAAAAAAAAAGTCAGTAGAACTGTACTGAGTTGGGATAAATAAGGCGATGGAAAGAAGATGGGTACCATACGGTGCTGATACCAAAACTGACGGTAATGTTACCCAAATTTCATAAAGACTTGCGTATCATGTCATGTCAACTTTTTTATAGCCTGTTTCCGGGTAACTAACTGGTGATGCCTTCATGAAATCGTGAGTTGGAATTACTTGGCCATAGTCATATCATTAACAAGATGATCTCTCGTTCCGATTTGGCTAGTAGGCCGCTAAACAAGTCCCCGTTGTCCAGTCTCGGGGGGTTGTGGGTATCTGACCAAACAAAAGAAACATGTTGTGTTGAGAAATACTGTGAACGTAAACGCAAAAGACCACACCAATAACAACAAGCAACCAAGAAAAAAACTCCAAGAAGAATTGATCAAATCATGATATCAAGCATAAACCCTCCCCTCCGTAACCGTCCCCGCCCTCCCGGCCACAGTAAACCCACAATGTCCGATCACCCCCGCCGCTGCTTCTTCAGGGGCATTATTTTGGCCTGCTCCTCCTCCTTTTCCTTCGTCAACCACCCCCCACACCAGCGGCCTTTTCCAAATCTCTGTAGTATCAACAGCAGCAGCACCGACGAGATCACTAAACCCCACGCTCCTACGCTTCCCCCTCCCCTTCTCGTTACTACTGCTAGGGGGTAGTAAGTGACAACGAGCGCTAATAACAGCACTACAACTCCCTCCCGGTAAAGCCATTGGGTTTCCGATAACTGCCCTTGTGTTCTCATTGCCTCCTCCCTCGGATGCTGCTCCCGATGCAGGCGTGAGTTTGCCACTAGGAATAGTAGTAACTGGTGAGGAGGAGGATGAGATAAAAGACTTTGGGGGAGAAGAAGAAGAAGTCCTGAGCCCCAGCAGCAAAGTAAATACCAAAAGCAAAACCAGGAGGGCGAGGAGGGTAGTTAAGGCTCCGCCGCTTGTGAAGAGGGCTGTTACTTCCTCCTCTTTTCCTACTTCTGTCTCTGCTGCTGTGGCCACTGAGGATGATGATTCTGTGTGTAAACTCCCGAGACTCTGACTCGCGACAAAACCCATGGCGGAAAAGAGGACCAATAAAAACCAAGAGACGGGTCGGGGAAGGGTGAGGTAGAGAGAAGTCGTTTGTGAGCTGTCGGGGTCGATGTCGAGGGCGGAAGAGGATACGCGGAGCGGTTGCGGTTGCGGTTGCGCATTGGGACCATGACGGCCGTGGTGGCTAGAATAGAATAAGGAGGATTCGTGAGAGAGGAAATAAGTCGTTAGAAGCGGGTTGATGGCGAGATAGAGTGCTGAGAGGAGGAGGTGTGGAAGAGAGGAGAGAATGGTGGCTGCCCAGGCTGGGAGGATTGTTGGTTGGTTGAGGGAGATGAGCGGTTGGTTTGGCGCCGGTGAGTAAGAGTCCCGGTCTGGGAAGATTAAAGGGTTATTCCCAAACGGCGAAAGGCCGTTTCCATCATGCATGATGGAAAGCGCCAGGGCAGCTGCTGTAGCTCCCGCGCAGATAACCCATACTAATCCCGTGATGATCCAGCGTGGCAGAGAGGGGGCGTGAAGCCAGTAGTGTCGTTTGGGCACCCAGTGCTTGGGTTGGCACGCTTCGGAGGCCCAGTTCCCTTGCTTGACGTCGTCTTTGGAAAGGAGGCAAGCGCCTTGGGTGATGGAGTCGGGATCGATGAGAAAGGAGGCGATGGTGTCTCCTAGGGTGGCAAGGGGGGTGAAGGTTGGTCGCTTTAAGAAGATGAGAACGGAGATGAGGGAGAGGACGGTGATGAGGTTGAGGAGGACGGTGATTCCGAGGAGGAAGCCGTAGACGTCAAGTTGGCAGGTTGATTGAGAAGTGCCGTTGGTAACTCGGTTTGCTGGGGCGGGGCCGGATATAAAGATTATAGAATTAGAACTAGGATATGGTTAGCATTTCATTAAAGCCGTAATGAGTTCGGAAGAGCACATACATTACTTGCGTGAAGATGGCCGCTAGAAGAATGACAACAGCCAGGAGACTCCTTCTCTTTGCGATATATCGCAGATTTCGAAACGACGGTATCCCAATATCCAACCATTTCTTCCTCTTGTGTGCCGCCGTAACCTCCTCCCTCGTAGGACTGCTCAGTACTTGAAAAGTGTAGTTGGCCCCAGCCAACAGAACCACTCCCAAAATGTTGACGACAGCGTGTACCCCCGAATCGATCGCAGAAGTTGTCGAACATGAGCCTTTGTAGATGACGACCTTCCCCTTGAAGACATGTTTCCCCTTCCACGCCGCCAGTATTACCAAGCAAATGACCCCGACCAGCAGAATTATCCCTGCCAGCAAAGCGTTTAATCCCACGCCTGCCCTCCACCCGGCGGTCCACCTCTTCCACCTCCTGCTTCCAACTTGTCCAGTCATTGCACCACTCCACCTCTTCCAACGTGACCCTGTTCCGGGTAGTATATGCCTCCTCTCCTCATCCTCGCCCGCCCCTTCTCCGTCCTGCCCCCAAAATCCCAACCTTTCGCTGCTCGTCTCCGAAAGTCCATCAAGAATGCCAGCCCTCGATTCATGTAGTCGATGCTGATGCGTTATGTCCACCGCCCTCTCGCCCAGCTTCCCCTCATTCTTCTTCCTCCTCGCCACCATCTCCGGAGTCTCGCCGCGTAGGTAATTAATGACATAGTCGGGAATGAGGTCCTGGTCGACCGATTCCACGTCTTTTTCCCGTATCCGCCTTGGGTCCCAAGTGGCTCGGCGGGCAAAAGGAGGGCGCTCTGGTCCGCCGCCGCCTCCAGTAGATGAGAGGGTCCCCGTTCTGGTTGTCCTAGTCGCTTTCGTGGCTCTCGTCGGCGGTCGACCGAAGAGGGTGAAGGAGAATAAGCTGCTGGTTTCGGTGGCAATCGATTGGAAGGGCCATTGAATTAGGGAGCGGCGACCGCGACGTTCTTGGATGAAGGAGCGCTGGTTTTGGATAACTCCTTGGGCTGAGGTGGAGGGGGCGGTTCCCTCCATTATGCTTTCCATTTTGGAGAATGTACTTGCTTGTTTCCTTTTAATGATGAATAGAAAATTAAGAAGGCTAGGTAAACGAAAACGAATATAGAGGCTACCGAGGCTCAACAAATGAGTGAAAGATTATTACTATACTGATGATGTGATGCAAAGCCCTCGAGGAGGAAGAGTGACACGGTATGACACTGGTCATAAGGCACGCGTAAACCGTTGGTTGGTTCGCTGGGAGGAGACTTCAAATGAAAAAAAAAGCAGTCTCCAGCCATGATGGGCAACAAGGATGAGGTAAAAACGAAAAAAAGGGTGGGAAGGGTCCGTAGGAAGTATCAACCTTGAACTGGGTTTCGAGATACACGGTAAGGCAGGCATAGACAGGATCGCGTCTCGCACGATGGTAGGCCAAGCACACAGGGTGACAAGAGAACCGTCTTGGCTGAGTGACGTCCCATGCTGGCGATGTCTTGTTGGACGGTAAAGGCTGCGGCTGCCGGGATGACTCCTATATAGGACCTCTTTTATGCTTCTGCAGTGCCGGTTCGGCTATGCTCAATGTGAGCTGTCGCGATGTTTGATGGTACCAACGAAAGGGTTGGCTTATCGCAGGAGCTTTCTTTGACATGATGTCAGCCTCGTCCATTCATGATTCTTGTGGTTGCTCCAGGTTCACCATCACTCCGCCATGTCGACCCTTCCTTCGACCGAGTCGTGGAAGATGACTGAACACGCTCTATCTTTCCTCTGGTCGCTTCCATTTCGAAGAGGAGCTACAAATGGCGTTCCATTGAAGCTGAGATACGGCGCAACCCATATGCAGTTAGAAGCGAATCATGTTGTTTGGTGTGACGGTTGTTTGGATGCTGTAGGGGTAAAGTTTATGCGGCGCGGGGAAGTCGACCAAGGATTGGGTTGATGTCGGGATGATATCAACAAGGAGCTCCAGTCGTGTTTCAGAACCACGAGGCTCGATACCAACTTATCCTGCAAGTCTGTTGTCCCTGTCATCTAAATATTCCCTGTCAAAACATGTTAGCTACTCTATGTTTCTACTTTGAACAAGGATAGCGGTTAGGACGACTGGATTGGGCTGCTCTGTGCAGAGCATGACAAAAAAGCCAAATTCTGATGATTAAGAGATTTGGTGGCAGTCGGCTGTTGTGGGCGAGTTCATCCATCTTATCGATAAGACGAAAAGCCGTCCGACGCAGCCGAAGTGAAAGCAATGCATGTTGATAAACGTCACGAAGCCTGATGGTAAACTACAGTATAAAACGGAGAATTTGAAGAAAAAGAATGGATTGAGTGAGATTGGAGAGGATGAAAGTGAAAAAGGTAAAAAGAGAAGTGCCCAATAACAGGATTGAACTGTTGACCTTCGCATTGACTTGATATCAGAAGTCTGATATTAGTACGACGCTCTAACCAGCTGAGCTAATCGGGCTGTTTTCGTTGGTACATATTAGCTCAGCTTTTACTAATAAAGGCCAGCGAGCTGATTCTTCAATGAGCTGATCACCTCGGAATTTGACAGGCGTAGAACTCTCGTCATCGATAAAATACACGCAGAGCGTCATTACAGCGATGATGAGCCAAGAAGAAAATACCATACGAATAATCGTGATTAGCGTGACCAAGGCAATGCAGTCTAACGATGATGCAAAAGAACACAAACGTCCACTCTCCCTTCACATATCCAGCTCCTTTCCTAGGCTTTTAACATGCTACGGCTTCCGCCATGAACCTTATCCAAGCAGGACTTTCGCCCTTGCCAATCAAGTGACGTGACCCGCCCTACTCTTCCTCGTTGAACTTCCTCTTTACACCGTTCGCCTTGGCGTCGTCATTCTTCAACTTCTGCTCCAAAGCTGCCTGGCCACCACCGCAAGGGCTCTTACCCTTGAGAAACCCGCCGAACAACTTCTCCAGATCCGGCACCTGCCCGATCAAGTCATCGATGCCCAGCCCGCGCTTCTCCCTCTCGCCGATCTCGATAACGGCGCCGACGAGATCTTTGGTGATTTCCTCCGAGACCACGCTGTCCTTCTTGTATCCGGGGTGCTTCGCAATGAACTCACGGATCCACTTGGCCGCCGTCCAGAGCTCTCCGCTGGCGCGCTTGCGGATGAGATCGAGGTAGCGAGCGAGTCCGCAACGGGTAGCGACGTCCATGTTGACGCTGTCGAGGTAGCTTTCCACCAAGGGGATGAGACCGGGGAACTCTTCGCCCTCCTCGGCATCCTCGGTCACCTCCTTGGAAGTCGCCTTGGCGTACGCGGTGCCGTTGATGACCTCATTGACGCTCATGAGTCTGTACTCGTCCTCGACAGGGCCCAGGGGCGGGGTGGCAGGTCTGCTTGATCCGCTATTGGGTGTGCTGGTGCCAGAAGCCGATCTGGAGGCACTGCCGCCCCTGCGGGTTGTGCGGACGGGGAATGGATTCTTGCGGAACCAAAACTTCTTCTCGAGGTTGGCATTGCGCGCATGCGCGGTCTCCATGTTCTCATCTACCTTCACGATAGGGATGTAGAAGTTGAGGTCGAAGCTAAGGATGGCACGGGTAATAAGAACGATGAAGACGGAGAAGGCGGCGTTTTCAAAGTCGGTGATTTGAATCTCCATGGGCCGGAACTCCACACGCCAACCGATGCTGTTGTCAGCCGGAGGTGGCTTGAAGCGCATGTGCTGCCAGTTAGTACTCTGGATATTCTCAAAATGATCCGTCTTGGTCAGATCAAGCTCCTGGAGATCTTCGTTAAAGATGACGATAGGATCGCGGATGAAGAGATGGGCAAAGTGCGTAGCCAAACGGTCATCCATGCCACCGTCGAGCAACTGCTGCTTGATCTCGGGGTCGATGACGAGGTTAGGATCCATGTACTCAGGTCGCAATCGGGAATCGGTAGAGATGTAAGTTGAGTTCGAAGCATAACGCGACTTGGGAATCCGCCATCTGTCGTTCTTAAGGGGCTGTAGAAAGGTCAGCATCGAATCCGACCGTGAAAAAGTGGTGTTCCTACCTTTTCTCCCAGCTCCTCAGGTGTGCGGTCGTCCACAGCCCTGCTGATTTGGTTCCACCTGACATCGGTATCGGCAATGAAGCCCTTGTACACTGGTGTTGCCGCAGTGAGCGCAAGCAGGATAGGACCTAGAGGGCTCAGCTGGTCGTACATCTTCCTGCCTTCGGTGATGTTCTTGGCCTGGAAGGTGATTTGCAGACAACAGCTGCCCATGCCGAAAGCCATGGCATCCATGTGAATGAAGTTGTCGGGAGCGGCACCATTACGAACATCATCGTCCTCGGGCCAGTTGTGTAGGTCGTAGTTGACGGTTGGGTCCTTCCATGGCCAAGGGGTGTTCTCGTCTCTGAACACTGGAACATTGACCTGGACCTTGCGGCCGCGGCGCGAACGGATGTTGGCCGCAAGGGTAGGGAAGCGAATATGAGGGTTGGCGATCTCGTCCGGGACAAATTGCGATCGTAGCTTGGGGCCGGAGACGGGATATGATGGTTCAGTAAATACCCCTGGGCTGCCGATGCGAGGGAAAGTAGTGAGCGTGATGGGATGCTCATTCGCAAGCATGTGGTCCTTGGCAATGCACCTCCTCAACTTCATGTCGGCCTCAACGGTCAACAGGTCCTTGAAGTCGATGCCCCATGGCTTTCCGGGGGTGGCTTCGAGCATGAATCTTCCAAATTCCGGATGGAAAACGGGAAGAGTTACGTTCCCGGCATCTGCGTTGGCCTCAGTTCCAGGAGCGCAGTCTCCTGTTACCTTGAGAGTCTTGCTGTCGGCCAAGGCTTTGAGAATATCGGCCTGGCGAAGGGAGAGCAGGACCTTGGGCTCATCTTTGGAATAGTTGACGACCAAGTACTCGATCTAAGCGGGGTGTTAGGAGCCTGGGAAGCAGTAGCTCAAGACATATTAACCAAAAAAAAAAAAAAAAAAAAAAAAAAAAAAAAAAAAAAAAAAAAAAAAAAAAAAAAAAAAAACGCACCTCATCACCCCAGAGCATAGCGTCACGCTCCTTTCCCTTAGCCTTGTTCCATATTTCGAGTAGTTGCTGATATCACGTTAGCATACGTCTGCGGTGCCTCATCCCAATATAGACTGTGGTGTATTCCACAGAAAGGCATTAAGGTCCGGAGTTAACGGTGTCAAGATTCACCTTAATGCCCCAGGCACGGACGAGATGTGCTTGCTGCTTGGCATCTGGCCAATCCAAAGCTGTTCCCAAAGCTCTGTTGTAGTATCAGTATATGGCGTCATGAACGGTGAGACTGGTGTTTTCCCCCTGGGATGCGATTTGTGCAGCGAGTGTCCATATCGGGGACGATATACGTACAGAAGACCCATTGCTACTCTGATGACTGCTCTTTGGTGCGTGGAGGGATGGAGTCCGTTCGATTGAAATCCGTTTTCTTGATTAAGCCGCTGCCGCTTCTTCGACAACTGTCAGAAATGCTTCAAGTACGAGCAGTTGTCTTCCCGCCCGCGTTGGCAAACCGACCGTGCGTTTTTATTCAACCGAGCGGACAGCAACTGGCAACGGTAGACTGCGCACCCAATGAGCAACTCTGACCAGAGTTTAAGGATGATGAGCCACCCAACTCGACAAGGCGATGTGACGAGCTTCAAATCCCAGTGGATGCTGATGACTTGTGCTGAGGCAGTCTTCACTGTCGTGATGCAGCACACCGGGCAGCACACCTTTTTTCAAGGCCTGGTTGACCACGGTCACAGGATAGTATAACACTTTCAAATCTACACATAGCATCGGAGTCACCCCTCTCTCTTCGTCCCCAGTGGGGAAGAAGTGGTGAGAGGTTTCGTCCCCCACGTTAGCCAAGCGCCGAGTTGCATTTCCGAGCAGTGCAAGTGTGTTGAGCATGGGAGCCCTTCCCAAGCAGGTGAGGTGTTGGAGTCGAAGGCGTCATTAACGCACGCAATCTTCTCGAGAGGCGACTGGTCAATTGGAGAAGCACTTGGTCGCTGCACCTGGCTGAGTGTGTAACCAGAATGATTGATTGGCAGGGCGGGGATTGAAATCGCTGGACAGATAACTGTGACTGGCTAACAGAAAAAAGAAAATTGCATTGTACATACCAGCAGGCGTACCCGGGACTTGAGGGTGAATCGGACCGTCAAACGTGAGAGTGTATCTTGGGGAACGAGGACGCAACAAGTGTTGAGGGTTGGGTTGGTAGTCTGGCGCCCTTCCCCGTTTGGCAACAAAATGTTGAAGTCAAAGATCCCGGCAGGTTGGAGATATAGAGAAGTCCGGGTAGGGTCCGCAGACGTCGGGGCGCCAGTGGTTTGCGGTATGGAGTAAAAAGTGTATCAATCTGCAGATGGCGTCGATGACGGAATATCAATACTGTGCCAATGTCGTGTAGAAATATACGGTGCAGTTATCAAACAACCAACTGACTCCGGTATTGATTGATACTATCCGTTGAGGTGAGGGACCAGGACAGCCACTGGCGCAAAGGATCCAAGGTCAAGAGTGTTTGAGAGAGTGCGAAGCCTTCGCTTCTTGTAATAACAAGACGAACTTGAAAATTTTGAATTTTTTGACCGGGGTATACTTGGGGACGGCGGTTCCCGTTCAGAGCCGCAGCCCACAACAAGCGAGCGAAGTTTCCAAAAAGGAAGCCGCACAACAGCAATAGCATATCAAAGACAATACGATAGTGATGACCTACCTGTCAGAGTTTCCCTTTTCGGGGCCTTCTGATGGCTAGACCAGATCGACCATGTACTATGTGTGTTAAGTCTGCACCGTGAGTCGGGGAGTCGGCAAGGCCCGCGCAGTGCGTGAAATTTACAGGAAAGAAAAGAAAAATGAAAAAATGAAGAAAAGGTCTCGGCTCGATGGCCGTTAACAAAACTGGGGCCTCTTGTTTTCCAGACTCCACAGAGTGAACCCGAATCGAATCGTTCCAGGCGGTTGTCGGTGGAGTCTCTCCGCTGATTTCCGCAATTTACTCAGCGCTTTCGGTCGCCGAGGCGGGTGCAAATAAGGTTCCCATTGTCGTGGATCTCCGAATCTGGATTTCTAATCCACCTCCAGGGACATGCAAGCAGTGTCAACCTTGACTTGCCGGATCGTGCCTGGATTATGTAATCACCCATCTCTCATCTCATCATCACAAGAAGGTAAGCAACAAACAACATGCGATGTCGTCGATGCCTCAGTTGCGCAGGGGAACCGGCTCAACGGGCTTAGTAGACTGCCCGAGTGAGTGCCTCATTTGTTTTAATTGTTTCTTGTGCTCCCACGGAAGTGGGCTCAGTAATCATTTTGTACTTAGTCAGAACCAACGAGCACCGTTCACATCCAACGTTTCAATGCACATGTTCGCAGCTGACTGCGTCCGCTCAATCGGATCGACTGTCGTCCCCCACGCTGCGTGTCGGCAATGAAACTAAATGCAGCTAGGTGTACATAATTGTACACTAACCACTGGTGACCGCACCGGTTCTTATCTTAGCCCCTTACATTCCATCGAAACATACCTACCGGTGATAAGATCACCGAGGAAAGCGTGGCACGTGAACCAGCCCGTGATACCCCTCGTCGTGACCGCGATAGGACACACAACTCACGTACTACCTCAATTGTTCTGTACGCCAAACGAATAACTCAAGAGCGATGCATGATCACACCCATTTCATTCTATCATCATATCCAAAACCAAACAACCCTCATCACCTATTCATTCTCATGGTATCAACCTTCAACCCTCAACCCCGAACCAGAGCCTTTAAACACCGCCCAGTGCAACCTTGCCAAACTGAATCCAGACTGCCATCCCCATTTTATCTCCTAAAATACATTTACATAAACATCATGAACTGTTGGTTAATGATCGCATAGAAGAAGAAGAGAAAGATAAACCAGTTCCGCTCCCTCCCCCGACAAGCTGAAAACAAACTGAATTAAATTATTAAAACCCCCCCTTTTTGTGTACGTTCATCGCAAATCACTGTACATTCAAAAATAAATCATCTCCCCTCCTCGTCGGCGTCAACTCCGGCACCCAACCGGGCGTAATCGGCGGCGGCGGCAAGTCCACGTACCACTCATTCGTGTTTGCGTCGTCACCGTAAAGGCCTTGAGAGTTGTTTTTGCCCCCTTTCAGCGCTTGGCCTTCTTGCCCGTGTTGTTGCTGCTGTTGGCGAGCCTGCTGGGGTCCAGTCTGCTGTTGTTGTTGCTGCTGTTGTTGGCCATCTCTAGCCCATCCCTTTGCAGGTCTGCCGATGCTCTTGTTCGAGCTGCTGTTGGGGTTGGGGTTGAGGGCGAGTGCCGCGGCCTTTTCGGCGCCGAGACGCTTGGTGAGCAGAGAGGAGCTGTTGGTTCTTGTGTGTTGGTGTTGAGACTGATGCTCTGGTTGAGCTGGCTGGGCAAAGATCGGCCATGATTGTTGAGGCATGGGTGGCTGTTGAGGTCTGTATTGACGCTGCTGCTGCTGCATTTGAGCATCATAATGCCCTTGAGAAGGTCGGTAGTAGGAAAATTGTTGATGTTGTTGTTGCTGCTGCTGCTGCTGTTGCGTTCGCTGGGCTTGTTGCAACTGGCGTTGCTGTTGCTCCCACTGGCGTGGCGATGGGGCACGGTAGTAGTAGGCAGACCCTTCTCCCTGTCCTTGCGACTGTTTTTGCTGATTCCAATAGCAATTGGGGCCAGTGGCTATAGAACTCTGTCTCCTTTGGGACTGCTGGCGTTGCTGGCGTTGCTGGTGCTCAACCGGCACAGCAATCGGGAAGCGCCCCTCAGGTGACCCGGTTCTCATCTGTCCAGGATTCTTGTTCCTGTTTGGGTTAACAACAGGGGCATTCATGGGCCTCGACATCCCAACGGTCAGCTGAGGCGTCCCATGAGGAACCGCACCAATGCGCATTCCCTCGTTGTCTCGCTCCTCGGGAGTCACGATCCTGATGGGGAAGCGTCCCTGTCCTTGGGCTTGCCCTTGTCCTCGCTGCGTTGACATACGCTTGGAGTTGCGCCTGGGAGGTTCGGGACCGGTCGAGCCACCAGCACCACGTAGAGCCTCTTGAGCATCGCGAAGTTGTTGCAGGCCCTCGTTCACATTCTCTCCCTGCTTGTGAATCTTGGGGTATGACACCGGCGACTTTCCGCGAGAAAGAGGGCTCGGCGAGCAAGGCGATTCCGCCACGGGCGAAAGATCTTGGCTGTCTTCTTCTTCATCTCCTGACTCGATCTCCGTGGCAGAGTCCTGGGACATCCGACGTTGCCGGCTTGTTCTCTTGACTGACTTGCGCTTGATTTTGGTGCCCGTCAAGTTCCTCCCGGTATTGTTTTCAGAGAACACTGCCGAAGGGACAGCGGGCATGGGGTTCTCCGGGCCAGGTACAACGGTCAGAGGAGCGTTGTAATCAGAGTAGATACTGGAAGCCACGTTGTCCCTAGGGTGAGCATCATCTCTCATTGCAACCGGTGATTCCACAAAGGCACCCTGCTCCCGTTCCCGGGAGGAGACTCTAAGGGCAGGCACGACCATGCCGGGAGTGTAGGGCATGTACGCCCTTTCGGCCTTCGTCTTGTCCTGTGGGCCTGGTAACTCGACAGAAGAAGTTGGGTATGGCGGCGCTTGGGTCTTCGTACCCGCACCTACAGTTGAGTGCCTAAGGACCCAGTTGCCCTTCTTATCAGCAAAGTAGTAGGTGGTTGCCGATTGTGGATCACTTGGCGGCGGACGCCAAATGGCAGTACCCGACCTATAATCTCCCTCGCCATCCTCTGCGAACTCAGTAATAACACTGTCTCTTCCGGTCAAAGGAGCAGCGTTGGGAGCTGGAGCGGGAGCAGCCCTGGGGACAGCAGCTGGGACAACAGCGGACATTGGTGGGTTCTTTGGAATAGCCAAAGTCAGGTTCGGCTTTGGCGTTTCCTTCTTGCCAAGTGGATCCTGGGTCCGGGAAGCTGGAGTGATTACCATGGCTGGCGGCAAGGCAGGCATGGGCAGAATAGGGGCGGCGCCCGCGGTAGCTCTAGTGACTGTAGGCCTGGGAGAGTTTGACGCCGAAGCGGATCCGGGAAGGGTCGCTAAACCAACACCGTCAGCCCTTGGTGCTTTCGTGGGCCTAAACGTAGGTGTACCCTGTTGCGAAGGAATCCTCTGGATCGGGTAGCTGATGCCCAGCAAATCAGGACCGGTGATGCTTCTGCGACCAAAACTCTTGAACGAGTCCCTCATTCTGCTGAATCCCTTCTCCGGATCTCCAGAGCCCATCCTCTTGCGGCGCACACATTTGGCCAAGAGTACAAGCCCTGCACCCAGAGCCACAACCGCCACACAGCCTATCGTGATCCCGGCAACCTGGGCGCTGGTGAGTTGCGGTGATTCCTTTTCAGCGGGCGCCCCAGCCGGAGCAGATGTGCCTGGTGTGCCTGATGTGACTGGCGTTGTTGTGCTGGAAGCAGTGGGCTCCACGCTTGGAACGGAGCTCGGACGTGTGCTCAAGGTTGAGGTTTGAGCCGAGCTGGACTCAGTACTAGCCGAGCTGGACTCAGTACTAGTCGTGGAGGTAAGGCTTGAACTTGATGTCGTCGTTGTCGTGCTTGGCGAAGCTGTAGCAGTGGTGGAGGCAGGAGCCGCAGATTTCGTCACGGTTGAAAGCGCGGCACTGCCAGTGCCTTTTGTTAACGTCGGGGCAGCAAGATGTCCTGTCCCCGTTGGGAGGATCAGTGTTGCTACAATGACATCGTGAGTCCGCGACGCCGAGTCGTCAACATCGTCGCAAATGTTGTACGCCTTTGTTGTTGCTTGAACTGATAACAGTCAGCCTCATACATACCTCATACCGGAAACGTGGTATCAAATCACTTACCACCAGCCGTAGTGTCCTTGCAGTTTCCCAACTCCTTCTCGCCGATCATGCATGCTACTGCTCCCTCTCCTAGTGTATATCCCCCGCCACCTATTTGCTTGCACATGCATCGTAAAGACGGTGTTGTGCCCCCGCAGGTGAGATCGAGGTTTGCCGATATCCATGAACGGAAGCATGGCCTTGCGCACGTCGGCACGGTTTCTACTATCGATGTTGGTATTTGAGGTTCGGCTGCTTGGGCGACTGTCGAGAGGGTCGTCCATAGTAAGCCCAAGCACAAGAATGACTTGACGGCCATAGTACTGGGCAACATCTGGAAATGAGATTAGTGATGAGATTCGGAAACTGATCATGGAAGACAACGCTCGCTCCCCCATTTCAGCAACAGATCGCGGGTTTTGGTTGAAGGTTGAGAAAGTGTCCTTGCCCCAGTCCAGGTTCCCTCTTCTCTTGGATACCTCCCTCTTAGCTCATTTCAGGTTGCTATTGACCTGTTATGCCGGCCCAGTGGCGAGATCCATGGTGCCGGATTCGGTATTTTAATGACGTGGGAAACCGAACCAACAGACCTCCGGGCGGTTGGAATGCAAATCGCATAACAAGATGTACCAAAGGCCAACCTACCGAACTTAGATGAGATTAAAGATTAGAAGAGGAGATGACCAGCATCTCTGCGTTGAGTAAGTCGACCAAGGAGAAGTCGAAACTAGGAACAGGCGTTGGGCCGGGGAGAACGGAGCCCGTATCGTATGCGATGATTATCGAACCGGAAACAGAAGACGCGAATGCATGGATTATATCGTGATGTAAGAAGCGACCCAAGGGGGGTGGGCTTGAGGTCGGGAAATACTGATTATGAAACGGATATCGAATGTGATAGGATAGGAAACACACAGGAAACACACAAGAAAGAGAGATGTGGAAATGATGATATTGGAGAAGGATGGAGATAGTACCTGAGAAAGAAAAGAGAGAAGCCGGGAGAGGAAAGTCTTGGATGAGGCTTGAACGCCATGTGTCACACTCGGGGTCCTTTCCAAGGTAACCAGACTTCCTGAACTCACGAGCCATGCCATCATGATGTATACCTCAAAGTCAAAAGCAGTAAAGTCCCGGTGTGCTGCGCTTAACGATGCCAGCAATCTCCTCGCCATCCTGGCCGCGGCCAATAACTCTGAAGTCGTACCCATGCCGTTCACCCGCAGAGACGCGCTAAAACTGTCTGAAGACGTGAGTAGTGAGCACCTTGTACCCGATAATTGATGAGGCCTAATCGCCAACTGGGGTTTATTGGACCTCTCGCTATGGCATCATGAGAGACGTTCCATTGCAGGCAGGGCTTCGACGGTGTTCATGTCCCTTGCACAAGGCGGCCGACGAATGGAGCCGCGAAGAGGAACAAGCGATCTGGGGAGAGGCACTTGTCCTGGGCGAAATCCAGGTCCGCCGTCCTCTTATTGGTCTAAAAAGATGGCAGGTCTATTTCGGGCGCCATAGTATCCGGGATTGCACATGGTTGCCGACGGCAGAAGTGAGAAACACTGTTACGGTTCTCCAGTCGACTGGCCAAAGCTGGTATGCAGGAACAACATCCGCAGATAGATGTATGGCTGTGAAGGCTTGGAGCTGGGAAGAGGTGGGCGAGTAAGAGACTGACGCCGGGCACGCGCTTGGTCGGCGCTTAAAAGTACTTGTGGGCTATGGTAGACCCCGGACACGCCTAAGGGTAGTGGGCGCCAACAAATCAACGACGCTATTCCCGTTCGGGTGCCGCCCCCAGATTCTCACCAGCCACGAAACTCGCCTCAACGATCCAGTGGTTCTGTACGCAGTACACCACACTGCCTTGAGGTTGTCTTCATCCCCCAAGCCACCATGATGCACTGCACAGCCACATCCACATGCTACCAGTCTTGACGAGTAAACAGCTTCCCAACGAAGACAAAGAGAGGAAGGGGAACTGCGCCACTATCCAGCTGGACTCGGACCACGAAGTAAAGTTATGGTACCGAAGGCGATGCTGAGCCTAACGTGTTATGACTTTCATCGTGAGGTCCGCACATGAATGTATAGCACGGCGGTTGAGTTGTAGATAAATAAGCATTTCTCGCCCCCCTTCCATACGAGACACAATGCACTTGACATTTTCGTGATACCCTGGCGTCTACCGGTGTATCAACGTCGGGTAGTATCGAACGCGTCTAGAGCAATCTTGCTGACTGCAAAAGTAATTTATCTTTCGCCCCTTGTTGGTATCTCTTTGATCTAAACTCCCGATTCCCATTTTGAATGACGGAATATGCGCATCATGAGTTCACTCCCACATACCCTTTCCTTCTGGGCTTCCCAACATCTTGATGTCGCAGCAACGATGAAAAGACATGATCCCTCGCCTACGCTAGATGATTCAGTTGATAAACTCCTAGTGCATTAGCTCACCACCATCCGCTAAACTGCTGAGTCTCCGGCAGCGGCGGTGCCGGAGAGAAGAACGACTTCAACGACTTCAACGACGACGACTCCCCCTCAACACTCATTGATCGGCCAAATACCTAAGCGGCCGAATCAGTAGCGCTGGGAACGTACTCCGCTTGGGCCCTACTCGACTTGATAACTTCTTGCACCTTCCTCTCGGTATCATCCAAGTCGTTGGGATTCAGCTGGATAAGGTCGATTCCGTAGAACTGAGCGATCTGGGAGAGCGCTTCGAAGCTCCTACGGTCGTGAACAAAGCTGATCGAGACACCAACACGACCGAAACGACCGGTACGACCAATACGGTGAAGGTATGTCTCTGCGTCCGGCTCCCTTTCGCCAGGTCCCTTCATCGGAATGTCGTAGTTAATGACCATGGACACACTGGAAACATCAATACCACGTGCCAGAACGTTTGTGGTGATGAGGACCTTGGAACGTCCGGAGCGGAATTCATCGAGAAGAACATCACGGCTTTGGCCTTCGTAGGCGCCGTGAAGGGCCGAAACTTTGTGACCATCTGCTTCCATGCGCTTCTGGATCTCGTTGGCCGTCTCTCTCGTCTGGAAGAAAGCACGTTAGCCAAAGTCTACAACAGTATTCGAGGGCAAAACATACCCGGACGAAGATGACGGAAGAACCAATGGTCATGAGACCATACAGCTTGCAGAGAATGTCGTACTTGTCCTTCTCGGTAGGACAGTCCATAAACATCTGCGAAATACCTTTGACCGTAAGCTCCTTATGCTTGAGCTTCATCTGGTTGGCGTTGGGTGCGAAGCGCTCGGCGAATCTCAGAACTTTGTCTGGGAACGTCGCAGAGAAAAGGAGGATCTGAATGGTCTTGGGGAGCATGCTACTTGATGTCAGTAAAGGCCGCACAACACAAGTGCCCAAAGATGAACTTACTTCTTGACGCGGACACACTGGTCACCCAGTCCCTGCTGGTCAAGCATGTTGTCGGCCTCGTCGATAACAAGAACCTTCAACTGCGAGATGTCAAACTGCCTGCGCTTGACAAGGTCCATGACAGTTCCCGGAGTTCCCACGACGACGCTGCCTCTAACACCCGTCTCGCGCGAAATGGCACCGGGAATAGCGGCCTCGACAATCAAATTCTCGCAGAACTGACCGATGGTCTGGACCACGGTCTGGATCTGGCGGGCAAGCTCTCTGCTAGGAGCAAGCAGAAGGGCTTGAGGCTGGTGGGGCTTGGACAGGTCGATGCGGGAGAGAACGGTAAGGACGAAAGCGGCAGTCTTTCCAGTACCGGATTGAGACTGGGCGATCATGTTGCGGGGAGGGTCGGAGAGCATGAGAGGAAGGCACTTCTCCTGGACCTTGGAAGGTTTCTTGAAGTTGATGGCGAGCAGACCGCGGTTGACAGCCTCGGGGAGACCCAACTCATCGAACGAGCTGACGGAGTAGAGAGGACTTTCGGTGTCATTCTGAAGATCGCTCAACTTGATCTCGACTTCGTACTCGTTCTTCACAAGGTTGCTCTGGCTCTCCTCGATGGAGGTCTCGTTCTCGGGGGCCTTGGGCTCTTCGGACGCAGGGGCAGACACGGGCGCAGCCTCGGGGGCGGCAGCCGGAGCCTCGTCGGGCTTGGTGATGCGGCTGGCGAGATCAGCCATTATGACGTCGTGATTAGGATGACTGCTAGCAAGAATCAAAAAATCGCACGGTCAGTACGATACCGACGTTATATTTTGTTCGCCCCCCTGGATGTTCCGGTTACAGCAAGAAGCCGAGACGTGGGTGAGTCAAGTTTCAAGCTGCGCTTCGTCAGGTCTTGATGCCCCGCGTCCCAAGTCAACGCGTCAGACCCAGGCCGCAAGGACGAGAAGGCGCAAGCTGACAAGCTTACCTTAGAGGGAGTTATTGTTGGAGCAAACAAAATGCTCTTTCAGAGATCCGATGGAATCTTGAGCTGTTGGTGACGGACCACAAAGCAACTGCCAGCAGTGGTTTGTGGGCGGGAGAAGGAATGCGAAAGGAAAAGGAAGCTGGCAGAAAGAGATTCTGGCAGCGGCAGGGCTGACTTTGAGAGGAAGTCGCGACGCCATCGAACCAGAGTGATACATAGTGGGGCATCTGCACCTTCCTCTACACTAGTGTCCATACGTAGTGTACTTGCAGTGCTGTTCCCGTCTAGTGCCCCTGTACAAGTAGCGGTAGTGCCGTAGTGTTGTTGGTACTGTACCTGCCCTGGAATTAACGCTTGATGCCCTGGCAGAAGCCGGAGGCCAGAATGGTCAAAGCACGAGCCAGCAGCGGGTGGCTTAGTGGCCGGGGTCCCGCCCGCTGTCTCTGTAAGGAGGCTTTAAAGTCCATAGGTACCTACCTAGTAGTTGTTGCTTTGGCCCAAACGAGGTTTCTCTTTCCGTCTTCTGAATTCCAATTCTTACCTCTAACTATCCCTAGAGGTAGAGTTACGTAACGAACGAATGCTTCTTCCGAACCAATCTTCATGCAGTTAACGCATACTGCCTGACCGCACTAGCACCGGCCAAGCCGCAGGTCCGCCGGCACAGCTGGGGCCTTCTTAAATTGAGTACCTCGAGGTTAGCCACCGGCACCCCAGCTATCATTACTACCTCGCTACCTCTAGGTACCCAAGCGCGGGGGCCATTCATCGTGCTCCTACATCCCAACTCAGGTCTTGCCGGCTGCTCGGGCTACGGTGTACGGACCGGGATAACCAGCCGATTACATAGCACATCTTCAGCTGTTGGAGGGGTACCTCCTGCCTTCTCTTGCTTTCTTGCTCTACTACTTGCTTGTTCTTTGACGCTGTATCTGCTGTGCTTCTTCTACCTCTGCTTGGAGTACCTAACACTCAAACGCTCCGCCGGTCCCGTCCATTCCTCCAAAGACCCAACGGGTTCCTGCCGCTACTTGTACATACCCAGGGCCAGCACAGCACGATTCATCGTCGTTTCAGACACGACGACAGCCAACGGAGCAATCCCACTCATCTTCTCCCGAAGTCTACATTGCATGTATACCCGACTACTGGTTTGCATGGTTATCCACGACGACAACTCTCAGTATTAAAAGAAGCTCCACCGACAAACTATGGCCGAGGGCGAAATCGCGCCATCCTTTGGCACCGTGCTCAAGGTTGTCTTCATCTCTCCTGGCCTACTCAGAGGCTTAAACTTGTGGTGGTGGCCTTGGACTAACATGCCCGCATGCAGGATGGCTTTAAACCGGCCAATGTCTATGTGGCCAACAACATTGCCTTCTTTGACGATGTGCAGGCTTTCTACCGTGAAAGGAGCGCCGCCGAGAAGCGATATAGCGCCGAGCTGAGCGCAATAGCAAAGAAGTACTATGACAAGAAAGCCAAAAAGTCAACGAGCCTGAGTGTCGGCGACACCCCCACAATGACCCCTGGGTCCCTTGAGAGGTACGACAAGGCTTTGGAACATTGTCACATTTGCTTAGATGTTCTATTCCAGCTGACTGACCGGTTTCCGTGTAACTAGCGCCTCGATGACTACATGGTCTACCATTCTAACCAAGCTTGAACTGGTCGCCAGCGAACACGATCGACTCGCGAACGAGTTTGTCACCAAGATTGCGGAACCGATCAAAGAAGTGGCCATTAAACTGGACGCGCAACGCAAACGCCAAGTCGAATATGCTGAAAAGCTAGAAAAAGAAAAAGAAGCTCAGTATGCCGCACTGCAGAAAGTCAAGACCAAGTACGACTCGGTATGCCAGGATGTTGAGAGCAAACGCAAAAAGTCAGAGTCGGCATTTGACAAGGCAAAGGCGCAGAGTTCGTTTCAACACCAGCTACAAGAGATGAACAACATGAAGAACACCTACCTGATCGCCATCAACGTTACCAACAAGCAAAAGGAGAAGCACTACCACGAATTCCTTCCCGAAGTCATGGACAACCTGCAAGATCTTGCCGAGTTCCGCACAATGAAGTTGAACGGGTTTTGGTCCGAAGCCACTCAGCTTGAGTTTTCCATGCTTCAGAACTGCAGTGGTGAGGTTGACCACATGGCCAAGGAGATTGTGCGGAATGAACCTCAGCTAGATTCGATGATGTACATGCAGCACAATACCGGTGCCTTCCAGGAGCCTCCCGACAAGGTGTTTGAGCCAAGCCCAGTATGGCACGATGATGATTCCATGGTTACGGACGAGCCAGCCAAAATCTATTTGCGCAATGTGCTGAATAAGTCAAAGGGCCAACTCGGAGAATTGCGACGTGAGGTAGATAAGAAGAGGCGAGAGGTGGAAGCAACCAAGCGAGCGAAACAGAGGGTGCTTGAAGGGACAGAGCAAACACAGGATGAGTTCTTGGTTCTCACGCAGCTCTTCTTGCAGCAAGAGGACCTGCATCAGGTCGACCGGAAGCGGTTGACAGCAGAGGTCGAGACGTCCACCATTACTTCAGCCGTTGGTGACGTGACACTGGGTGCCAAGAGCCACAATTTCAAGTCGCAAACCTTCAAGATTCCCACTAACTGCGATCTGTGCGGGGAGAGAATATGGGGCTTGTCAGCCAAGGGCTTCGATTGCCGGGACTGCGGGTATACTTGCCATAGCAAATGCGAGATGAAGGTACCGGCCGAGTGTCCAGGGGAGCTGAACAAGGAGGAGCGTAAAAAGTATAAGCAGGAACGACAAGAGCTGGCCAACACGCTGCTTAAGCCTTCCACATCGTCGAGCCATGTTAACGAGATGCCTGATCTCACTCGGTCAAACACAGTCAGCTCGGTGCGTTCTGGGTATGCGGCCAGCGCTCAACGATCGATTTCCGGGCCCATTTCGCCTGACGACGATGCGCCTCCAGATGTCCCTAACACAAGGCCACCGGCAGCCTCACCAACACCGTCTAGCGCACCCCGGAAGAATCGTATCCTGGCCCCGCCACCCCCGGCATTCATGAGCGAAGTGCCAGGAAGCGCCTCTAATGGCGGGGGGCACCAGGAACAGAAGGCGAAGATGCTATACACCTTTGAAGCTGGAGGTGAAGGCGAACTCTCAGTGCCCGAGGGAAGAGAACTGGTGGTCTTGGAACCAGATAGTAAGTACCGTTGCCCTTTGGCATGATTGATACGAATAGCTCACACACTTATTAGCGGGAAGCGGGTGGACAAGGGTGCGGGCTGGCTACAAGGAAGGCAATGTACCGACATCATACGTCGAGATACTACCACCAACTACTCCTACGGCTCTCGTACCACAGCACACGGGCCAATCGGGCCGGCCACCATCGACTTACTCCAACAGCGGCTCATCCATTGCGGCATCAACGAAGAAGAAGGGGCCTGCAGTGGCGCCAAGACGGGGAGCCAAAAAGCTTCAGTATGTTGAGGCGCTGTACGATTACCAAGCTGGTAGCGACACGGAGCACAGCATGACTGTGGGCGAGAGATTCGTTCTGATTAAGGAGGACCAAGGAGATGGGTGGGCAGAGGTCGAAAAAGGAGGAGTGACAAAGAGTGTCCCGGCGAACTACGTCCAGACTGTATAGTATACCTGTCGATGCGCTTTTCATGGCTCAAGACAGGTTCGTTTTGATCCCGGACAGAGCTTGACAATGCGATGCGATAGCTCCCCCGCCTGGATCTGAAGATTGGATTTGATCATCACCCCATGAAAACGGGGGAAAAGCTTAAATTAATTCCTCAGGGACCTGCGAAGATCTCACGGACTCTTATTTGTATGTCAGTCTTCAACTGCAACGTCGGTTCAGGAGTGTTGTTGATCGGTAGTCAGCTTAGTTTGCTTCCCCCTTTCTCCCGCTCCCTTCTCATTACCCCTTTTTAGTTGTTTGGGGTACCCTGCCAAGATCACGAGTTTCTGAAACGGTATGACGTAGTTGGTGCATGGGCCAATAAATTTCTATCCGGTCTTCTTCCGTCGACAAGCCATTCACTTCCATCCAGAAAGCTTCAAGCTTGTCCATAATTGTCGTGAGTTCAAGCTTTCTTTGCCAAGGGCGCCAGTGCTTCGGGTACCAGATCCATCTTGGGAGCTTAGATCACAGTTCGTGCCTTGTGTCGTCCAAGCTTACAGCCGCGTTTTAACTATGTACGAGCCTGATACTGGTGAGAGTCGACTTCCGGCGTAAAGATCTAGCAGATTCAGCAAACGGAACAAGAACATATCGAGGTGGCTGCCTGTGTGTCATGCAATCGCTGTCCTCCTTGCGAATCGATTGTTAACGCTTTGGCAGGTGACTCTCGTCCCACATGTCCCACGGACGACAATTCTGCAGGATGCTGTCGGAGTGCCCGAGTTATCCTCGACGGCTTGTTCTATTATTATTACAGACCACTACGACGTTGGATGGCTTGCATATCCAATGAAACTCGTTATGTATACCTGTGACAGATGAAAAGGCTGCAAATACCCCGAGGCACGACAGACGATCACTTCTCGATGCGTGGATGTTGATCTTTAGAGATTTGCAGGAGAGAGTTGCACAGCCTTCGACCTTGATGCAGCACTAAAGTTCAAGGTCTGCGCTTGCAGTGGAAAAGACATGAAACAGAAGCAGGTAAATCTTGAACATCCCGTTAATCTGTTCCTGTCTGGATCAATGACTGGGGCTCTACCAATCTTCAAACCTTGAATCATCGGCCTTTATGCGTCCAAGATGCTCCAATGCCAGGTACCCGTACCGGTCCGATAACCACTACAACTCCACCAAGGAACTTGCCCGGTCCATCTTGTGAAAGGAACACGGAAAGGGATGAACAGTGCGCTTACCAAACAATCTGAACGGCTCCGGCTGGCAATTCGACGTCTGTGGTGACACGGCTGCTTTTTATGTGCTCGTTCCCCCCTCCTCGTTTCACTCCAGTTGCTCTATCCTTCAAGAGCACCTTCCACTCTCAACAACATTTCCGTGCTTGAAACGGTTTCCCCTCGTTCTGTACACAGGCTGTTTGCTTATCCCCTCGTTCGGTTTTGATCGCACACATCAAGTTCTTCCATTTCTGATTATTTCTGTTTCACTTTGTTTACTTGGTCAATTTTTATCAAGCCCATTTTGGACTTTCTTGCCAGGCCTTCTTCACGACAGCAGCACCCTATCACCCTTCTTCATACATAGACTGCCCGATAATTATTATCGACGCGAAATCTGAACGACTGCCGCAAATTCGCTTACACATCACATACTCGAGAAAGTATTGGCGCCACCAAAATGAAGTCTATCAGCTTGATGTCGGCGTTGGCTTCCATCGCTAGCCTCAGTGCAGCGACCCCGACGCCAACCGAGCAGGAGCAACCGCACAAGAGGGCTGATCTCCCTGCTGTTACAGTCTCCGGAAATGGTGAGTGGTTCCGGCTTTGGAAGATGTTACGTTTCAACAAGCGGAGATGCTGATTTATTTGTTGATAGCCTTCTGGAAGGGCAAGGAGCGCTTCTATATCAGAGGAATCGACTACCAGCCGGGAGGATCGTCCGGCATGACGGATCCCTTGGCCGATCTCGACATGTGCAAGCGCGACGTTGCCGAGTTCAAGAAGCTGGGAGTCAACACCATCCGTGTCTACATGGTGGACAACTCCAAGAAGCACGACGACTGCATGAAGCTCTTGGCCGATGCCGGAATTTATGTCGTTATTGACGCCAACACCCCCCTTTACTCGCTCAACCGTTACGACCCCCACCAGTCCTACAACGACAAGTATCTCCAGAGCGTTTTCGCCACGATCGACGCTTTTGCCAAGTACGACAACACCCTTGCCTTCTTCTCGGGCAACGAGGTCATCAACGATGTGGTCAACAGCACCCTGGCAGCCAAATATGTCAAGGCCACCACTCGTGATATGCGCCAGTATATTGGCAACCGTGGCTACAGAAAGATTCCTGTTGGATACTCGGCTGCGGATGTCTCTCAGAACCGCATGCAGCTCGCCAGCTACATGAACTGCGGAACCGACGACGAGAGAAGCGACTTCTTCGCCTTCGTAAGTTTTCCTTTGGGTTGATTGGATAGCTCAGAATCTGACATGAGATACAGAACGATTATTCCTGGTGCAGTTCGAACTTTGTGGACTCCGGCTGGGACCAAAAGGTGAAGATGTTCACCGGTTATGGCATCCCCATTTTGTAAGTCTTAAATTTTCTCAGAGAAATCTGCCAAATCAGCATATCTGACCTTTTCATAAGCCTTTCTGAGTATGGCTGCATCACTCACACCCGCGACTTCGCCGAAATTGGGGCTCTTATGAGCGACAAGATGACCAGTGTCTACTCGGGAGGTCTTATGTACGAGTATGCAGTGGAGGAGAACGGATACGGAATTGCCAAGCTTGGCCCTGGAAGCAAGGTTGAGGAGAAGCCCGAATTTGCCAACTTCGCCAAGGCCATGAGCAAGTACCCGGTTCCCACGGGTGATGGCGGCTTCACCTCGACTACCAAGGCCGCTGCTTGCCCTACCAAGGACTCCAACTGGCTCGTTGACTCTACTCTGCTCCCCGCTATCCCCGACGGTGCCAAGAAGTTCATGAAGGACGGCGCTGGAACTGGTCCGGGTCTGAATGGTGAGGGCTCTCAGCAGGCCCAGGGTACCAGCACTGGCGACGCGGAACCGGGTTCTGGATCTCCCACAAACACTGCTTCTCCCTCCAGCAGCAGCGAGAGTCAGAAGAAGTCCGGAAGCACCCGCGGTATCGGTTCCGTTGACAAAGCTCCTTTCGTCGTCACCGGATTGGTCATGTTCTTCACCTTGACCGGCACCCTTCTTCTCTAGGTTAAGAAACGATGTAGCTTGGCGTTTGCTAGATCTACAAGTTGATGATGAGGTGGTGAAAGCTGTCGTCCAACTGGATTTCGCAGCGCAATGTATAGTATAGAATAATGTCTTTTTTTTTTTTTCTTCTAATACTTTCTTGTTAAGAACGTGACAAACATAAATCTATCGAGACACTGTCTTCGAGTTTGGATGTCACTGTAAATACCTACATCTGGAAGTAGTTCTTGAATTTTTTCTTTTCCTTGGGATATTCTGCCAACCTGCTGATTACATCGACTAAGGCTTGTTGAGTGTCTATTTCTATTGTCAAATACCCTAGTTCCTTTTGCTTACCAACCTCAAGAAAGGCAGAATGGTAGGTATATAACTCACCTTCCTCTTTCGCAGCAAGAATGAAGTTTTTTTTACAAGCCTACTCTGTCCGTACCTTCTTTGATAAAGGGAGGACAAACACCATTGGACAAAGTCTGGACCACCTGCAGCCGCCGTGCTTGCCCTTAATACTCAAGCGACCAGTACAGGCCAAGGTGTGACAGGATCTCCTCCGGACCATGTATATCACTCACCGAGCCCAACACTGGTCTCATTAGTTAAGGGTTTCTCTGCAGTGTGCCGTACCTGACCCCGGTTCACGAAGATGCGCCGTGTTCAACTCGGTTGCAGGTTATGAAATTCTTTCGAGCAAAGCCGGGAATTTGGTATGCTGCCAATGACTTTCCGTGTTTGCTCCCTACTAGAAGTGTGAATAATGCCCTGCTACCGTTAACTTTTTTTTTTTTCCTCAAGTTTTTCTTTTTTTGTTTTTTTTTTTTTTTTTGTTTTTTTTTGGGGGGGGTTGTTGTTTTGTTCTTCACTATCTGTTTTTCTGTGTCACACCTGGTGACTAAAAAAAATCAAGACGAGACCGGAGGACCTACTTAGTATGAGAGGTGGCTGTCTGCGAAAGAAGACGAAATAGTCGGACCAATCACCAACACGAAGAAAACTGATTTCTGTTCCCCATCTATGTCTCTACAATATATCGCATCACTAGCCCATAACCCCCATTCTATCCTCCACCCCTTTAAACCCCAACAAGTCTTCTCACCCTCATTCCGCCCCCGCCCACCATGGACCAATCTCCCCTTACTCCCCATTGCGCAAGCTTTCTTTCAAAACTCAAGGCCAGTCACAGCTCCTGCCCACCAAATCCGCCAACTTCTCCAACCACACCTTATCGACCTCATCGAACCCGTTCAGCTCCGCACAGTCCACATCGATGATGGCCACCACCCTATCGTCCACAACAATAGGAACCACAATCTCGCTCTTGCTGTCGCCGTCGCAGGCGATGTGGCCGGGAAAGGCGTCGACGTCGGGAACGAGCTGAGTGGTCTTGGTGGCGGCTGCGGCACCGCATACGCCCCTGCCGAAGGCGATGGTTTGGCAAGCTACTTTGCCTTGAAAAGGGCCTAGAATGAGTTCGGTGGTGGAGGGGTGGTTGAGGGTGTAGAAGCCTATTATGTGGGCGGGTTAATTTGGGATTTGAAAGGGGCTAAAGGAAAAGAGGGGAAGAGAGAGAGAGAGAGAGAGAGAGAGAGAGTCCAGTGTAGTGAGATGAGGCGTACAGAAGTGTTTGACAGGCAGAGTAGTGACGCAGTGAAGAGAGGGAGATGCTGTATAAAAAGGACAGGAAGTTTTGGACGAAGCAAGGTAATATGAAGATTGAAAGGAGAGATAACGACCGTTGAACAAGCCGAGGTAGGATACAAAGCTTGATGGGATCTTGAACAAAGATGAACACAACAAATACTTACCAGCCCAGTTGACCTGGTTGCTCGGAGCCGGAAGAGACTTGAAAGCGTGCCAGAGAAGGGCAGCGCAGTTGGACAAATTGCTATTTTGAAAGAGTACATTAGCACTAATGAGGATCTTGTACGTTCCATCTGTTGTTTTCAGGACGGACCATCCCGAGAAGGGGCTGTGGGGTACATGTGGGAGCCAACGTTGACGTACCAAACCTAACGAATGTCAATTATTCAGGTCATCTTCTTAGACATTGTCCCTTCTTGATGTGGTGGTGCAAGCAGGCTTGGTTGCTCATCTTACCCAGTTCCTCTGCTCATAGAACAGACCTTCAGCTTGGTCGAGAACCTGCTGGTAGGCCTCTTCCTTGGTGACGTTGGCAGCAAAGTTGGAAGCGTCGGCGTGAACCTATAAGACGAATATCGTGTTAGTCTCAACCGTCCTCAAGTTCGGAGAAGCCTGTAGTTCGTAGGTATGCTCGATGAGGTCTTCAATTCTCTCAAAACGATGGATTGGACTGATCTAAGCTGTTCACGAACCATTTTGACGTATTATTATGACCCTGTTCTTCCTATGTACAAATTCTCAAAATCGACCAAGAGTGGTTGGTGGTGTTGGACACCGAGGAAGCGAACTTCAACTTTTGAAATTTGTCATTCCCGTCTTCATTTCTGAATCTGGGGAAGTGGGGCCAAATGGCACTGCTCCGGTCCGTGCGGGACTGCCGCCGTACCGGCAGCAGATGGGCCGGTCCCGAGTGGCCCCCGGTGGATTCACGGTTTCGATCCCAAAAGAGGACCGGACTGAATTACCAGCCGGGTGAAGGAATCGAAGATAATTGGGCGGATACTTACTAGATGGCTTGGTGGGCGGGAGGCTCGTCATCGCTTCATACTACCCTTCTTGTCACGTTGTGCTGATGGCAGCTTGTCTTCGATGGGCACAGTTCGTCGTCTTCCACCATTCATTGAAGTTTCCCGCCGGGCAGGTGTTGACCAATTCTTCCATCTCATGACGGTATCTTCCGGAATGCCGCTCTATCAAGTACAGATGTGAAACATCACAGGTTTTCCGAGCGGCATCTTGGACATTGCTCTTTGCACTTGTACGCAGTGTCTGGTCCTGTCGAATCTATTCTTGAAGATAGTGTTGCTGTCGTTTCGCACCGTGATTTCCATTACTCGTTCATTTATCCATTGGTATGGGTATCAGCTCTAGGTTGATGGCTGCTTAGGTGGTTCTTTGCGTCGAAGTAAAGAAAGGTGACCTAGTTCTGGTACATAAGTGGTTGAATGGAAGAAGTTCGGCACCCCAGAGCTTCGCTTGCCAAGACATTAATCGTACCTGTACGTACGTATGTACTTAGCCCCACCCCTCCCGTCCCTCTGTTTCCATTCCACGCCCAGTCGTCCCGCCTGTCCCTCTTTTATCTGCAGTGCATCTAAAGGAAGAGGTACAAAGTTCGACCTAAAGTTAACAGAATCGCAAGTTGTTGGAAGTCCCGACGACACCATTTACGCTCGTCTGTTTCCATCCTCTACCGATATACTTTACGATTCCCATACTATAGACCTTTCACGGATACCACCATTGCCGTGGCAACCAGCAGATTATAGCTGCCTCAGGCACAGAACAGAACCTCTTAGGCATCCTAACGCGAAGGCAGTGGACAGGGGCGCCAAGAGCTGTGGCCCGTGACGTGAGCGACGCGCGACACGGGAATTTTTGTGTCTTTGGCCTGGAACCGGATCCCGGCTGGCAAGCACTGTAGAGTACTAGCAGTGCCGGCTGGAGAGGTGTGGTAGCCTTGTTCCTGTCATCTTGAAGGGTGTCTGCCGCCACCGTCAGTACCAGAGCAAGCAGCCCCTCGCAGAAAGCACGACTTCACCCAAACCCAAACCTCTGCTGATTTGATTGTTTCTGCCATCTCCAATCGCGCGCCGCTGTGCCGTCGCTCATCATGGCAGACATCAAAATCGACAGCAAGGTCTTCCAGGAGCGCGTCTCGCACTTCTATAATGCCTGGAAGGCCGACAAGCGCTCCGGAGACGCTCTCTTCGGTGGCGTCTCTTCCATCGTCATCCTGATGGGCAAGGTCGACGAGAACCCCGAGTTTCACAAGAACAATGCTATCCATGTGAGTTATGCCCTCTGGAGAGCCCGCTCGGCGTGCGCTGGCTGTACGTCTGGTGCGCCATTCCAGTCAAACGACAGCTGCTGATAGCTCTACGTAAAGTTCTGGCTGCTAGGTTACGAGTTCCCGACGACCCTCATGCTGTTTACCCTCGACACCATCTACATTCTCACCACCCAAAAGAAAGGTTCGCTCGGTATTCCCGACCCAAGAACACGGACAAACTATCTGACACGTTAATAGCCAAGTACCTCGACCAAGTGAAGGGCGGCAGATACCCTGTTGAGGTCCTCGTGCGAGGGAAGGACGCCGCCGAGAACGAGAAGCTTTTCATCAAAATCACGGATGCCATCAAGGCTGCGGGCGTAAGTTACATCCCATCTTGGGCGCACATCAACATCTCGGTGCGATTCTAACAAACTTCCGCTCGTTATAGAAGAAGGTTGGCGTCCTCACCAAGGACACCTCCAAGGGCCCCTTTATCGACGAATGGAAGAAGGTCTATGCCGATAACTGCAAGGATGTGGAGGAGGTTGACGTTGCCCAGGCTCTGTCTGCTGGCGCCTTTTCTGTCAAGGATGAGACCGAGCTTCGCGCCATGCGCACCTCGTCCAAGGCTTGCGTCGCCCTCCTGACCCCGTACTTCCTCGACGAAATGTCCAATATCCTCGACCAAGATAAAAAGATCAAGCACAGCGCGCTAGCCGATAAGGTCTTCAACAAACTGGAAGACGATAAGTTCTGGAAGACCGTCGAGCTGCCCAACCGACAGAAGCTCCCGGCTGACCTCGATCCCGAGCAGCTGGACTGGATTCTTGGACCGATCGTCCAAAGTGGTGGCAAATTTGACCTGAAGTGGCAGGCTGATTCTGACAATGATATACTCCACCCGGGAATTATCATCGCGGCTATGGGTCTCAGATACAAGTCCTATTGCTCCCAAATCGCCAGAACTTTCATGGTCGACCCCAACAAGTCCCAAGAAAGCAACTACAAGTTCCTACTTGCTGTTCACAATCTCATTCTCAAGGAGATCCGGGATGGTGCCATTGTCAAGGATGTTTACACCAAGGCCTACAACTTTGTCCGGTCCAAGAAGCCCGATCTTGAAAAGCACTTTCTCAAGAACGTCGGCTTCGGAATCGGCCTCGAGAACAAGGACCCGACTTTGATCCTCAACAACAAGAACACCCGTACCCTCAAGGATGGCATGACACTGGTTGTTACCACCGGCTTCAGTGATATCCAGAACCCCAATCCCCAGGACAAGAACAGCAAGGTCTATTCCTTGATCCTTTCCGATACGATCCGTGTCACTAGCTCCGAACCGGTGGTGTTTACTGGCGAGGCGCCTGTCGATGTTGATGCCACCTCGTTCTTCTTCAAAGATGAGGAAGAAGCACAGCCCACACCGAAGAAGGAGAAGCGGGACTCTAGGGTGGGTGCCGTTGCAACCAAGAACATCACCAGCACTCGTCTACGCTCTGAGCGTAATACAACGGTAGATGAGGACGCGGACAAGAGACGTCGCGAGCATCAGAAGGAACTTGCGCAGAAGAAACAGAAGGAAGGCTTGGCCAAATACGCTGAATCTACCGCTGATGAGAATGGCGTCGAAATCAAAAAGTTCAAGCGCTTCGAATCTTACAAGCGGGATAATCAATTCCCGCCCAAGGTTAAGGATATGGGCATCGTTATTGATCAAAAGAACGCGACCATAGTACTGCCTGTTATGGGCAGGCCGGTACCCTTCCATATCAACACCATCAAGAACGCAAGCAAGAGTGACGAGGGCGAGTGGTCATTCTTGAGAATCAACTTCCTATCTCCTGGCCAGGGTGTGGGTCGGAAGGATGAGCAGCCATTCGAAGATGCGTCTGCACATTTCGTCAGGAGCTTGACTTTCAAATCGACTGATGGCGATAGGTATGCTGACATTGCAAACCAAATCTCGAACCTCAAACGAGACGCTGTCAAGAAGGAGCAGGAGAAGAAGGATATGGAGGATGTAGTTGAGCAGGACAAGCTCGTCGAAATCAGAAGTAAGTCGCTTACCAGGAACAATTGTCATCGCAACATACTAATCAACTATCAGACCGTCGGCCCGCCGTATTGGATAATGTCTTCATCCGGCCGGCCATGGAGGGCAAGCGTGTGCCTGGTAAGGTGGAAATTCACCAGAACGGTATTCGCTACCAGTCACCTCTCAGCACAACGCAACGCGTGGATATCCTCTTTTCCAACGTTCGCCACCTCTTCTTCCAACCATGTCAGCATGAGTTGATCGTGATCATCCACATCCACCTCAAGGATCCCATTATCATTGGAAACAAGAAGAAGACGAAGGATGTCCAATTTTACAGGGAAGCTACTGACATCCAGTTCGACGAGACCGGCAACCGGAAGCGCAAGTATCGTTATGGTGATGAGGATGAGTTCGAGGCTGAACAGGAGGAACGCCGGCGCCGCGCAGAGCTGGATCGCCTGTTCAAGTCGTTCGCGGAAAAGATTGCTGAGGCGGGCCGCAACGAAGGCATTGAGGTGGACATGCCACTCCGCGACCTTGGTTTCAACGGTGTACCGTTCCGCAGTAACGTGTACATCCAGCCCACCACGGAGTGTCTCATCCAGATCACCGAACCTCCATTTATGGTCATCACCCTTGAGGACATTGAAGTCGCACATCTGGAACGTGTCCAGTTTGGACTCAAAAACTTTGATCTGGTATTTGTCTTCAAGGACTTCACGAGGCCACCATACCATATCAACACCATTCCTGTGGAGTCTTTGGAAGACGTCAAGGAGTTCCTTGACTCGTCCGACATTGCCTTCTCAGAGGGTCCTCTCAACCTTAACTGGGGTGTCATTATGAAAACGGTCACTGCCAATACCCACCAATTCTTCTTGGATGGCGGCTGGGGCTTCCTGCAGAACGACAGCGACGACGATGAAGTGGAGGAGGAGGAAGAGGAGAGCGCCTTCGAGATTGACGAGAGCGAATTGGAGGACGCTTCCGAGTCCAGCGAAGAGGATTCCGAGTACGACTCCAACGCCTCGGAGGAGGCCAGCGATGAGGCGGAAGACAGCGAGGAAGAGGAGGGCGAGGATTGGGATGAGTTGGAGAGGAAGGCCAAGAAGCGCGACAGAGAGAGCGGCTTCGACGACGAGGAGGAACGCGCGGCACCCAAGAAGCGGAGAAAGTAGACTGATTAGACTCGGTCTTCGTCCTCTTAAGCTCTTCTTTCTCGCGATATGACAAGGTTAATCGGTCGACTTTTATTTTCCTTGTGAGTTTGCATATCTTGGGGAAAGGGTTTCAAAATCGGGCCTGTGTATAAGTTTGGCTTCTCTTCAAACTTTCCTCTTTTTTCCTTTTTCCTAGGTCGGCGTGGATTTGGTTTTACGCAGTCTTTTCTTCTTCCAATGGGCAAATTTGTCTGGCGTGCAAATGGGATATATTGTTTGGTACTGTAGTTGTATGAACATAGTAGGTAGTAGTAAACTGCTTGTTTCACACAATCTGGCATAGTGAGTGGTGTCGTACTTCCATTGGAGTTGTCACACGAAATGAAGTCGAGCTTGTGGTTTTTTGAAGAATTGTGAATAGATAATGAGATTTACATCCCATGAAATGCATCTGTACTAAGTAGTAAAACGGAAAATATACCAAACCCAAGACGCCGTTCAGTTATTGATATCCCAAAAAGACTTGTGTAAACGCGTGCTGAACTTCAAAACCCCGCGAAGTTTTTGGAAACAACAACAGGCAAAGCTCACAGAGGGCGGTTCCGTGTTGGATCAGGAATCCCGCCCTCTCTCTCTCTGTCTCCTTGTCTCCTCCTCCTCACCCTTTCCGCCTCTTCCATCTCAATTCATGTTTCGACCAGCCAGCTAGCCAGCCCCCGTCCGAGCCTCATCCCGCAGGGTAAGAGTTTTCATCACATCCATCCAACCATCCATCCATCTCACGGCGTAATTAGGGTCTAGATTATGTCTTCGTTCTTTGTGTGTTTTGTCTTACTTGGTTTGAGTTCTGGTTGTTCGCTTCACGTCGATCCAGTCTGAGCGGCCGAAGGCTGATTCCACGACAGGTACGACGGGTCGCCCAGCTTGCGAGGCTTCCATATGAAGAAAGACAAGACGAAGTAGATGTCAAGAATAAGGCAGATGCCGCCGACAATGAGGAATATTATCCCTGGCCAGATGTTGCGGGCGCCCATGGCGGTGATGGTGGTGAGCACAATGGACTTGTGTCCGTTGTAAACGGTGGTGTTGAAGTTGTCGACAATCTCAATCCGGTAGTTGCCCGCCTTCATGGCGTCGTGCTCGTTCTTGCGCACCAGCTTGTAAAAGTCGGGCGAGGCAGCGAGCATCATCCAGTTCTGGAAGTCGGCCCAGTTCTTGAGGTCGGGAAGCTTGGTGTCGTTTGTGTAGCCGTTGGGCCAGGCTGCCTCCCAGTTGGGTGGGGGCACTATATCGGCCCGCGAGTACTTCGTCTCGCCGTATAGGTCCTTCAATCCCTCCCAGCTGATGTCGCCGGCCTTGTTGGACATGACGTAGTCGGTAGAGTTTTGCTCGTTGTAGGGGTTGGAGAAGGTGTCGTTGAACATGGAATTGGCCACCACGCCGCACGGGTAAATGACCTTTCCGCTTCCTCGAGGGTCGAGATCCAGGGGCTTGCAGGTCGAGCCGTCGATAACATCCTTGGATACGGCATCGCCCAGAAGTTGCTTGGCGTTGAACGAGTTAACATAGCGACGATGGTTCTGGTAGAAGTTGTCGAGATGGTAGTAGAAGCTGACGGGTGCCGGGAGTTCCTCGGGAATAGGGAATGAGATAACGCAAATGTTTCTTGGAGCCGTGACGCCGCTCCACTCGAAGGTTACGTTTTTCTCCTCAACATGCCATGTCGACATCTTCTTGGGGTCTAGGTTCGGATGGTCGGCCAGGGCTTTTGACGTGAAGTGCGACTTGATGTTATCGGGCGGAATCGGTTCCTTTGTGCCATTGCCTCTGGGCGCATTTCTGAGACAATCTGTGTAGTCGATACTGATATCTCGAACCTAAAAAGATGGATGGCATGGTGAGCGGCTGGTCGGACACTTTTTGCAGCAAGTGACAGGGGGCACAGAAAAGGACCGGGGGAAAGTACAGTGAAGGCGAGATATGTCAAGTAGGCGCCAAAGCCAAGATAGATGGCGGCGAGGACGGTGAAAATGGAGACGATAAGTTTGGGCGTGAGCACGCATTGCCAGGCGCGCATTCGTTGCTGGCGGAAAGCAGTGTTGGGTGGACGGTTCTTGGGAGCATCTGTCTCTGATGAGTTGCCGTCCTGGGAGCCATCGCGGCCGCCACGGCGACGGCGAGGTGCCATGTTATCGGATTATTCCAGCGACTATTGTCGTCGCTAAAAGGTCGGAAAGATTCGAAGACCAGAAGAAGGGCGCTTGTGATGATGCAAGTGGAAATCAAGCCGTTTTGTAAAGTTGATGGAACGGCGGCGCCAGGAACACACGCACAGGGACAGAGTCTAAAGGTGGGCAATGGAATTGTCGACGAACAGTTTGAGTCGGGCGCTACAAGGACAGGACGGACGGGCAAGTCCACTGCACTCCATCGCTGCAATGGCTCGAGACCTGAGTGGGCAGTGGAACGCGGACCCGGACCCTTCGGCCTTCTGGGGCGTTGCAACAATTCGAAATGGTCCGTGCCTTCCTCTTGGCAGGGAGGCTGTGAGTTTCCATTTCAGGGTTTGGTTGTCCGACGACGTCCGACTTCACACTCGGATATCATCATCTGAGCACTCTCACGAGATGTCTCACGTGAGCGAGAGCTTATCCAGGCCGCTCAACTGAGGGAACCGCTGAGGGCAGCACACGCACGGGCCATTCTCCGCTGCCCCGCGAATGCACGTCAACAGTCATTTAAAGAGGTGCTTCTTTAGAACACAACAACCACCTCCAGAATCGGGCACAGAGTGAGCTGCCAATCTCTATATGTGCCACCAATCTCTCGCTTTGCTTCACTTTTTTGCACACCGTTTCTGTTCTGCGACTTTAGATCAGTCTCACTATCTGGTACAAGAGTGATATATCAGCTGTGTGTCTTGTGTTTACCGTTCGGCGCCCGGGTGGTATCTCGGCCTTTTGCATATCAGTATCTTGATTGCAACATGTTCCAGGTCTCATCCGCTCCACTTGATCTGATGGGGTCGGGGACCAGTCAACCGGACACTATATACGCAACCAGCAGCGTTCATGCGCAACGAAGTGATAGTAACAATTAGTTGTTCGTGCAAGACGCGAAAGACTTCTTCCCCGTCGTGTGCGTGAAGCCTTGTGCATGTGTACAACGAAGCATTGAGACAAAACGGCTGCCGAACAGCATCGAGATCATCAATGGGGTACTGCGTAAAACTGATAGATAATGCCAAGTCTTCGGGGATGGTTGCCACCCGCAAAAAAAGAAGCTGTTTCTGGCTTCTCTAGTCGAGTTTGGCTCGCAAAACGTTACGAAATGGCTGCCGAGATCTGCAAGAGAAGCCGAAGAAGAAGGACAGCATCAGACTCACGCGTCAGACACCCGACGGGGGCGGATGGGTCAATGAGGTATTGAGGTTACAGCCAACCAGACTCTAGACCACATGTGCAACCCCGGCGACAGAACATCTGAATGGCAGGCAATGCGGGCAAGCTGGCACCAGAGAAAGAGAGCTGGCACACGCAAGACAGGCAATTGGACAGGCCACGCAGGGACACAAAAAGAAGCAAGGAAGAAGAGGGGGGGGCAGTCGCATGAAGGCTCGTGCTTGTTTTCTAGAAGGATTCGACAGATTTGAGTCTGTGATCGTGCTTGACGGAACTTGTGGAGAAGCAACAAGGAGCACAAGAGAGGTGGGTCTTGCCCCCAGCAGGGAACGGAGGAGGGCATTGCCTTCATTGTTCCAGTTGTCTCGACCCTGCTGATAGTCAATCACTGACGTGGCTTCGAAAGATGTTGGTAGAATGATGGCTGACGAACATCAACGCGTGACAAGATGAGGAGTTGAAGATTCAGCGCCGGCTGCTAAGGGAAATCCAAAGCCAATTCCATGAGGCGGTTCTGGAAGGCTTCTGTAAGCCTTCCCGTCTGTGACACGGTCCTAGGTACTTCTACTTACCTTAACGGCCAAGCTGAGGCAATGGCCGGGAAGGGAAATCGCAGAGAACCCTGCACGCCAGCACGGCAACGGTCGACCGTCCAGCACCTTCACGACCCAAAACCCAGATAACGAGCGCAAACGGCATCACCCACCCCACCTGCCCGCCAAAACCTAAAGCTTCACCTCCTCCACATCACTCCCCTCATGCCAGCTTTCCTGCTCTCTGTGTTTCCCGCGCTTCTACTCTCGCCCTTTTAACAAAGACAGTAATAACCGAAGACTCCCTTGTCGCATTTGCCGTGGTCGTGCTCAGCTCTCCAGTCCTCTGTTGTTATTGCCATTCCCCCTTCCATCATTTCCACCTCCACTCACACAGCTCCCCGCCGCCTGCTTCGTTCGGTCAACACGCCTCGCCACAGCTGCCTTGCTTCTTTCTTGCGTCGCTACAAGTCAACTCCTCTGCAAGTGAGATCGCAACCGCAACCGCAATTGCCCTCGCGACACCAGAATTCGGTCGCAACGAAGAAACCTACCCTCGTGCTGCGGTGTTTGCCGAACCGTCTTAGCCTTTATTCCTTGTCCACACTACAGCCTCTTTCTGTTCTGCTTTCCCGGGCAGCCACGTATAAAGCATCTCGGGCTACGAGCTGGTCAAAGCATCCCAGCCTTTGCTCCCTTGCCATCGCCCATTCGGCAATCCCGCTCGTCCTTCATCATCCCGCCCGCGATCCTCTGAAACCTATCCATCCATCTCCGGCGTTCGCAACCACCGCAAGACTGTTGTCCGCGAGATTGCTTGCGACCTCAACCTCTCCATACCACCTATCCTACATCTGGTGATCCCTAGGTAAGTTCCCTAATCTCTTCAGCCATGTCTCACCTTGTTTGCTCGATCAACATCGTTGTGCAATCGAACATCTTGTACCCGTGCGCTAGGTCGCATAGATTCGTAGTCCAACAGATCACATGGAGTGTGGATTACTGTCATCCCAAGACCGATCTCTTCTCTGCGTCATGCCATTCTGCCAATTTCGCAATTTCCCGTTCGGCAATTCCACTCTGATCCGATGTCAAGATCTATGCGGGTGATCATCCATGCTTGTTCTTTCGGTAATCAGGTGCTAATTTTGTAAAGTGCTTCCAGGCGCCAAAGATCTACCTTCCAACGCCCCGTGTTAAATTACAGACGCTCTGGTCCCTTGCGACCTTCCGATCTCCATCCGACTTTTGCTCGCGAATTATAAAATAAAGTTCGGAGACAAAACATTTCTGGATCCCTTTCCTCAGTTTCACTAGGTAGTGTTTGGTCCAAGCTACAAGCATCTGCATATTTGATTCCAACATTTGTCTGATATAAGGCAACAGCTCTCAATTTAGCTCGACACACCTCACAAAATCCATCTGTTGGGATCAACGTCACCACAATGTCGAGCACAGGTTTCACCAGCCCTTTTGGGAACGCAAACCCGTTTGGCAGTTCAGGCAGATCTGAATCTGGGCCAATGCATAGGCTGGTTGAGGAAGACGAGAATGATACTATTACTTCGCCTACAACTCCCCATTTCGGCGTCAAGAACAACACTGCGCCCTCTTTTTGGAACGGCTTTGGTGGCGATGCTCCGTCAGACATGCCCGTCCGGCGCCAACCTGATGACTTCCCTGCTCACTACAACTTGGGTCGCCGGACCTCCGTTTCGGCAGAATCCCTGAAACCAGTCACGGATAACTCCGACAACTGGTCACCTCCTGTTCATCCGAAGACAGCAGAGCAACTTGAGCGTTTGAAGAAAGCCATCAGCGGCAACTTTCTTTTCAACCACCTTGAGGACGACCAGAGTGCCCAAGTATTGGGTGCTTTGGTAGAGAAGCCGGTGCCTGCCAAAGGAATCAAGGTTAGTACCTGAAGCCACTGCAAATCTCTGTTTCGAGAAAGACGGTTTTTCTAACGCTTTTTGGCAGGTGATCACTCAAGGCGATGCCGGTGATTATTTCTATGTGGTAGAGAAGGGAAGATTCGAGGTTTATGTCAACAGCACCGGCGCTCTTCAACCCGGCCCAGACGGCATGGGACAGAAGGTTGGCGAGATAGCGGAGGGTGGCTCTTTTGGCGAGCTTGCCCTCATGTACAACGCACCCCGTGCTGCCACTGTCGTCTCTGCTGAGCCCCAGTGCACACTATGGGCGCTTGATCGTGTCACCTTCCGACGAATTCTCATGGAATCGACCTTTTCTCGTCGTCGGATGTACGAGAGCTTTCTGGAAGAAGTGCCCATCCTCAAGACCCTTACGCCATATGAGCGGTCCAAGATTGCGGATGCTCTCGAGAGCCAGAAGTACCCGGCTGGCCATGAGATCATTCTTGAGGGTGACCCCGGCCACTCCTTCTTCCTGTTAGAGGCTGGCGAGGCGGCAGCGTTCAAGCGAGGAAACGATTCTCCAGTTAAGAACTACAAGAAGGGCGATTTCTTCGGTGAGCTTGCGCTGCTGAATGATGCCCCTCGCGCGGCCAGCGTCATCAGCCAAACTGAGGTCAAGGTTGCCAGGCTTGGCAAGAATGCTTTTCAAAGGTTGCTTGGTCCGATTGAAAGCATCCTGCGGAGGACTAGGTACGTTGAAGCGGAAGAGGTGGATCCTTTGCAGGTGTCTTGAGGAGACCAGAGTGCAAATTGAATTGTTATAGACTAAAATGGCTTTCATCATCACTGTTGGGTAAGGTCCGTTCTTTGGCCTGGGTTTGGGGTTCAAGACTTGCACACAGAAGTAGTTAGTAGTTGTTGTCGATGTTAGCTTTATTGCTGGTTAGGAAAGGCGTCTACTAGGTTCTAGTACAACATATACTGATATCATTCATTGTCGCCCATTTGTTCCCAGAACCGCGAAACGCAGGCTGCAGACTGGTCTTCCACCTGCTCGATACCGTATGGGTCTCTATTACCGAGTTTCATTGTGCTTGTTGTGTTGTTTTGGTGTTGCCTCTCCTCTCTACCAATGTCTATCCCCCGGGGGATTCTTTGCAAATTAGGTACCTCGCAGTTCATTCCATGGTCCTTGTCGAGCTCATTCGTTGTCTATCGTGACACGCCCTCCTCTGATGCAGATTGATGCTTCACCGAGCTTTTCTTCCCCCATGTGTCTATACAGCCAAACACTTTGTACCTCGCCTGTAAACCCAGGACAAAACCAAAGCCACAAAATCTCCTCTCCATCTTGAATTGCCACCCCCTACTCCATCCCCCTCCTAACCTCCAAAACCTGCCTCCTCAACCCCTCCACAGCCGCCTCCGTCTCCAACACCCTCCCCACACCCTTCTTCCACGTATCCTCCAGTCCCAAGATCTCCGGTCCAACCTCGTCCTGCGCCTGTTTCCGCTGCAGCGTTACCAGATCAATCTCCCTCTTCGCCTCCACCAATTCCTTTTCTATAGCCTTCAGCTCCCCCTCTAGCTGCCAGTTGCCAATCAGCCACGCGTTCTTGCCGTACGCGTCCAGCAAAGCTAGGTGCGCGCGCCGCTGCGCAACGTAGGCGTGGTCCGTGTAGGCTTTTCCAAGTAAAGAAGAAAGAAGGGTGGTGGCTTCGGAGCTGTCCATTCCTGCAAGTTCAGAGGCGGAGGGGATCTCGGGGAGGGAGGAGTAGCGGGCTAGGTCGAGGGCGGAGAGTTTTGGTGGCGGGGCTTGTGTACCGTCGGGGTTGGCTTGGACGTGGGAGGCGATGCGGTCGAATTCGGATTCGAGGAGGGGGGTCATATGGGAAGAGGGCGTGAGTGGAGGGGGGAGGAGGGCGTGAAAGGGGTCGTCGGGATGGAGAGAGCGTTCGGCGGCTATGAGGGCTTCGGCGGCGGAGCGTTCGGAGGGGGTGGGTTCCGGGTCAATGTCTGTGATGGAGGAAAAGGTTAGTTGAGTTGATTGGGGGTGGGTGAGGGTGCGGTGAAGGAGCAGGAGAAGATCCAGTGGAGGGTTGTACAGTATGGTTGGACGTACATGGGAGGGATTCGTGGATTGTGGTTATTAGTGGCATTTTGGCGGTTTTGTTATGCGACTTGTCGCTATCTTTTGGGAAATGAGGGTGGTGCTGATTTTGATGCGCTGTCCTTTCGAGATTTGCCTCCTTGGTTGTAGTAGTCGGGCACAGCTGGTTTAATGAATTCCGGACGTAGTAGTTGATAGTTTTGGGTACGGCGTGAAACCCGTTGGAATGCAATTTTGGCTTGTAATGTGCGATACCGTGACCTAGAGGTATGTTTGCATTGCGATGCGATGCGATAGCGCGAAGGTGGCAGTCGCGATAACACGAAAAATCGTTCCCCACCTCGACCCGGAGTTGGGCTGAACAGCGGCAGGACCACTGTGCGCAAGACCCCCTGATCAACGGTGCTTGGCGGTGAGCTTCCCTGGCCTTGAGCGCTATTCTCGTTAATGGCACGGTGTGGTATCCGCTCTTCAGCTCCGCTAGTGGGTCCTATGACGACACAGCTGCTTTGGCGCCAAGCAACCTTGTTGGCCGGTCGCCCGGCAGGCATTGTTTACTGTTAATCATCCCGGGCTATCCAGAGGGCTGCTTGTGCCTGTCTTTGATTGTTTCCTGACTATATAAGCGTCTGTAGCATGTTCATCACTTTGGAGAAGAAAAGTCGAACGCGGAACATCGTCTGCTTTGTCTACTCTTTTTGCTGATGATATTTACATCCGAAAGTCACGGCTTTGTTATCGAGTAATCCACCGAGCGATGGCACCCCAAGTTGGTGATCTTCAGTTCGAACCTCTAGCTGTTGATCAGGAAAAGGCACAGACATTCGAAAGGGACCGGAAAGTCGATACAAGCAAAGTCCCTCTTCGAGTTCGGTTCGCCGAAAATCCAGACTCACAAAGAACTCCACGGTGTCCTACATCCAGAGCAGCATCCCTGTTCATAGGAAACATCTTGATAGTTATCTCTGTCGCTGTTGCCTTGTTCCTGGTCGCTGCGCAATTCGATAGCTTATCATGGAACTATTGGCGCTCAGATATTTCCAATCCAGGAACCAATGTGTCAACATGCGCTACGGACACCCAATACCTACTTGGTGTTGGCAAAGGTGACATTACCGGTCCAGTGGTTGAGATTAACCTCATGGGCTACGCCGATCCAAAACAACTGGGTACCGGTCTTCGTCAACGACTTTACTCGCGAGCCTTTATTGTCGGAAGTCTCGAGCGTCCTCAAGATCGATTCGTCTACCTGGTTCTCGATACGCAGTCCGGCGATACTGCGGTCCGATATGGTATCATCAAAGCCTTGAAAGAGCTAGGTCCCGAATATGCCTTCTATGGCCACCACAACATCGCCCTTACAGGCACCCATTCCCACGCCGGGCCCGGAGGGTGGTTGAACTATCTATTACCACAGATCACGAGCAAAGGTTTCGATCGCCAGGGATACCAAGCCATTGTCGACGGCGCGGTCTTATCCATTCGAAAGGCGCACGAGAGCTTACAACCAGGGTACCTCAGCGCAGGCACAACCAAAGTTTTTGGAGCGAACATCAATCGCAGCTTTTTCTCTTACCTCGCAAATCCCGAAGCCGAACGCATGAAATACTTCAAGAGCGAAGAAGAAGATGGCTCGGTGGAGAAAGACCTTACCATGCTGAAGTTCCAGCGAGCGTCGGATGGAAAGAATATCGGTGTTCTTACGTGGTTTCCTGTTCACGGAACCTCTATGCTTGGTAACAACACAGTAGTGACTGGAGACAACAAGGGAGTTGCAGCTTGGCTCTTTGAAAAGAGCGTGCGTGGAGACTCGTCAGCAGCCGAGGATTTTGTGGCCGGCTTCTCCCAGGCTAACATGGGCGACGTCAGTCCCAATGTGCTTGGGGCTTGGTGCGAGGATGAATCTGGGTCACAATGTAGCTTCAAGAACAGCACTTGCAGCAATGGCAAATCCCAGGCTTGTCACGGCAGAGGCCCGGCCTTCAAGGTTCACGATGATGGCGCCAGCTCCTGCTTCGAGATCGGAAGACGCCAATTCGAACCAGCAAAACAGTTATATGACCACCTTATCAACAATCCATCACCGGTCCGAGGCCCATGGGTTAAGGCCTTTCACACATTCCATGACATGTCCAATTTCACATTCATTCGGCCTGATGGCAAACCCGCCCGCTCCTGCCCAGCGGCATTGGGGTATTCCTTTGCTGCAGGAACGACTGATGGGCCAGGGGCATTCGACTTTACTCAGCACAACGGCAACGAGAACACGACAATGCCTATCTGGAAAGTTGTTCGGTATTTCATCAAGGCACCAGGCGAGGAACAGAAGGCTTGCCAGCATCCCAAGCCTATTCTCTTGGATGTAGGCGAGATTCTTAGGCCTTACGATTGGAGTCCCAACATTGTTGATGTACAAGCCTTCCGTGTCGGACAATTTGCCATCGTCGTCAGCCCAGGCGAAGCCACCACCATGGCTGGTCGTCGGTGGAAAGAGGCCGTGGGCCAAAGCTTCAAGAGGATTCTCGATCAAGACATGGAACAGATCTACGGCTACACTGGTGGACCTTCGAGCAATCCCATTGTCGTCTTGGGCGGACCCGCAAACACTTACACGCACTATATCACCACCGAAGAGGAGTACCAGATTCAGCGGTACGAAGGAGCGTCGACACTCTACGGACCCGATACGCTCAACGCTTACATTAACGTGACTCTATCATTCCTCCCTTACCTTTCTTCCGAGTCTACCAGCCCGCCGGTCCACGATGAAAAGTCGTTCCCGCCTGACAACACGAACCGATCATTGTCTTTCATCCCGGCGGTGGTCCGTGACGCGCCACCACTCTTCAAAGGCTTTGGAGACGTTCTGGTTGATGTTGACTCGGCGCGAGGATACCATAGGGGAGACGCGATCCGGGCGGTGTTTGTTGGTGCCAATCCCAGAAACAACCTCAGGTTAGAGGGAACGTACGCGGCAGTAGAGAAGTTGTTTGTCGACCAGATGAGCCCTCAAAAGTCTGAGTGGCGGACCGTGAGAAACGACGAGGATTGGAGCTTGATTTATAGCTGGAAGAGGAAGAACAGCGTGATGGGAACGAGTGAGGTGGAGATTACGTGGGAGACTGGGGAAGAGACCGATGAGTGGTGGGATAAGGAGCTCGGGCCGGGAGTGTATCGACTCAAGTATTATGGCGATAGCAAGAGCTTGTTTGGGGGCAAGGTCCAGGAGTTTGAGGGCGTCAGCGGGGCATTCACCTTGGTATAAGAGAACTGGCTTGGAGGATGAGAATAGCACGGTGTTTTCGGTAAAGTGGTATACATGGAGATGGCGTTTTCGGGGGACTTTTGATAAGCGTTATGGGGGATCTGGGGTTTCGATATCCGTTCATTCCAGGTTGTTTGGTGTTTAAGTTTTCAGTACACTGGTTCATATTGACTGATATTCATCATATTGCTTGGTTATATTCACATTTTAAAGTTCGACTTCTTCATCGTCTGAATTCCAGAATAGAAGCAGCCGATCATACTAGAACTTCCGGATTGGGAGACAACACGGCTCCTTCTGCCTCTACCCCGCCTTTGCTGCATGGAATGGAAGTCACGCAGAAAAACCAGAGCAGTCAGCTTGGATTGAGCCTGGGTCCCCCCTGGGTCACTGTCACTGTGTCCTCGTCCACTTGCCCGGGACTTCCAATCCCTACCATAGTCACCTTGCACTGCCCTGACCTTCTTTTGCTCTTCGAGCCACCCTGTACTCAACACATGGAGGTTCCTTTCAGAAAAAAGAATATCGAACAATCGGTTTCTGGACCCCAGTCAAGTACGGCTTATGACGTCAATGCCCCTGACCAATAAGCTGATAACCTTGCACTTACATGCTCAAACAGAAGAAGCCCAGGCTACAACTAAGTAACCCCTGATAACTGAATCAAATCCACACGCAAATCAACACTTCAGTCACAAATCGTAACCATGGAAACGCTCGAAGACATAAAGCAGCGCACGACCGACATCCTCTCGTCGATATCGACTACTTTGACTGCCAGACACCATGCCGATGATCACGGAGCTCACATGAGGGGCAGTTGGGAGAAGATCAAACTCCCCGCCCTTCCCAGATCTTCCCATTCCGTCGACATTGTCGCCGGGACGGCCTACGTCTTTGGCGGCGAGGCCGAGAATGCCCGTCAGCCCACAGACAACGACATGCACGCCATTGTCCTTCCGTCCAGTAGTGCTCCGGCGGATTACTATGCCATCAAAGCGAAGTCACCAAAGAACACGGATGCCTCGGACGAGAAGAACAAGATCTCTGAAACCAACGAGTCAAACGAGACTCCTGCTCCGCGTGTCGGTCACGCCACAGCCGTCATCGGCCACCGCATCTTCCTCTTTGGCGGACGTGGCGGCCCTGACATGACTCCCCTCGACGAAGCCGGTCGTGTCTGGGTCTTCGACACACGTACTCACTTCTGGTCCTACCTTGAACCCGTCTCCCCCGTCAGCGAAAAACCCCCCTCTGTCCCAGAGCCGCGCAGCTACCATTCGGCCGTGGCAACCGACAAGCCCCGTAACTTCAACAAGGCATCACCCACCAAAAAGAGCAACAGCCGGCCGGATACTAGTTCTTCCACCAGTCATAATGTTGCTGGTGACATTGGCGAAGGCCTCATCAAGCGCGCGAACACCATCCGTGACTGGGCCACCGGCGACGGCAACGTGGACGAAGTCGGTACCCCGCAGCGCCCCATTGTTGGAAAGATCGCCGAGCACGCCGTTGACGCCGATGTGGACGGCTACGGCACCTTCATCATCCACGGCGGTTGTCTAGCCGGTGGGAAGAGAACCTCGGACGTTTGGGCCTTCGACATCCACTCCCGCGTCTGGCAGCAACTGCCCGACGCCCCTGGTCCGGCTCGCGGGGGTGCCGCGCTGGCGCTGAGCAGAAGCAGACTGTACCGCTTTGGCGGGTTCAACGGCGAGACGCAGGAGGGCGGACAGCTGGATTATATGGAGCTCGTACTCGAAGAGTTTGACGATCGATTCAGCAAAGGAGACGCCAGCATCTCGGTTAAAGATGGATGGAAGAGTCTGTTGCAGGGTAAGGAGGACGTGGGATACAAGGAACCGGATCCTGAGCCCGTTCCTACAGTTCTCAGCAGTCAAGACCCCGAAGAGGAGCAGTGGCCGGGAGCGAGAAGTGTTGCCGGTTTCGAGGCGATCACTGTCGGTGGTGGCCGCGAGTATCTTGTTCTTATCCTTGGAGAGAAAGAGGGTAGTGGCAAGGGACATGACGCTGCAGGAAAGTTCTGGGACGATGTCTGGGTCTACCAAGTTCCCGCACAAGGCATGAGTCTGGCAAGCGTTGGGGATAAGGTGAAGTCTGTCGTTGGAAGGAAGAGCCGGGAGGGTAAATGGTAGGTTTTCGGTCCTGTCGGATGTCTCGTTGACCATGATTGCTAACGATTTGGGCGCTGCAGGACGAAGATCGATACTATCCCACATGATGCTGAAGACATTGACTCGGTTGGCGGTCCTGGCCCAAGAGGCTGGATTGCTAGTTCAGCCATGGGCGAGCTTGAGGAGAACGGTATTTTGATCTGGGGTGGTTTGAATTCTGAGAATAACAGACTGGGAGATGGCTGGATTTTGCGGTTGCTCTGATGCGATTTATGTTTCCCGCCTTGAGGATCTACCACATGAAATGATATCGATGCCCCGCAGAATTATCCGGGGCAACGAGTGTTTATGGGCTTCAAAGTTACTATATGAGGTTGTTAGAAAGCGAGATGTGATGACTTTTAAGCGTAGAAAGGAATTGGCTTACCATAGATGTTGTCTTCCGTGAGCAACACCTAAGGTTCAACTTTGATAGGATAGGATTAACTACAAGTGGAAGGAGTGGACATTATGTAACTCAGGACATCAAGGCCTTTGTAATCAGCTTGTACCTTTCGGTTAGTTCGGATCATCTTTAGCTCATCCCCAAGAAAACCATAGCAAACAAATACAGATATTGTACTGTATAACCTGAGGGAAATTAATACATCTCTGGTCTAATGCATTTGCTGTCATCACTGTCCTGTTGGTCCATGTCCTGTCTATGTGACAGTTTCTGTCAATCGTAATTCCACCTCTGCCCCATAACGGCTCACTTAACCCGATATTTAGCCCATGGATTTAAAGATCCGATCGCGTGACCTCCGGTCCGTATGGCTCGCTCGTCAAACTTGTTAGGCCGGCGGCGTTCTCACACGTCTGTCTCCCGCTCTGTGGGCCCGGCTGAGGCGCCTTGGACACATCCGTGACGCTCTCCTTGAGCGCCGACAACACCTGCTTGATGGTTTCCGGGGTCAAATCTTCAAAGTAGTCATCGTTGATCTGGACCATGGGCGCGTTGGCACACGCGCCCAGGCACTCAACCTCGATAAAAGTGAAAAGACCGTCGGGAGTGGTCTCGCCTTGCTTGATGCCAAGATGCTCCTTGATAGCCTTGACGATCACGTCGGAGCCGCAGCCGCCTAGTTGGCAGGGAGTCTGAGGAAGGGAAAAAAAAAAGGGAGTCAGCTACAGCCGAAGCTGAAGGGAAAACACATGTGCCGAAAAAGAGGTGACAGACACCCAAGTGCAAGGGGGAAAACATACGGTAGTGCAAGCCTGAACGTGGAACTTGCCAACCGGGGTGCGGTTGTACATGGTGTAAAAAGAGGCGACCTCGTAGACGCGCATGGGCGGCATCTCAAGCAGACGGGCCACCTCGTTCATGACGCTGATGCTGCAGAAACCGTGCTGGCGCTGGCCAAGATCGAGCAGGGGCATGACGGCCGCCTTCTTGTACTGCGGGGGGTAGCGCTTGATAATCTCTTCGATGACCTTTTCATTGTCTGCCGAGAACTTGAAGGGGATGCCGGGGTTGTTGTCGGGGGTGTTCCGGTGCTGGACAATGGTGAAGGCAGACTGTCAGCACGCTGAGGAGCTTCTGACGGCTTTGTAGAAGCAAAACAAAACATACCACCATGAGGGTGTCGCTGGGCCTCCGCGCCGAAATGGAGAGGCATGCGCGGGAGACGGGCGCAATTGTCGAAGGCTGGGTGGACAGTCGGGTCGCCGCCCGGACGGCCGTCCGCATGAGGAAGGGAGTTAGCTTGGTCGCCATGGCTGCTTGATACGCGGACGGTGGCGATGAGGCCCGATTGGCGACTTGCAATTACTCGTTCGAGAGGTTGGAGCTTTTCGTAGAGCTTACGTTCTCGTCGACGTCGCAGTTTAGAGGTTGCCCGCGGTCCCGCTATGTTAAACGGGTTGGATGCTCTGATGGTTTGTGATCAAATCCGGGCAGGTGATTGGCCAAGGAGCTGCTTCGATCGGGTTAACCGAGCCGGGGCAAGTGCCACAAGCGGTGCTTCGGTCTCACTCTCCTCTCAGCTCTGGACAGCCCAAGTGGCCGCCACATACATTCACACTACACTACATATTTGGCATGTTGGGCTGTTGAAGTTGGTGGTCTGTTCCCCTTGATGTCAATTGGATCCCCGCGCCCGCAAGTCTAAACATCCTAGCTGGGCGACTTACACGACGAACGGCAGGACCCGATCAGGCCTCCGTGGGTGAACCCCGCTGTGTCCCGCATTTCAGGCTGCGTCCGTTGTGCTGGAGTCTTTTGTATGGATCCATCATCTCCCCGTCTCCATCGATTCTCTCCATTCTCTCCGCTGTGAACACGGAGTCCTGAGTCAGTCCCCGAGGCCTCGGACCCCACCAGATCCATCTTCCTCATAAGAGCTCCATCTTGCCTTGACCTGTCATCCTGAACGGTCCCGCATCTGCTCCCCTGCCGGTCCAGGGCCAACCTGACATAACACGCGATACCCGACAACAGCCAGCTTCAAAGAGCTCTCTACCCGACCCCAACCCAACGCTATTGAACTTACAACTTAACACGCGACAGATCCCGAACGCTTTCCAACGCTGCGCCCACGCTGCGCCGTCGGTCACCATGGGAGCTTTCGACAATTTGTTGTTGTCACTCGACGAGGGCATCACGGATTTCTTTGCGCAATGGAACATTTATAGCACCATCATCGTCACTGCCTTCATCGGCTTCCTCACCTACCAGATCTCTACACGAAAGGACCCCGATACGCATCCCATGCTCCTTGTCCGACAGTCTCAAGGGTCCCCCGTTCGACAGCCCGGCCAGTCTCCCGTATACCGCGGCCAGTCTGCCCCCCATGGCATGCCGCTTCAGACCGGTCTGAACGTCAAGGATCCCGGTGCCTCGCGCTGGGCAAGAGGACGCGACGGTGATCTTCGCGATATCTGGAGGCAAGCTGTGGCCGGTGTCCAGGAGGACGGCCCGAACAAGGGCGCAAAGGGCAAGATCCTCAGCGTTTTCGGTACCGAACATGTTACGGAGCACTCGTTGGACGACATCACGCGCCAGATCAACCTGATTGGAGGACACATCAAGGAGCAGGGCGGCAGTCGTGTGGCCATCTACATTCCCAACTCTGTCGAGCTACTTGCGGCTCTTTTTGCATGCGCCTTCTACAACTTAACGGCCGTCATTCTTCCCTTCGAGCAGCCGGAAGAAGATGTTATCTCAATGTTGCGCCAGTCTGGTGCTGACACAGTTATCACTGCACCCGGTTCTTTCCCTTTTGACCTTGTTGCTAAACACTACCCCAACCTCCGCCAGCTGATTTGGATCGTCGATGAAGGCAGCAGACACATGGACTGGAACGAAGTCCCTGAAGGCACCGGGAGCAGCGTCAATGTTTCTACCTGGCACGAGATTATCGGCGACAGCCCAGCCGCTGCTGGCCGCGAGCTCCCCCCTCTTGAAGGTCAACAAGAGCCCAGTGATGTCATCCTCTTCTGGCAGTTCAAGTCCGGTATCCCATCCGAGATGGTTACCTTCACAGCTGGTAACTTTGCCTCCGCCATTGCTTCCCAGCTTTTTGCTATCCCGACCTCCCAGAAGATGGGGCCATCCGATCTCTTCCTCCCCGCCGACTCTCTCGCCAACAGCCACACTCTCGTCCTGACCCTCGCCGCGCTTTTCTCCAACGCCTCTGTCGCGCTAAACTCTGTCGGAACCCAAGCCTACGACCTCGCCGCCGCGACCCGTGGCATCTCCCCTACCATCCTCGTCGCCACGCCAGCCGCCCTCGTCAAGACGCACCAGGAAACCGCCAGCAACTTCTCTTCGCTCATCGCCCGCAACCTTCACTGGCTACAGACCCGCCACCTGACCCAGTACGGCGTCATGCCCACCGCCTCGTTCCTCTCGTCCTACTACGATAGCCTTCGTCCTTCCATTGGCACCAAGCCCGGCAAGCTTCGCCTGATCCTGACCGCTGAGTGTGTGGGCTCCGATACGCCTCGCTTGTCGTCGCAGATGTTGTCGGATCTTAGAGCGTACACTGGTGCGCGCATCATCTATGCGCTGTCGGCTGCCAAGGTGGCTGGCGCAGTGGCGCAGACGCTGTTTTATGATTATAGAGTGTTTGAGGATAAGTGCTCGCACTTTGGGCCGCCGTTGAGCAGCACGGAGGTGTTTTTCAAGGATATGGGAGAGTACAAGACTACTGATGGTGTCAGTAAGGGAGAGGTAAGCTTTGAACATTTGTCCCTTTGACCTTATATCAGACTTGAGATCGGAGGAAATGGAGAACGACTTGCTAACCACATGATGAAACTGCAGATATTTGTTCGGGGACCTTCCGTCTCTGGTGGCGAGGCAGCGCTGGGCGTGCCTGGCTATATGAGGGATGATAACACACTGGCATATGCTTAAAAAGACGGGGTAGAACACGTTCAATCAATGACCGATGAATGGTAGCCTGTATGCAGGAATGCTCTTATTGAATGAATGAGCAGGGAGTTTGAGGCTGGGAGTGGAATACCTTCCCTCGGAAGATTACGAAATAGACGCATCTTCAAGGTTTCGGGCAACCAAAGACCAGACAAATCTGAACCGTAATGACATTCAGGGCATTGAGAATACTGCAGCAAGATCATCGAATGTGTATCTTCTAGCTGGCCGTTGAAAACTGTGATAGACAAAATATCCACCGTGCCAGACCCAAATAAAATTGGAAGAGCCCCCTTTACGCCCATTGCCATGAAACCCCATATTGTACTTGTTAACCTGTACACCCAAAGAAAAATAAATTAGCAGAGCAAGAACGCTTCGGTTTTGCTTTTCTTTTCTCTTTTTTCGTCGGAACATCGTCGAAAACACCCCGTCATTTCCCCGCTATCCCTTTTACGCGCCATTCCTATAGACCTGCGCCCCCTGGTTCCTAAACATAATGGTATCCCTCCTCTGCAACATCATCAGCGCCCTATTCAGCGCCACCTCGCTGAACCCTTTACCCTCCACCATTTCCCTGCGCAGGGTCGCCAAGCTGGTGCTCCAGCCGATAGGCAAGCGGCGCTTCAGCTCGGCCTCGACGCGGGACGTCTCCTCGTTCAACTCCCGGTTGCTGCCCGTGCTGCCACCTTGGTTGACAGCGTCCATGGTCGAGCACAGGAATAGCCGGATGGCCTCGTCCACGTGCTTCTCCGTTGCGACGGGCGAGAGCGTCAGCTTGGCGAGCGACTCGGTGATGCGCACAATGGCTTCGAGCTGGCGGACCGTGATAGGAATCGAGGAGCGCGCGTTGGCTTCGAGCTCTGAGGCGTGCACTTGCTTGCGGATGGCGACGAAGTGCGAGGAGAGCTTCTCGGCGGCTTCGGGAGAGAGGCGCGGTGCGCAGCGGCTGGAAGAGGGACAATGTCAGTTTGGGTACCTAAGGTGGTAGAGGAAAGCATAAACAACTTACGATCGGCAATAGCTGATGTACCGCCTCATCTTCTCGACCGGGATCTCTGCCTCAATCCGCTCTTCGACACCACGGCCACCCATATGGATGCCCATAACGTGCTTGGCGATGCGCTCATCACGGCCGCGCTCGTGCTCATCCTTGACGATGAAGATCATGTCGAAACGCGACAGGATGGTGGTCTGAAAGTCGATATTCTCGCCGGGGGTCTTCATGTCGTCGTAGCGGCCAAAGATGGGGTTAGCGGCGGCCAGGACCGAAGTTCGAGCATTGAGGATCGTGGTGATGCCGGCCTTGGCGATGGAAATGGTTTGCTGCTCCATAGCTTCGTGTATTGCCACTCTGTCCTCATCACGCATCTTGTCGAACTCATCGATACAGACGACACCGCCGTCAGCGAGGACCATGGCACCGCCTTCGAGGTAGAACTCGCGCGTGGAAGCGTCACGCTGGACGGAAGCCGTCAAACCGGCGGCGGAGGAACCCTTGCCGGAGGTGTAGATGGCGATAGGAGCGACTTTTTCGACGAACTTGAGCAGTTGTGACTTGGCTGTACCGGGATCACCAAGCATGAGGACGTTGATATCACCACGAAGCCTCATGCCATCTGGAAGGATCTTCTTGGAGCCACCCATGAGTAGACAGAGGATAGCCTTTTTGATGTCCTTGTTTCCATAGATGGACGGCGCGATGCATTCGGCCATGACACTGTAGAGATCTGGGCGACGGCTAAGCTCAAGGAACTCCTGCTCTTCCTCCTCGGAGAAGACAGCCAGACCCTTGGCTGTTTGGTCAATGTCTGTCTGGATACCGACTGCGCGGAGATAGGGTGTGCGAATGGCGACGGCGCCGCTTGTGGACTTCTTGTTGCCTCCACTTTGGTATATAGAAAAGATACCCATGACCGTACACCTTGAGCCGGGCACCACGCGGTTCGTGAGGTAGCGGTCGGCGGAAATCAGGACATGGCGGGGCAGTTCACCGACGGGAACTTGGTCTGGAGCTTCCTGAAGCTTGATAATTTGCTGATCGACGAATCTTGACTTTTCGTGTTGTACAAAGTAGGGATCCATTGGGCACTTCTCGCCAGGGTCCCCAGGTGCCCTGATTCTGCCACATGTCCTTGGAAGGGTAGCGCCACTGAAGCCGCCGGATACGTGAACGTGTTGGACGTGGCCGCAGTTGCGGCACTGGACGTGGAGTTCAGTCGCCTTGGACGACATTACCGAGGCACCAATGACGATACCAGGTACCCGGACCAGCCGGGAGATTGTAAGGGAGTCGAGGTTACGGATAGAAACATCTTCGGCGTTGGAGTGTAGAAGCAGTTGGTGGTCGGGCAGGTCTATCTTGGGTTCGTTTGGGAAGACGATTCGATGTGTGCAGCGCTTCAGAGCGGCCTCGAACAGAGGGATAATCTCGGCGGGTTCAGTGACTAGTCTGTGGGCGATCTCTTCATTGAATTTGATCAAGTCACCAATGTTGACATCGCAGTAGTATTTCTTTAGGAGGGCATTTTCTCGTAGTTGGTCTCTGGACGGAGTATTGTTAGGGGGAAGCTCGACAGAGGACAGGGGCAGCCACATAGAGTACAAACCTGTAGATAAAGCTGTTATCTAGTCGGAAGTCGAGAATGAAGGCCTCGAGCTGGGCGCGAATGTGCTGGTTGCTGTCCTCCTCTGGTACATATGAAGAAGCAGCGCCGGCGTAGGTCCGGGCTGAGAAGACGGACTGATAATCCATAACTGACGGTAGCTTGGTATGGAATTGTTTTGTTTACTCGGGTGCACTGGTCGTAGATGTTCGCACCGGGAGAATTGTAGAATAGTAGCAGAGAAGGGAGGGGTTGTTGGGGGCAGAAAGACAACTAACAGAGGGAGAATCCAAAATGGCAAAACATGGTGCGAAAACCGCGACGCGAGAAACATTGAAACTGCACACCCAAGACGCGATTTTTGGCAGGGGTTTTAATGGGCGCCCCACTTGTAGCTGAATGGCAGGTACCTGACGGCTCAGCAGGCAGGCCCCCTGAAGTGCGGAGGAAAAGGAATGCTTAAAAGGATATCCAGCTAGGGGGGATTCACCCTTCAGACACTTTTGCAGCAACCGGTGCAAGACCCAGCTTTGTGGCCCGCTCAAATACATACCACAGTACATACTGCGTAGGTAATCATCAGTGGCGGGCGGAGCTTCATTCAACTGCACTACGTATCCCGAACAAGGGTCCTGTGGGATCCAATGCCCGCTGCGTGGCTTCCGCTGTGAATTGGGGGGGGGGGACCTTGCCGACATTCAACAGGCAGCTCCGAGTCCCTGACCTCAACACCTGCTCGCGTCGAGGATACACTAGCTTTGCGCCTCTTCTTGGCCATCTTCTGTGGAAAATACAATCTGGTTCTTGTCTTGTTCTTGTTTCGCTATGATACCCCCGTGACCCTTCGCAGTAACCGCCATACTCTCTGGACCACGATACCCTCAACGCCACCTACCTTGGTTGCTTCCCTTGGCCTGCCGGCCCGCGCCTACAGCTCGATAGACTAATACCGATTACCGAAACCCCCCCATCTTCCCACGTCGCCAATCCACCGGCGCATGACCAACGGCCATCTCGTCTTCCCCTGAGCTTAGGCCTAGGACTTCTGGGAGACTTTATGAGCCATCATGTTCTCCAACCAGGGTGCTCGCAAGTCGGTCGATAGTCTTTCGCCAATACCCGATGCCGGGCGGTTTGGCGACTTTCCTTTCCACGGGTGCGATGCGCTTTGTCTGTCCATGCCCTCTCCGTAATATACACTAACATCTCCTTGAAGGAGAGGCTCACGCAGTCCGAGCCGCCCGTTCCATTCTCGACGGGATTCGACCGCGGGCTCCATACACTCCATCGGTGGCTCTCTCGACAGTTCCACTGGTACCTGGGGTGACGCCGTCCTAGAGTCCGGTCAGAACGCCATCTCGACCCTGCTCCAACCGCCTATAGTGCGAACCGGCCTCCTTCCCCATACCTCAGCACCCGCTTCCACTGCGCATAAGCCCCCGACTGCTCGAGACATTCCACCTGTCACGCTCACCAATGTCCCTCGCATTGACAATTCCGAATTCACACAATATCTCACCCAAGTCGGCGCGTTATACGAACAATTACGACGGGTTCAGGCGGACGAAGAAGAGGCATCTGGTACTCACAGCAGACGAGGCAGCAAGGCGGACGCAACCTCAGCCGAGGATGGCCACCTACGACCGGGCAAACGATCTGGCGCATCCAGGAGGGCATCCAGCTCATCCATTACTTCCATATCATCCATAGAAGCCCCGGGTCCCGCTCGACGCAGCTCCAGCTACAGGAAAGCGGCATCGCAGGGTCCTCCACCATTATCCACCATCCCCGTGGTATACTTCGATGAAGACTTTCACCTCGAGAACCCCCGAACTTTCGATGTCGTTAGTGAGCGATCCGAAGTGGTACGACCTGCGCCGGGATCCGATGACCGAGCGCACCACAATGGGCAGGTCTCCGCGCCTCGGAAGGCTCTTGCAACAAATGCCATCTTGCAGGAGAAGCTGTCATGGTATATGGACACCGTCGAAATGCACCTTATTCAGTCGATTTCAACCGCGTCAACCACCTTTTTCACTGCGCTGGGGTCTCTTAGGGAACTGCATTCAGAAGCCGCAGATTCCGTGGACAGAATCAAGACGCTGAGGAGAGAGCTAGAAAATTTGGATGAGGAGATTGCAACCAGGGGTTTGGATATCGTGCACCAACGGCGGAGACGGGAGAACATCCAACAATTGCAGGATGCAGTCATGCAGCTTCGGGAAGTGGTTGAAGGAGTGGCTGTATGCGAATCGCTGGTAGATTCGGGCGAGGTGGACGCAGCGCTTGACAACATTGACGCTTTGGAAAAACTGATTGCCGGAGAAGAGGGGGCTTCGCATAATGGTCGTCCCGGGATGGAGTTGAGAGATCTCAGGGGCACCACTGCGCTTCAGGGTGTACACACCGACATGAGGACTCTTCGGCAACGTATCGGCAAAACCTACGAAGAGAGGTTTATAACTCTTTTAATACGTGACATCCAGCGCCACGTTGCACACGTCTCAACCCAGGAGGTTCTGATGCGGTGGAGCAGTGCTTCAATACGTGCACGAGGAGGCCACAACCGCGAGCCCTCGAACCGGGAGCCCTCGGCTTTTCCCTCGTACCTGACATCAACAGACGGTTTGCGATCGGAACTTCTGGTTAGTCTGACTGGCTTACACAGGGCCAAGTTCCTTACAGCCGCTGCGACAGCTTATAGAGAGACAGCTCTGCGTGAGATCAAAAACCTCATCCGCAGGCCTCTGCCAAGTTCGAACGATGATGATAATGAGTCTATGATGTCCGCATCAACAATGACAGGGGGCAAGCAACGCTCTCAACAGGAACGTTCCTCCATCCTGGCTCGGAACCTGCGTGCCTTGGAACCCCGGGACGCGGAGGGGCTGCTAATCAAGATCTACATCGGAGTAACTGAAACACTAAGACGACTGGATACACAAGCAAAGGTATTGTTAGATGTCGCAAGTTCTCTCGGCGACTCGGATCCAACTAGTGGGCTCAGGTCTCCTCCACCTTTTAGCCCTACAGGCAGGCGTTTGTCGACGGCAGCCCTGGAGGCTCAAGAAGAGATTCATACAGCCCTCGATCTTTCAAACCTTCTTGGGCAGGCCGTCGATATTGCTCAGGATAAAGTCGTACGGCTATTGAAAGTTAGGTCGGAACAGAGCACGCGTCTAACGCTTGAATGGTTCCTTCGATACTTCACTCTCAACCTCCATTTTGCCAATGAGTGCGAGGCCATTTCAGGCCGAAGCGGGACATCGTTGAAGAATCTTGTCAATGGTCACATCAAGGAATTTGTTCAGCGTCACGGCGACGCCGAGAAGCAGAAACTTGCCCAAGGCATGGAGAGTGATCAGTGGGCAAGTCAGGATTTTACCGAAAAAGACACCGAGCTTCTCAACCGCATATTGGAAATGAGCACACGAGATGCGGCCATTTGGGCAGAAGCAACCAAAATTTGGATTCCACCCTCCGATGATGAGAATGTTGGCAGCGTTGCTACTCCTGTCCTTGAAGCGCAGGCCAACGGTGACTCTGGAGACAAGGCCGCTGAAGCACAGGCGAACGGGGCCTCCAAGTCCAAGGCACGCGCTGCGGTCGTCGACTCTGAGACATTCCTTCTCCCCAAGTCCGCGATATTGTGCATGAATGGCATGGCTCAGTTCATCCACCTGATTGTCGGCATTCCCTCCATGACGGCCGATGTGTCGTCTTCTCTCATCGCTTACCTTCAGCTCTTTAACTCACGCTGCAAGCAACTCATTCTAGGTGCAGGGGCACTCATGTCCGCTGGACTCAAGAATATCACCACGCGCCATCTTGCTGTAGCGTCGCAGGCACTAGCCTTCATCGCCGCAACGATCCCCCATGTGCGAGAGTTCGTCCGCCGTCATTGCGGAAACAACCTTGTCTCTGGTGTGATGGCAGATTTCGATAAAGTCAGACGGGACTTCCAAGAGCACCAGAATATCATCTACAATAAACTAGTCGAGATCATGACTGGCCGAGCAGTTCTCGCCTCTAGGAAAATGAGGGCAACCAACTGGGATGCCGGATCCCCAGCGGCGCACGAGTACATGGAGACACTGGCCAAGGAAACCACCACGCTTCACCGCAACTTGACTAGACAGTTACCCGAGGGAACGGTGCGCATGATCATGATGCTGGTGTTCAAGAACTACAAAGACACCTTTGGCTCGACGTTCAAGGGATTGGAGCCCACCACGGAGGCCGGGAAGGAGAGGTAATTCTTTTTCATGCCTTCATATTGACCTTAAAGAAGCAATGCTAACATATAGGCTATTCAGCATGCTGCGTGATGTCGAATATTTTGATTCTCGCCTGAACAAGCTCGACGGGTTCGAGGATGCGGGCCAGCACCTTATCAACATTGTCAAAGCCAAGGAGATCAGGAAAGCCCCATCTCGGCCCACATCGCTCACCCCGTCCCATCCTCCGTCTCGCGGTCCGTCCCGAGCTCCATCCCCTGCGCTCGCTCCCGGTTCTCGTGCCGGATCTCGCGCCGGGTCCCGCGCCGGATCTCGAGCTGGATCGCGGGCAGGATCTCGTGCGCCAACACCAACACCAACTCAAACATTAACGGGAAGAAGCTCCGCTGAAATCATAGCAGAAGTTAGTGCCGCTGCTGAAGCAGGGGGGTATGGTCGATAATGTGAAATGGGACACGGTTGAGGACTATGCGTTTAGAAAAAAAAAAGCATTAATACTGATGAACAAGGCGTTTTACCTCAAAATGTCGCGACTTGAATGACCAAAGATGCCGCTAGTAAACTTAATAATACAGCTCGCTAGCGACAGAGAGATACTGATCAGGCGTGATTCCGATCGAGATCCCATTATAATAAAGAGCTTTTTAACGTGATGAACCATGCTTTCATCATCGGAGCTAAGTAAGGTGATGCACATAACGCTTCTCGATGTGTCCATGCTCTTACGGCGATGTGAACCTCTTGGGGAGTTTCGCGAGAGTCGATCATTGGAAGGATGGCGCGTGGACCGTTTCTGAATGGCTCGCTGTTTTACTTTTCTTATGCTCTTCTACTCAAACTCGACCTACTTTGGCTCTCTTGTTCATTCATTTTTTTCTTCCATTCATTCATTCATTCACCCGTCCATGCCTCACTCTCTCATCCCTTCTATTCATTCCCTAATTCTTCTAGTGCCCCAGCGGGTTTTCCACCGGCAGAACCTTCAGTCCTTCAAAGGGGACCATCTAGGTCTCTATTTCGGTATCCTCTAACAACTCTCAGTAGCCGACGTAGTAGGTGTGCTGAGAGCTAGAGAAAACGGTGGGTGTTTTCGGAGGTATACAGCTGGCCTAGAGTTCGACGACAGGCTTGGGCAGCTGGGCTTTTTGTATGTGTACCTTGGTCAGTTTTCCTTTTTTTTTTCTCCTTTTTTTAGAAAAATTAAAAAAACAAAAAAAGGAAAACCCCCAAAAAAAACCTTCAATCTACTTACTGAAGACCGTTATGATGACAGCGCTGTGCACATCTCACCAACATTCCAACTCATGCATGATTAACTGGCATCCGACCATCAGAAAACAGGTCCTCGTCTTCAGCTGCCTTCCTTCCCATAAACTTCATTTCAAGATTTTCATTCTCGTGCTTTCCGCTATTACATAACGAACATAGCTACAGCCAGAGCTCTTCGGCCGAGTCTCCCACCAAAGCCGATCCCCCTCTCTCTATCTTCATTTGCCCTGCTCGCCTGCCTGCGTTTCACCTGTAAAAATACCGCAAAGACTCGGGGCATGGCTTTTCAACTTCGAGGGAAATCAAGCATAATCAGACATACATCCATATGCCCGATTCTATATATTTTACACCTTTGCAAAAGAGTAGCGGCGACGTGTCACCATCCCCAAACACTGTAAATCTAATTCCTCTAGAACTCTGCCCTTCCCCACCTCTTTCTATAAGGGAGTTGGAGGGTAGAGTTAATCAGAATCACCGTGTTGCATAGAAATTTTAGTGGGCATGAATGTTGTTGCAGTATGCTTGCACATCAGACCCTGCCTGGTTGATTTCCCTGGAAGTTTGAAAAGCTAGGTATGCCCCGAGTCTTTGCGGTAAGCATGCTAGATGACAACGCATGTTGCTAACCCTCTCTTACGCGCTTCTTGCTTACTAACTACGGTGCGTTTATGTACTATTTTTTAGGAACACTTTTGTGAAGTATAAGTGTAATACTAATGGGCGTAAACTCTTCGAAAGCTCGGGGAGCGGTGGTCGGATGTTCGGTCAAGAAGCTGTATCATCAGCTGCTCAGCCGTGTCGTTCATTCGAACTTTGGTTAACATGGTTCCTGAAGTGGTGCCAAAGGCTTGGGTTTTGTTGGGAAATTTTCGTTTTAAATTTTTTTTGTTTTTCAAATTTTTTTTTTTATTACTCTTCATGCTTGGTACATATCTTCTGCATACCTTCTCAGTTGGTACCTTGATCATAGAGGTTGGGGTCTCAAAACCAAGGAATTCGTAACGGTGCATGAAGAAATGCAAATGCAAATGCAAACGAAAAGAAAGAGTGATGCATTTGAACCTTGGTTTCCTGCCGTCAAGACTCTTTTTTTTTCTTTTCCTTTTCACTGGCAGAGGTCAGAGCAACGATCAATGAAGGGCAGAAACAACTCGACAATGCCACTTCCTAATGTCAAACCCGTAACTGCCGTCTTAAGGCGCGGAGTGTAAGTGAAACCTTTGTCATGTTAACTTGTCATCAGTGGGAACAGCTGTCTGTATTTGTTATCCAACGAAGGGTGAAAAGAAAAACATCAAAGTACTATGGTCTAACGACATGACGTTGTTCGTAACTCCAACTTAGTCACACAATTTTCCCCATATGTCCCTAGATACACTTTTCTGCCCGAGAGTCTTGTAACCCCGCCATGGCAAGTCAACAAGTAACCATACTATATTGTTTATCCTCCATTTAAAGCAGTCCTGTTTTGCCTGTTACTTTTCGTGACGCTCCGAGGCATGTCCTATAGCCAATTTCTTTTGCCAAATCCAAGTCTAGAGTAAACCATTAAGTACATGTGATACCTTATCGAACCTCGCTGTGACTCGGTGATCTATCCACACACAACCCGTGACTCCAAGCCGATCCAGAAAAAAGGGCGAGAGTCGACTGTCGGCTGTTTCTTTTGCTGTTCAACACTGACGACTAGTTGGAGACCGTCTGGTGCTCAGTGGCGTTATGGCGATGGCTCTGGCCATAGTTGGCTGTCAAATCGGGAGTTGTGGTCTGTTTCTTGATTAGAGTCACAAAGAGTCCGATGGATGTATGTTGTCTCGTCGATGACGGCCGGTTCGGCTACGCAGAAAGAGGAGCCCATTTCTTCTTCTCGTGGTCGTAAACCATGTGCCATTGAGCCAGGTGCGGGTTCTTTGACAGATCGGCGTTCCCAAGGGTACAATAGAACTTGTCGGACCAGGTGGCCGGTTTCGTCTGCAGATCGTTGGGATGATAGTAGGTGTAGGGGCAGGGGAACTGAATGCACCCGCTGACCTCAGCGTTAGGGTCGTGAGCAGGCCAAAACTGCTTCACTCCGACGTTGTCATTGGGGTTCTCAATCGCTGAGACGTCGTAGTAGCTTCCATTCTCGAAGCCCTGCGACCGAATCTCGGCCAGCATTCCAGTGCGATCCGGGGTACCGCCCGGGACAGAATAGAAATTGCCTTCCCAGCCCGAGGGAAGCTGGACGTCGATCTGAGCGAGTCCAGGGACATTGACCGGGGCAATGTCTGCAAGGCTGACATCGTTGCAAAGCCCGTGGTCGTCATTTGTGCACTTAGTCTTGTGCTTGGAAAAGATTGTGCGATTATGTTCGTCAAGGGAGACGAAGGTGATCGTGTTGGCTGCCACAAGGCCAAAAGCGGAGAAGGGAACAATAAGCTTGTTAAGAAGCATGTTGAGAGTTCTGTGAAAGGTTTCTTCTGTTGAGTTCGTGTCAGCTTGGAAGATGAGATCGTAGTGAACCTTGGATGTTCAAGTTGAGGTTGGTGATTTGGAGAGAGAAAAGTGAGAGGGGGGGCTCAATATCTATACCCCATCTTCAACCTGACACCTATTCTTTTTTCCTCTTTTTCTTTCTTTTTCATTTCACCTGAAAATTCCGAGTTCTTCCATCCAACTGTTGCGTGCCGCACACTCTCCGTAGAATTATCAATCAGCATGCAGAAATTGGCGGGCCTGGATGCAACAGATGCCGCAGACTGCCCAAGTCTCTTTAAGAACCCAAGCCCCAGGGCTCCTCATGATGCATGAATATTCGATCACTGCTCAAAATGGCGGTTAGGAAGATCTCTGTGCCTGTCGGTCCTTGAAACTTCACAACTCTCGACGGTCTGGCTCAGCGGAGCGGTTTAAACATTGCCGGAGAAGGGCATTGCAGGTCCAGGCTAGCCCATGATGTGCATGAAACTCGAATATATGAAAGTTTGGATTCCTGTCCGTTATTCTAAGGTGCTGTAATTGTTGAGCCACCTGGAGTTGCGGTACATCGGAATTCCGAGTTTATCGAGAGCATGCGCTCCCTATTTGTAAGACATGCCGGACCCGGGACTGGTGCTTCATATTTCGTGGTGATGGGACCGTGTGAGCGGACTGCAGCTCTTCATGCCGATGATCTTCTGAGATACTTATAGCGAGGGTGAATCTGAAGTGAGAAATGAAAGAAGAACGACATGTCGTCCAGCGCTGGTCAGCGTCACCTACATGCCAGCTGTTGTCGGCCCGCAACGGTGCATCTCAGTGAACCTTGATTGGACAGGACAGCTAACTCACAGTAAATTAGCGCATAGTTTGCTAAAAGTCATGTTATTTGATTGGGCAGAAGAATACCTGAGTTTCTATTTACCTCTACATATATGGTCACTGAACTTCCCTTGTTGAGCTTGTTGACGTTGTTGAGCAAGACCTGTTACAGGTGAGTTGTACGCACGGAGGCTTCATCAGAACGTGCTTCCAAGTGGACATCGGCGATGCGTATTCGTTTCCTGCCATGTTAGTTGCTATGATTTCGTCACCGCAAAAAAATAATATTGCTGCAATCCGACATACAGAAGGGCTTGAGGAACAACGCAAGACTCGGTCGGTTGCAACCTCATATATAGATGTTAACCACAATACTATGCAACCAAGTCATGAACTGGGATCGTCACTCCGCCTTGATGACCGTTACTCTGTGACCGCGTGATCATTGAGAATGTACGGGAAGCTTGTAGCTTGACCATGGTGATCATGCTCTGCCATTGCTTTCACAGCATCTGTGATACCCAAAGCAGGTCTTGCACGTCTTATACAACCAAGAGTGGGAGGTGAAAAGCAAAAGTGAAAATTCTCTCACCATGCTCGACCAAACCAAGGCTGCAGTCAAGATTTTTGAGGCATGCAGTCTGCAACAGGGCCAGACTAAACCAGGTTCAGGATGAGCATTATACATACTGCGCAAGACCAAGGTGTAATGATACCTTGAGAGGCACACCAGCTACCCGCACGCACTCCGAGGCCCAAATAATGATGGGCATTTTATGTATTCGTAGGAGCACCGCCGTTATCATCATCGTCGTCGTCAACATCGTCATCATCGTATCCATCCGTCAGGTAGTCTTCGCCCGACCAATCATCGTGACGATGGTTTCCCCCATTCTCATCATCATCACTTTCCTGACTTGGATCCTCATATATACCACTTCCTTGGTCGGTCAATGGTGGTATGGTGCTGATGTTCTCGTAGTATCGTTGGGATCTTGGGACCCTCCTCAGCTTCGGTCCCCCGCCGCCGTTGCTACCAATACGAATCATTGCTGCCGACGGCAAGTACTCCTCAATATTGGGAAACGCCAAAGAAGGCGGCTTCTAGCGCTCCGTCAAATCAGCGAGTTCCATCCTCGACCTAACCTCTCGAATGAGCGCTTTGGCCTCTTCCACCTCGACTCCATCCTGGCACAGCTCCGTGGCCAGCCGGTTAGCCGTAACGTAGTCCTCCGTTCTCATCGCGTACCTGGCAAGCCACATACGTGCCTTGCTTGTGGCTACTGTTACTCCAGTCCCTTCTCCCCGCCCAGCTCCACCACGCCCTTCGTACCCTCCCTCTGCATCCCCGTCCGACCCAGGCGAATCGCCATGAACGACGAAGGATTCGCCGGGATTCGAGGTTGAAACAGCTGAAGCATCCGCATTGTCCGCGGTTCCTCCATCCTCCTGTGCCACACAAAGCTCCATATATGCCCTAGCCTCCTTGACCTCACCCAGGCGGTCATACATGTTAGCAATCTGTAGCAACACCTCTGGATCCATCTGCGCCATCCTGTCTGCAGGTCCCGCACTTCCAAAGCTACTCAAAGTAGAGTCATAGTAGCTATCCGCTAGTAGTGCCCTCTTGAGCGCCTTTATGCCGTCCCTGTCTTTGCCCATTTTTTGCAGGCATGACCCGACGGCCTGCCACATCTTGCCATCCCAAGGTCTGAGGCCAGCAGCCTTCTTGTAATAGTATAAAGCGTAGGCATTCATCTCGAGCACCTCATATGTCTGGCCAAGACCGTACCAGGCGCGGTAGTCGCGACGGTTGACATCAACAGCACGCCGGTATGATTCAATGGCTGCGTGTGTGTTCTTCAGTTCGACGTATTCGTGGCCCATAAGCGTCCAGGCAGAGAGACAAGAGCGGTCCAAGGTAAGAGCTCGGCGGAAGTACTGTACGGCCTTTTCGTGGAGAGATAAAAGGGAGTAGTAATTGCCTATGACGACGCACGATTCGGGCCGAAACTTGTCAATGCTGGAACAAAGGTGCGCCAGAAATGCTAGCTTTGGGCGCATGTTGAGGACATATAAGATGTTGGAGTAGTGATCCAGTGAATCGAGACGATGGGGATGTAACGCAAGCAAGTTACTGAAGTTTTGCTCGGCCGTATACAGGTCCTTGGAGTGGTAGTTCAAAAGCGCCCTACAGGTTAGAATGAAGGAAGACGTCGGGAAAAGCTTCAGGAGATCGTTGACAGAGGCAGCTAAATCTTGCCCCTGTTGATACAGATTAACCGCCGTGTTGGCGTAGAATATAAAAGACATGATGTTTTGCGGAAGGACAGGGGTTATCTTGTTGAGCTGTTCGACCCCTGAGATGAGATTTGTGAGCTCAAGCCAAGCGCCCCAGTTCCACGGAAACAGATGGACACTGTTGAGAAGGTGATCTAACGCGGCGTCCTCGTTCTTCTCCTTAACCATAACCATGCCGTATCTGTTTCAACATCAGCCAAACGCACATACAGAGCGATAAACACCGGGACACACGTACAAATACTCGAGGAAGCCTTGACTTGGTGGCAAATCCGAGTCCTCAGCTTTGCGCTCGGCAAACCATCTCTCGAGGAAGCGGCTGACAACAACCAGATGACTATTTTTGATGGTACCCAGGTCCTGGGGACCCATGATCATCTCCGACTCTTCGTTCTTCTTCTTCTCTCCCGAAATGACTTTGGCATAGAGGGCCAAGAACAAGCTTTTCTGACTGAGAGAGGGAAGAGCCTGCTCGAACGGCGGCGCAGAGCTTGCCTTAGCCTTGCCTTTGGGTGTCGTAGCATCAGTGGCTTTCGTAGATAGTAGGCCGGAGAGGAGGGAATCTGGCAAGAAGACGGAAGCGCAACGGTCGAACTCCTTGCAATCGAAGAAGGACTTGGCGAGCAGATACTTGCTGAGCTCCTTAGCCTCCAGCTCAGCTTCTACTGGGTCTGGGTTAGCAGAGAGGGCCGGGTGTTGATATCCTTGAAGTCCAGCCACGGCTTCTTTTTGATCCAAATCACTTAGCACTGGATCAGGAACCGAATCGAGAAGCTCGGCGGCCCTGTGTGTTCTGCGTTAGCCAATGGAGGTGTGCATAGCGGACTACAGAATCATAAGATGAAGAGTACCATTTTGCAGATTGGTAAAGACAACGCTCAGAGCATTTTACGACCGCATTTTGCAGAGCTTCCTTGAGGTGTAGGGTATCTATTGCTGATAGACGCATAGCAACAAGTGTTGTTAGTGTTTGTGTCGCCTGGAGATAATTGTTAGTGGATAGAGTAAACACAGGGGGGCAGGAGGGGTCACCGAGGGAGGCGGACCGCTTAAGGATATATTGGCCGCAACGAGGTGTTGGCTTATTGGAATCCGATTCTAGATCAACATGAAGCAAGTTGAAAAGTGTGACAGTCCCTGACCGTTGCCATTGGCGAAGGCGCGCTTTTGTGAGTTGTTGTTGTTGTTGTTGTAATGTTGAAGATTGGGGTTTGCCGATGAATCAAAATAACGTCAACATTGTTGTCCCAGGTCGCGTGGGTTGGTCCTTGCCTGTTGCTACAGGCGGTTCCGTCAGCGTTTCCAGGAACGCGTGCACGGTGCACATTGACGGCTTGCACCGGCAGGCAGCACCAATAGCAGCTAGAGGCGGCAGGTGCAGTTCCTTGCGCCCATTGGATCGACACCATGATGCGCGGGCGGCCAAGTCGAAGGGTCCAGCCCACGCAGTTCGTTACGGTAGGGTTCCTCTCGGAAGGGAGTTGCAGGGATCGCATGAATATCTCTTCGGACGGAAGCTCAGCGTCCAAACTCGGGACTTTTGCTCTCCTCAAACGGTCGTAATATTTCTCTATTCATGGCTAGGGCGTGTTGAACGTGATCAAAGAAGGATTATCGCAACCGAACCTCTTTCGTTGGGCTTCTGTGTTACCTGGTGCTTGGGTCACATCAGAGAGACAGTGTAATATAATAAGAGCGAGGTACGAGATTTCCACATCTACACTAAAGAGTACCTTAGCATAGTCACATTGTACAGCTGTCCCGCCAACAACCCCACCTGGCCAAGCTGGCTCTGCTAAACGGACATTCCTATTGCTTCCGTAGCTACGTAGTAATTGCCATTTCCCACCTCCTGAAACCATCCCATTTTCCCGATACATCATATCTCTTCCCCCACTTCTCCTACCAGCAACCTCAGAAGTTTCTTCGGGCAGAAACCACACATCGCAATCATGGCCAAGACAACGACTCTTAAGGAATTCGAGAGTGTCTTCCCCAAGCTGGAGGAGGCGCTCCTCGAGTATGCCAAGGCATACAAGCTGCCCGAGCAGATGCTCAGCTGGTACAAGCAGGTGAGAGCAGACCAACCTACTTCCCTGTCTGGTCGTGTAGCTTTCAAAGAGCTGTGATACTAACATCTTGTCGTTCTTCGTCGTCGCAGTCCCTCGAGGTCAACACCCTCGGCGGCAAGTGCAACCGCGGCATGTCCGTCCCCGACTCGGCCTCCATCCTGCTCGGCCGCCCCCTGACCGAGGAGGAATACTTCCAGGCCGCGACGCTCGGCTGGATGACTGAGCTCCTCCAGGCCTTCTTCCTGGTCTCCGACGACATCATGGACTCGTCCATCACGCGCCGCGGCAAGCCGTGCTGGTACCGCCAGGAGGGTGTGGGCATGGTTGCCATCAACGACGCCTTCATGCTCGAGTCGGCCATCTACACGCTGCTCAAGAAGTACTTCCGCTCGCACCCGCGTTACGTCGACTTCCTCGAGCTCTTCCACGAGGTGACCTTCCAGACGGAGATGGGCCAGCTGTGCGACCTGCTCACGGCGCCCGAGGACAAGGTCGACCTGGACAACTTCTCGATGGACAAGTACACCTTCATCGTCATCTACAAGACGGCCTACTACTCGTTCTACCTGCCCGTCGCGCTTGCCATGTACATGCTCGACATCGCCACTCCGGAGAACCTCAAGCAGGCCGAGGACATCCTGATCCCGCTGGGCGAGTACTTCCAGGTGCAGGACGACTACCTGGACAACTTTGGCCTGCCAGAGCACATTGGCAAGATCGGCACCGACATCCAGGATAACAAGTGCTCGTGGCTGGTCAACAAGGCGCTCAGCATCGTCACACCCGAGCAACGCAAAACGCTCGAGGAGAACTACGGCCGCAAGGACAAGGCCAAGGAGGCAGTCATCAAGCAGCTATACGACGACCTCAAGCTCGAGGACCACTACAAGCAGTACGAGGAAGAGCGCGTCGGCGAGATCCGCAAGATGATTGATGCCATTGACGAGAGCAAGGGTCTCAAGAAGCAGGTCTTTGAGGCCTTCCTTGGTAAGATCTACAAGCGCAGCAAGTAAACCATCTCTATTCGACATACTGGTTGCTTGAGGAGGGGGAAAAGTGGGGAAGAGATGATATACCTAACTTAATGCCGCCCAATGTTGGATTGCTTGATGATGGATAAAAGCCATAACAAACAAGCGTTACCATTCATTTACAGAAAGTTTTTAGTAAGCTTTGGGCGCGACAGATACCAGGCCTTGCTTGTTTTTCTGCTATACATATTTGCATGCATGGCGAGAGACGGAAGGCAATAAGAGATAAAAGTAAATATAATAATCCTTGATGCAATCCCACTGATTGGGAACACTTCTACCCGTCACGAGATCCTATTTGTCCATGGATAATACTAGTCGATTGTGCTTGACAGAGGTCTAAGAATCGTGTCCTCACATCTGTCCTGAAAGTCGTAGTCCGTGACACAAATATCGTTTGAAGTCGAATTCTTCATGAACAGGGGAAATGTTCCTTGTTTTGAAATTCCATGTTGGATTCAACATGGCGCATTGCAGTCCAACTACGTTTGGCGCAAGCAGAGGTTACACGAACAACGAAACTGAGTCTCCACGAGATATTCATGCTAGACAGATGCGCTTGTATGGCTTGCTACTGAATGTTGAGATGAATTGTCATGATTATCCTCTGAACACATCCTATAAGCTCAAAATTCCCCTCTTTATAGGTAAAATCTGCTCCATGGTCATGCTCCAGCCCCAGCTCTTCTCTCTATGTTTGTCTAGGCCCCAGCCTGACTCAAACGAAGCCATTCCGCCTTTCATACAGATGTGTTACAATATCCAATAAGGTTTGAACTGCGCAAAATTAACCGCAGCCTTCATGGCATCCTGAATTTTATGGAGAGTAACACAGAATGGTGCTGTAGATTAAGATTTAAATATTCAACGCATAAGTATTATAAGAACATCATGCTCAGATAATTGTAAAGTCCACCATAACTGTTCAGAAAGCCGTGACCTCCCGTTCGTACCACCAGTGACCAATAAAAAAATCCCTTTACATGAGTTGCCGGACAGCACGATATAATCAAACAGAAACCAGATGCCCATACATCGTTTAAGAACCGGTAAGGAACTCGTGATCGGCGTTAAGTCATGATACGTAGTCGTTATACAGTTCAAGTAAAAAGCCCTTCAAACCCATATGAATATGCTAATCAATAATTGTAAGTACTCCCATTCCTTGCGCGGCGCGAAGAACTGCCCACTCGGACACTCTGTGCTCGTTGCACGGAGACATTGGAGCTTCTGTCTGCCTGTCCAAGGAGACCTCGCGGTTCTTCTAGGGTCTCATCGAACGATAGTAGCGGATGTGGCTGGTTTCTCAAGGAAAAAGTCCGTTGACGGTCGTCTTCATACCCAGAGGACGGAGGAGAACCTCGCTTGGATTGCGTTTGTGGCCCACGAGACGACGAACGGGAACGGTAACCATCTGTATATCTACCTTTGGACGAGGGGGGCGGATGGTTCGGCCCGTAGCCGAGGACTGAGCCGGGTAGAGGAGGTACAGGTGGTAGAAAAGCCGATCCTGATATGCTCCTCATGCCCCCAGACGTCCCGTCTTGACTCATCATCCTGCCCCGCACCGAGGAAGCCCGACTAACGGCTCGGACACTACCTGCACTAGAGCCTGGCGGTGCTTGGCCGGCACTAGTTCCTGGCCGAGAACCAGGGGTTCGCGTGCTCGGCTCCCGCCTAACAAGTGTTCGGGGTGGCAGGTCGAGGGGTTTGGCACCGGGAGCCAATTGGGGTCCTGTAGCCATGTCGACCAACGGCATGCCTTCTGGAGCCCGCACACCTCGTCCCAAACCTTCGCGTGACCATTGGGGTGGTTCAACGAATTTCGGAGTTAGGTCGACAAGAGGCGCACTGGGCTTCAGTTGCTGGTTCGGTTGCTGACGACGATGGGTTTCACGCCCACGCTCGTGCTGGGACGGTGCGTACTGTGAAGGCGCATATTGTGAGGGAGCGTACTGAGATGGCGGCGACTGATTAGATGGAGCACTGCGACGAACAGAGGGTGCTCTTGTGCTGCGCTGGGTGGCGGTGTGCTCAAGTGCCGACGGAAGCCATGCCTTTGGTTCGCATCGTCCATCGTGCTGTCTGGTCTCCTCAGTTGGCGAGGTTACCAATCCGCCATTCAGAAGGCTGGGTCGATCGGTAAAAGGTTGGTCGGTAACGACCACCAGTTTCTTTCTCTCCTCTTCCTTCTGCGCAAGTTTTCGTTCTTCATATATGTTCCCAAGCAAACCACTCGTGCCAAATGGTGCTTCTATCTCTTCTTGTGTAGCTTTTCTGACTTTCTGGAGTTGGAATGGTGGTATTTGGGAGGCCTGCTGTCTGGATCGGTCGGCTTTCCAATCCTTGTCAAACTCATCGATGGGCTTGTCGAAACGTGACAGGTCGATTAGGGGCTTATATGTACCGATCGGGTAAGAAGACTCGTCGACTGAAGCTTTGATCTTGTGGTCATCCGCATTGACATCGTTGACTGCCCTTCTTGGTTTGTGCGGCGCCGAGGAGAGCTGAGGCGGTTTCTCTGCTTCTCGCTCTTGCATTTTCTTATGCAGCTGCAATACCTTGTTAACCAGATACCAGCTTCGCCAAGCTTGGACGCGAGCGGAAAACTGACGGGCGACCGCGGCGTCCTCGGTGCTGAAGTAGTGGACAAAATTATCCGCCGACAAAAAAATCGTGGCTTTCTGCTGGCTTTTGATTGCATAGCAATATTTTTTGGGTGGTCGGAGCTCCTTTCGTTTCTGTGCTTCGGTCGGCATGTAGATGTCAAAATCAGATAGATGGCAGATGCTCAAGACGTCCTTGTCTGAAAGTTTTGGGTGGGGCTTCTTGGACGAAACCAATTGTCCGTTTTCTAGCAATGTGATATAACGCTTGGTCCATTTCCCGGGCCTGTGAGATTGCTGAAGCGGAAGGACAAAGCCAGTAGGTATCTTTTGTTCGCGAGGAACACTGGCGAGGTCTAGGTTCTCGTCGCTGCGGTCGTTTTCGGTCTGGATAATCAAAACGTTCTGCATGTCTTGATCCCATGTGTTCAATACATCACGGATACGTTCATAGCGACGAAGGCGTCGCTCGAGACCCAGGGGGGTATACGCCTCGATGACCATGCTGCTGTTGACATTGACGGGAAGGCCTGTCTTGTCGGCATAAGCCAACAAGATGTCCACAGTAGTAGTATCAACCTCAACCTTGAGATCCACCGTCACGCCCTTACAGCGAACGGTAACGCGCTAGCACAATAACCCATTAGTCGGCCACCTTCGTCTCGTTTATGGTGAGGCTGGCTTACTCTGTCAGCGCCATTAACGGCCCCCCTTGGCACCTCATCTTGAATGGGAACAATGCCGCGCCCTCCGGAGCCAGCATACGTCTTCGCATCCTGACTCCTGGATCGGGTCTTGTCAATGGGGGCACCCATGGAGGAGGCCGGAGAAACTGGTGAAGTTGAAGTTGGAGGTTCTGGTTGCAAAGGGGAAATTGGAGAGGCGATCTCGATGTGGGTTGGACTTTCCGGGTTGCGACTGCGCGAGAGAAAAGGTAGTTTTCCAAAAACCCGATTTTTGCCTCTAAGGGAGAAAGAAGAGTGAGAGAGTGCGGGCGAGGGCGGCACGGCTGAGGCCTGGTGGTGGTCCATGATCATGTCGGTCTCCAGCTTGCACCGTTCGGCAAGGGTTCGACTGTCGGCTCCCGTGTCTACTCGTGGCACCGAGGTTTGCAAGGTGTGTGAATCCAAGCCGCCAGCCCCAGTGGTGTTGTTGTTAATGCCCTTGGTTTCGTTCAAATTAGATCCCTTGTCAAGAGCAAGGCCCTCCTGACCCTTAATATGCACCGAAGCCGCTTGTTCAGCTTGCGCGTGCCGGGGTGAGCGAGGTCGTTTTTCGGCTCCGTTGACGGGCTGACAGCCGTGACCGGTTGCGGGATCGAACGGGCTATGGTGCCACCAAGAGACAAGCGGCAGTGGTAGCAAGAAAGAGTGGTGATGGTCCTGGCCGTGTGCGAGTTCCCGTTCCCGGGCGGTGGTGTCGCCGATCGTGTCTTTGAATAATTGTTCGAGCCAATCGCGTGTCTCATTAATCACATCGACCTTTGCACAGTCCGTGGCAGTGGCCGAGACAAGGAACCGCACTAGGGCAGGAGAGTTTGAGTGGTGGTTTGTGTGCAGATTGAGATGCACGTCCGGGCCCAGGTACGAGTGCGCCTGCTTCTGCGTCTGCGTCTGCTTCCGCGTGGGATGTTGCTGTTGTGTCGTGGTGGTGGGCTCCGAGGGGTGCGCCGGCTCTGAGGATGGTGAAGAGGAGGGGGAAATTGGCACGGGGGGGTAGAGGACCTTTTTCTCCAACAGTAGTAAGACGGCGTCGTCCTTTTCTAATATGTCTTTGTATTGGCTGCCTCCTTTATTTCTCGGTTGTTGCTGTCGACTCAGGCTGTTGCTGCTGTTGGGCTTCTCCTGGTTACTTCCGCTGCTGCTGCTGCTGCCACTTGATTCATCCTCGTTTCCGTTGGGTTGTTGTGGATCGTCCACGTTCTCGCCAGCCCTTGAGCTTATGCACGCTTGAAGCTGGAGTCTGGGTTTCGACGCGGGTGAAGAAAGAGGCGAAGGATGAGCAAGTAGTGACGGTGAAGAAGAAGTTGAAAACCAATAGGCTGAGGCTGGCACGGGCTGCAAGTCCCGGCTGTCGCCGTCAAAGCCGGGGACTTCCTCCCACTTGTTGCGATTCACGTCATCGTTGGAGTTGTATTTCGTCAAGGGCAGCAGGTGCAAGGGCGGCTTGGACGGCTTCTCTTTTCCAGTTCTGGCTGAAATCCACAAAGCCGAGACGGGGAGGTACCGCTAGTCGGTGAGGGTACAGCCCCAGGTACCACTGCCGCTGCAGGTGCTGATTGGGGTACCTGAGCCACTAGCAGAGGGGTGGTGACACTCGTGCCTGTGGTGCCTGCAGCGTCTGCATTGTCACCTGCAGCTTCCACTTCGTTTTCCAGCAAATGGTCGAGATTCTCCCTCCACTTGCCGGATGTCAACAACAGCTTCGACCTCGGGTTCCTGCTTCCTCCCTTCCACTTTTTCTTTCCATAGCCCCAGTCGGCGGCTGCTGTGGCCGGGCATCTTCTATGCCCTTTCTTGTACGGCGCAGAGATGGCCAAGGACCCAACGTCCGCCCGCTTCTTTCTGCGATCTTGATCCTGCCATGTGATGATGATGCTGCCACGGGCACTGCTGGTCGACGGCACTGTCACGGTGCCATCAGACAATGACACGCATCTGGATCTCTCCCGTAAGGCGCTGCAGTGTCGCGGTGAGGATGCCCTCTTCGGCCTAAGCTCCGGCGCCAACAGCGTCTCCACCAGGGCCACTGATGATGACATGACTGGGGCTGTTGGGGCTTTCAGGGCCCTACCAGCCCTGTTCCCCACGGTCTGTTTCAGCTGTCCCTCCGCTCCTTGGCGGTAGGGGACATACTTCCGCTCCGGGACCCTGATGGTGGGCCCTGAAGTGGAATTCGAAGCTGACTCCATGTTCTTTTTCTTCTATCTCTGGAAAGAATGACCGGTTTGCTCAACGCTCACAGCTCGTCAGCTTTACGTCCGTTTTGTTGAGGCTGTCCTGGCTGTTTGCTTGTCTCTTCCGAAGAGTCGGAATGGGAGAAGGCCACCGAGTCGCGAAAGCGATGGACAGCGAACATTATTTCTACTTTATCTGACACAAAGGATTGAGAGGCAAATCGCGTCGACAAGTATCCCTTACCTGCCTACCTGAAACCTGACGCATTCAGATCGCGGTCATGTCTCATTTGCTTCGGGTAGCGCGAACTTCATCGACATTCCCTAATAATCGACACCGACATTTTACATGCCATCCACCCTGCATCACCCGCCACCCCACATACACAAGAGGCGCCAAGCAGTTTTTCCGACGGTGAGCTTCGACAACATTTGGCGACCCACTGCAACACTTTGGCTGAAAGATCAACGTTCAACATGCTGCATGGAAAATCAAGATCGAAAGCAAGAGTCTCTAACGGCCAACATCATTACTAGCGAGTAACACAGAGTCTTCGTATATCAAAGCCGCCAATCGTCGCTTAATGGCGGAAAGCTCTCAGTTCTCTCCTCCACCAGGCAGCAAAGTCCTGGGTTGAGACATCAATACCCAAATCCTTAAGCGCCTTGGTGCTGAGGTGGCAGTCATACGGACGCTGAACGCTTGCGTTGGGGTCGTTGCCCTCCGTGTTCGCCTCGATTTTATCAACGGGAACTCCCAATATCTCAGCAAAGAGCTGACACATTTCATACTTGGTATACTGTTCCTCGCCAGAGAACTGGAGGATTCTCGGTAGCGATGTCCTCTCGGCTTCGCTGGTTGACAGGTACTTGACCGCGACGTCTGGCATTCCAAAGTTAGCACTGACCGATGGGCGAGAAGAGTTGATGAAGAGGCAACAGAAGCCCAGACTTACCCCGACAAACCCTACCCACATCCTCTGTGTTAGCAGGGAACCTCAGCGCCCAGTGGTCCATCTTGACCTTCTTTCCCTCCTGCGCCTTGAGGACTGCGTCTAAGAGGACGTTGACCGCACTCTCTTCATTCCTGCCCTCCTCCGTCTTGCCATACAGCACGGGTACCCTCATCACCACGCCCAAGCCCTCCTTGCCTGCCTTGGAAAACTCCTCAATTACAGCCTTCTCGCCATCCAGCTTAGTAACGCCGTAGAGGTTAGTGGGGCCTGTGGCAGCATCGGCCTCGTAAGGTGCCTCGCCTGGCTTTCCAGAGAAGACGTAGTCGGTAGAGATATAGATCAGGAGGATACCACGGGAAGCACAAGCCCGGGCGAGAGTGCGAGTAGCTTCGACGTTGAGGAGACGGGTACCTTCAGGATCGGCGTCGACCTTGTCAGGGAAGCGGTTGGCTGCGCAATGTACGAGGACTTGAGGGCTAGTGAAATTGTTAGTTTTGATAATCCGTAGTTCACCTCAAGTGAATATGAGAAGTAAGTATGAACGGTAGCATAATGACAGTAAATACGCCGAAACTTGATCTCCGTCAGACTTCAGAGACCTTACGACGCCAAGCATCGTAAGTTTCTCCGATCCCGTTCACCCAATGCCTCTCTCGGAGGATCGGCAACATCCAGTCATGAAAGCCAACACCATTAACCCCCACAACTCCAAAAGTTGTCCCAACATACCCACCAATGATGGCCTCCAATGCACAGCCCTAGCAACCAAATTTCAAAAGCCTCTGAAACCAAATTCCCCTCCAAAAGAAAGAGATCGAACGTACCTGACATCCCCCAAAACCCTTTCCACCTCCTCTTCTTTCTCCAAATCTGCCTTTAGCACATTGACGCCATCCGCTCTGGAAAATCCCGTTCCCTTGACTTCCCACGTCCAGCCAGCCTTAGAACTAAGTTCAGTAGGCACGCTCAAGCCTTGAAAGGCGCGGACGACTTGTCTACCTAGGAGGCCGGTGGCGCCAGTGACGAGGGCGGTTTTTGTTTGGTTGTTGTTGGTGGAGGACATTTTCCTTTTGGGTTTTGTAAGGTGTCTTTGGAGGGGGGGTTGCGAAGAAACTGAAGTGAGTAATCAGAATCGGCTGGATGGATGTTGGACGACTGTCGTCTTCCGTTCAGTTGATAACTGGATAAGTAAGTACTTACTGTAACGGCGGAATCGATGCCAAGATGCAGCATTCGACTGTGCCACATGTGGCTGTGAAGTGGCTTTATGCACTGCAGTACTTCAGTTCAGTTCGAAGTTCAGTTGGAGTCAGTTGTTGACGGTATCTGCTTGGCTTTGGGGGCGTACAGAAGGAATACCCGAGGAGATTTTTTGAGGCATCATACTGTATAAGAACGTCCTAAAGTCATTTTTTGTATAGCATCGTCATGTACATGCGAAAGGGTAGGGAGGGATGGATCGGGTTCATTTAACTACCCACGAACCTCAAAAATGCCATAGTATTCTAGTGGACAGATGGAAACATAGATTCCTCTCATCAACTCAACACGCTATCTAATAATTTTCTTTTCTGTGTTGGCTAAAGTCCAACTATTTCTCGCTCTCAGTAGCTACCCGCTTAAATCTGAACGGCTGAATACTGCGTCTTGCAAGTGTGTGCTCCTGGAAAAAGAACGGTGGCAGAGGATTCTTATTAAGGTCAAATTTATCGATCAAACACAACGGTCCGCCACTCAGAAACAAAGCCACCCTCGCTCCACGTCCCAGTACGCCGTAACTTAATCGAGATCAGCCACCTTATCCGCAACCATTTCCTTGGCGTTATTCACCACCTTCTCGGGAGGCCGCGTCAAAACGTTGTCCGTAGAGGATGGCTCGACAGGACTGCTTATGCCATCAATAGGTGGCAGATTACTGCTGTAGATGCTAGGAACGGGGATGCGAATGTCTTCGGGCGACCCGGGGGTGAACTGCGGATCGAGGCCGGGGATATGAATGCGCTTGGCTTCGTTCTGATATGCCGCCGGAATGATCTCGATAATCTCATCCCTGGGGAACTTGAGTTTTGGAATCTCCATGGGTCTGCAGTGCATCAGGTATGAATACAAAACTCGCAGAACGCTCTCGTGAGCAATGATGAGGACGTCGTTCTGCTCGCGCTCGAGTTCAAGAATGATGGGCTCGAGGCGGACAGCGAGGTCGTGGTACGACTGCATTTGTGTTAGCTGAATCCACCATAATTTTAGCAGTAAAAACTAACCTCTGCGCGGGGATACCGGTGGTGGTATGGGTCAAGCTCATGCTTTTCCACCTCTTCTGGATATAGCCTACGGATAGCATGCTCTGACAACTTCTCGCACAGACCGGGGTTTATTTGGCTCATTTGCGAGCGTTGGCGGACGTTATAGCCTTGTTCCTTCAGAGGATCGGCCGTCTGAATTGTGCGGAGCCGCGTGGATGTCCAGACAGTCAAAGGCCTTAGACGGATCTCGTGGCCAGCCTGTTCACTATTGGCCTTTCTTTCTTGCTCACGATGTCTGAGAAGGGTCTCAGTCATCTTCTGTGCATATGATCTGCCTTCCTCAGAGAGAGGCGCGTCGGATTTGTAGAACTCTTCGCCTTCTGCTGGCCCAGCTCGAACGAAGAAGGTTGTGCGGGCTTTGATGTGCAGGTTCGTGAGGTAGAAGACGATGCGATGCGAGAGGTAGTTGAAGCTGACATTGTTGTAGAAGAATGCTCGGCCGGCATTGATCATTTTCACGTAGTTTAGTTCTTCCTCTTGCATCGTTTCGAAAATCGGAATCTTAGTTTCGATCCGCTTCAGGTACCGTTCGGCTGCCTCATCGGGATCCATGCCATCAAACTGAAAGTCGTCAGCATATTTTACATTCGTGGCGTTTTTGTTCGTTGCACTCACATCCGGCGAATGGATCTTGACATTTCTGGCGTTTTCTTTGAGAATCTCCTCATCATCAACGTATGACTCCAAAAACAATGTCTGCAAAACATTAGCGAAACTCTTTCCTCCGAATCTGAGGCACGGTACAATCTCACCTGAACATCGTGTTTGGCAAACTCCTTTGCAAGCGCACGGCGTCCAGCCGCAGTAGGATTGACGGCGTCGTAGATAGCAACTTGGCCATTTTCGTGGTTGAGCCATGCGTAAATATCCTCCCTGCACTTTTTCAGGATCTTCTGCCGGAGCATGGTCGAAGCTGGAGAGGCATTGGGGTAAAAGTAATCTTGGGGAACATTTCCGCCTTCACCAACGGTAGCACGGCGATAGTCGCCTAGGTGGAAAATCCGTGTCTTGACACCGAGCCTGCAAAGGGTTAGACGACTTGCGTAACAAGTAAGAGCGAGCTAAACGTACCACTGAAGATATCGTGCCATGGAAACACAGATGTGGCTGAGTCATTGTTAGCATACATGCGAGAGCAACTCGGGGTCTACGGAGAGCCCTACGTCTTGCCCCGCGCGGGAAGGCCAACCATAACGATAGCAATACGACCTGAATGGAAGAGCCTGCCAGACATTGTGCTGTAAAGCTGGGCCGGGGCCATGTTGTCCTGGTCTGTAACATCGTGGATGCCGTCGATGAAAGTTGAACTCTTGCGACGGTACCGCGGTGCGTTGGCCGCAATCTCGGCAGTTCTGCGAATATCAGCATTTGTCTACGATCAAGTCCACTCAGACTTGTTGATACAATCCCCTGTCCAAGAGGTTGGTTGCCGGCGCAATTGTTCGGCCGCGAAGTCTCAATTCCAGCTGAGATAGTCGCCAGTGGATGGGGGTTGGTGATCGACGGCTGTACAAGCCTTCTTGGACTTACAAGAGTGTGTCCATGTCTCCGGTTATATTATGCTTCACGACTAATGTGTAGTCTTTGTTTTTATGACTTGGTTTCTGGTACGCAGAAGGGCCGTTCCGTCGCTCGAGGCTTCGGTTGTGAGGATGATGTCGGTTGTGGAAGCGGGTGTGTCGCAAAGCGAATCTGGCATCAACGGCGCTTGCTTCGTATGTTTCCACGAGATAGGATGAGACCAATAAAGATGCTCGGTTTCTTCAGGTATCCGATTTGCAAGGAAGCACCGAATGCTCGTTATGGCAAAGTTGCTGGAAAGCGTGTCCAGTGGTGTGATGATGATAATGCTCGGCGGTAGCGGCAGGTGTCGAAAAAGGGTGTATTTCTGACTGAGGAAGATCGCGCCGGGAGATCGAGACAGCAGCCTGTATAGTGTTCGGCGGTGACGAGAGGAGGTCCAAAGGTTGACCTTCTGATTCACAACTCTAAATAGTAATAGAGTGGGGTTGAGATGGTCAAGATATGGTTTTACAACAGATACCAGAGAGAGAGAGAGAGAAAAAAAAAAAAAAACTAAGTCTAGGTCGCAAAGATAGGTAGGAATAGCTGGGGTGAGAGCATGAGGTGCTTCAGCGCATCGCAAACTAATCAGTATCAGGGCATTAAAGGTGCGAACGGAAGCTACTAGCGTACTGCCCTGCGAATTCTGCGACAACCGAGGACTGCCCGCGAGCGTGAGGGAAGCTCGCACCGCACCGAAAAAAGTGGACGATGCCGGCCGCCTCTTGGCTTTTCGTCAGGTCAGGTCCAGTTGAGGAAACCAGGGCGTTCTCTTGCAGTGGCAGTCATCCATGCTCCACAGGTGGAGGCATTTGGGGGCACTGCACTTTGTAGGGTAGAGGTACACTGCATGCGGGACCTAGACATGAGGCAACACCTACCCCACCAAAAGATAATGACCAGGTTCTCCATCATCGGAAACCTACCTCTACCTAAACAGACTTGAGATGCAAAGGGAATCAAAGCGGTATGCTACTACAAGCTCTAAGGGTCGTCGCAACGTGGACGGAATGGTTCGTGTCACCGACAGCGTAGAGCCTGCGATCCAGATCCAAGAAAGTTCAAATGCGACCAGAATTTATCGGTTTCCGTGCCTTTATCGTTTCCCCCAATCTGCCTACCTGTCGTCATCCCGAGTTCTCCATCCTCACCGCCCGACCGGGGTTAGGGGTGTGGGTGATTAGTCTTGGCACATGCGACTGTTGAGGAAGCACAGGCCAAGTGCCCCAGTGCACCAGTCTCCGCAGCCGCCGCAAGGCCGCGCAGGAGCCAACAGCCGAGCCGGGGCTACACTAGTGTGTCCCTAACACCGTGAAATTTTTGGCCCAGCTTGAAGTTCCTGTCCCGGGCGCGGGTCTATGACAAGCTTGATCGGAACGGATATTTTCATATCGTCGGACAGCTCTCTCCCCATCCAAAGCGACATTCAACCAACCAGGCTCCGGGACCGTCAACTGGCGACAAACTCGCGTCCACCACCCATCCGCAACCCTTTCGTCCCCACGCAACACCACTGCAGTCGAACGACACCATCCGTTGCGTCCTCGATTCCCACCAACAACGTCTCGTCGTCCTTGTCTACTGCGACCGTTACAATCATGGCTTCGTTTTCCACCGAGTCGCCTTTGGCGATGCTGCGCGACAATGCCATCTATTCGAGCCTTTCCGATGCCTTCAACGCCTTCCAAGAAAGGAGGAAACAGTTCGGTCTTTCCAACCCCGGCACGATCGAGACCATCGCCCGCGGTGCGTTGCTGCCACCATCCACATCCAGCCTTCGAAGATCCCCGACGCCGTCGGCGGGGAGTGCGCGGAAACAACATAGCGTTATACTGCGGCACTCCACGACGCTGCACTGGCCGGCTCTTTGTTGGAGTAATGGGCAATCATTGCTGACAATGCCTTGACAGAGGTCCAACGCGATACCCTCCTCACCAACTACATGTTCTCTGGCCTCCGCGCGGACGTCACCAAGGCTTTCAGCCTCGCCCCTCTGTACGTTGGTTTATTCTAATTGTGGGCTAAGGATCAAAGCAGGCACCGCATTGCCAAGTAGGAACATTGTCCGCTTTGCGCATTTGATCCTGGGGTTTTGAGCAGCTATGGTTCTGGCAAATCTTCTTTGAATAACCGCTGACCGATAACCCAAGCTTCCAAGTTTCCCACCAGTTTGCCATGGGTGAGAGGTTGAACCCTTATGCCTTTGCTGCTCTCTACGGAACCAACCAGGTATGCGCTTGGAGTATACCCGGGACTAGAAAGACCAGCTTTTAATCCGCATCAACAGATCTTCGCTCAGGGTAACCTGGACAACGAGGGCGCTCTCTCGACAAGATTCAACTACAGATGGGGCGATAGGACCATCACCAAGACGCAGTTCTCGATTGGTGGCGGCCAGGATATGGCCCAGTTTGAGCATGAACACCTTGGCGACGACTTCAGTGCCTCCCTCAAGGCCATCAACCCCTCTTTCCTTGACGGCGGTCTCACCGGTATTTTTGTCGGCGACTACCTCCAGGCCGTCACTCCCAGACTCGGCCTCGGTCTCCAGGCCGTCTGGCAACGTCAGGGTCTCACTCAGGGCCCCGACACCGCTATCTCCTACTTTGCCCGCTACAAGGCCGGTGACTGGGTTGCTAGCGCTCAGCTCCAGGCTCAGGGTGCTCTCAACACTTCCTTCTGGAAGAAGCTGACGGATAGGGTCCAGGCTGGTGTTGACATGACCCTATCTGTTGCTCCCTCTCAGAGCATGATGGGTGGTCTTACCAAGGAAGGCATCACCACCTTTGGTGCCAAGTACGACTTCAGAATGTCCACCTTCAGGGCTCAGATCGACTCCAAGGGCAAGCTCAGCTGCTTGCTCGAGAAGCGTCTTGGTGCCGCCCCCGTCACTCTGACCTTCGCTGCTGATGTTGACCACGTCACTGTAAGTCACATGGCCTCTTCTATGTACGCTTCTGCTAACCCCCTTCAAGCAACAAGCCAAGCTCGGCATGTCCGTCTCCATTGAGGCGTCTGATGTCGATCTCCAGGAGCAGCAAGAGGGTGCCCAGTCCCTTAACATCCCCTTTTAAACTGGAATATGTATATCGGGGATGAAGAACACTGGTCGATTGGGCCAGCATCTGGTTTCCGCTCCACCCTTGCACTCTACTCATTGTGTTGACAACGTAATCTAATCACACACGATGCCCACCTTGTACCAAGGAACAGAAAGGGTGAGGGTCATAGCTTTTCACCGTCCCTCACTACCAACGCCATTTCTGTTTTTTGACCACATTCTCATCACATCATCTAGTACAAGCTGGTCACGGCGAGTTGCCGTGGGGAAAATCGAAAGTCGGACGTTGCGAACCTCCCCATCGCAATGATCCCACATGACTTGGGTCTTTGCATACGAGTTTTACGGAACGATAGACATCTCTCACCACATTTTCCACTTTAAAAAAGAAACTTCCTCTCGCGCTATGCATCTCATCACCCGGCGCTTTTATCTATGGTTTTTCCCTTGGGAGAGCAAACATGAAGGGGAAAACTTTTTTGTGTATTATAGACAGGTCAATCAGGGAAGGGCGTGTGCATTGTTTCTACGGTCTGCGCATTCTCGGGGTTGACTAAAACTTTGGGGACGGGCAGTACGTTTGTGTCATGAATATGAAGAAGGTTTACATACTTCTTGTTGCAGTTGTATTTCGTTCTTGGTGCTATTGCACATACATCTATCCAGCCATGTCAACAGTGAACGGGTATGAAATTCTAAGTGGGGTTTGGAAACATTGGGAGGAATAACACAGACTTTCGTGAACGAAGCGATCATTTCACGACGATGCCTACCTCGCTCGATAAACAATATGACACATCACCTGCGGTATGTCATTACGCAATAAACAAAACACATGAGCACGACATCTCGATTTGTTGTTCCTCCATTGCATCGCACAAAACCTACCTAGTTTCAATCCAGATCACCAGCATTCTCACCATCCTACTCCATCAATAGCATCGTTGCCATTTACCAAGACGAGCTTCCCTGGCCGTGAGCACTTCGATTATAGGAGTAAGCGCTGACCAGAATCTCAACGAAGCGGGATTGTAGTATAGTGGTCAGTACTTCTCGTTGTGGTTCGATTCGATCATACAACGATCCGAGAGGACCCAGGTTCGATTCCTGGCAATCCCAACTTTTTTTTTTGCTTTTTTTTCGCTTTTTTTTAGTTTGTTCCTTCAGCCTACCACCTCCTTCCTCTCTTGGAAAAACATAGATAGGTAGGTACAGCACGTAGCAATGTCTAGGCAGTATTGATTTTGTCGTTTTCTTTTGAATTTCAATCCTGTTTTTTTTTTTTCTTTTTAAGTCAGCGGATGTTTCTTGGATAGCACAGTGCTGGGTGTGCGAATGGAGTCCACACGGAAAAACTCAGATAGTGTGGTAGTGTTTCTTTTAGTTTGACAAGTTATCAATCTCGACATATGTGAACGGCGACTATGAGAACAACAACCTTTCCCGTTCCATATGTCGAGGTAATTGAAGCTATCAGGTTTTGACATTCCTGGTGGTGCTGGGGGCCTAAGACACGATGGGACACGCTGATTATAATTCACGGTCAAGTACCATAACCGTTTCATGCTCCTGGCAAAACCAACAAGACACGCATATAAAACAACGGGAGACCGCAACACAGACAGGCGCGGGAAAACTTACTTGCTTCTCAGCATACCTGTGCATGATCTACTAGTAGTCTCCCGGTTTTTTCTTCTTCGCTTTTCTATGCCTCGAAGAATCAAGTAAAGCTGAGAAACATGATCTCGTAGCTGATACACCAACGCCATGCCATGATGTAACGAAGAGACGACAGTCCCAACGCGGAAATGCTTTAAGCAGCCAAACCCAGCCAGCCCCGGAGAATGCACCTTCCCATCCTATCCGTCCATTCCCTCCCGCCCAGAGAAAGACAAAGAAAGCATTAAACCCGAGTGCTGGAAAGTCCTTACATGACAGCGCACTCCCGATCAGGGACGCCATCCTTCCCTGTCTCCTTACTCTTACCCAACTTATCTCCCTTCTCCTTCTTGCCCTCCTTATCCTTGCTCTTCTCCTTCGTATCATCCTTATCCCTACCCTTGTCCTTCTTAGACTTCCGATAGTGGTGTAGGTGGTGATGGCCTTCCTTATCCTTGCTCTTCTCCTTCTGGTCCTTATCACTCACATCCTCAACCTCCTTGACCTCCTGTTGCTGCTCATCACTGCCCCCTTCCGATGAGTTACCAGCGCCGCTGTTGGCATCCTTGTTGAGCGCGTCCCTACTGGGCCGCGTCAGGCCCCATCGCGAGATGGTAAGACTAATGCGGGTTTCGCCAGCCTGGCTGGTGGGTCGGGATTTGCTCTTGAACTTCGCTGCTGCCCGTCCAAGTCTCGTTGAGGTACTCTCTTCCGGTGGTGTAGAAGGTTGGATTGATGGTGCGCCCACATCACTAGGAGTGATGGCTGTTGTTGTCGTGGTATCGGAAATGGCAAGACTGCCGCGTCTGGATCTACCTGCCCGCAAACGCCCTGCGCTTCCTGTTCCATATGGATCATCGTCAAGACTGAGACGCGCGGGCCGTTCAAGCTCTGTACTAAAGCGAATGTTGGGACCGCCACCGTTGTGTACGAGGGTTGACGCGGAGTCAAAGTAACCACTAATCGACCTTGACATCCCGCCTGGCCGCTCCGGAAGGGGTTCCATGCTTCTTGGCGTCCCTGGTACACCGGTAACCACGGTGGTCGATTCGTTGTAGGAGGGTGGCTCGCCAACAGACCCATCAGTAGAGGCTGTGGTGACGTCCACCATCGGGACGATCTGGTAAAACAGCAAGTAGGGCATCTCTTGTCTGAGAGAGTCTCTAATATCGTCGACATAGGACACTCGGTTGTCCAAATCCAAATCGTCGAACTTGACCCATTGTGCCTCCTCGTAATCCGGCGGCGGGTCATGTTCATAACGGCGATTGTCTGTGAGAAGTTTCGGTGCCACACGAGCAAATGCAACATAGTGCCCGCTGTGAAGAGAGTCGCCGCGGTGGCAGACAACCGATTGAAGCACGAGTTTGTACTCTTGACTTAACCCATTGGACTGCTTTTCATCATCGTCTGGCATCATGAAGTGCGGCAGCCGCATGGAGTCAGGGATATCGATGAGAGTATTCTGTCGAATCGGAAAGCCGGTTTCTGTCATGGTATACCGTTTCAAGCAAATGCCGACCACCGGTCGTTGGTTAAAATGCCGTGCAACCTCGACATCGTTGCTTGGTTCACCATTAGAAGCAGCAGTTGCATGCCATGCTACATTGGATTTGTCAGTTGACCAATCAAATTCCATGAGACTTCCATCCAGGGGGGGTCACACTCACGAATTAACCTGAAGAACTGCCAGGCAGGTATTGTCACGGCCTTGACTACAGTCGAGCTTGTCCTTTTGGCCTTCTGGAGCAGAGTTTTGTTCTCTGCATCCAGTGGGGGCTTTCTGTCCTCCACCACGATGCGCTGTATAATACTAGTAGAGCGGTGTCGAGGCGCGGCTGGTAGCTCGGGTCTTGCCGAAGTGATATCAAGCATTGAGACCGGAGTGCGTGTCGTCGAATCCTGTGATGTCCATCTTCGCTGCAGATTTGGGCTATTGTCGCCTTGGTCGCTCGCTTGACCATCTTCATCCTCGCTTAAGAGCCGTTCAGTTTCGCGTGGGAGAGGGCCCCTTTCGTCATCCCCCTTCTTTTCCTCCACGCTATCTCGGAAAACGTCGACTTTGTTGTTAAAATATTCTTCAAGGCAGTCTTCCAACTTGATACCCTTCCCATCAGGATCCGGGGGAACGGCGAGGTTGAGTAGTCGCTCGTGGACAACTTTGTGATCGTCTTCGTCCTTTTTACCTTGGTGAAAGAGATCGACTTGGAGAGCTAGGAGCGGCAATTGCAAGGTCTCAGTGATGAAGGCGAATGCCTCTGATGTGTCTTGTTGTTCGAGTTCCTGGGCCTCCTCCCATCCACAGGCCGCCAAGGATTCTTGGATGAGCTGGGTCTGGAAAAACACGATTAGTTTATGGAGCCACATCCATCGCCATTCCCACATACCATATCTGTGTGTATCAACATCCCACTCCTGAGCATGTTGACCCATAACCTAAGTAGTGCTGCTAGCCTCCCATGGTTCTCATCTGCCGGATCGTTCTTCAACATGCATTCAAAGGCTGAAAGCTTGGCAAACATGGCAAACAACAAGGCATCGAGGTAGCAGGTGACGTTCCCCCGGTTTTCTGCGCCTTGCATGCTAATTTTGGGGTTGTATGGTTGTATGATCCCAGCAAAGGCTTTTTGCTGGAGTCGGATAAGTTCAATCGCTTTGTCGATATCGCCGTTGGCAAATTTAGAGTTGAGTGAGAATCGGACTACTTGTTCTGAGATTTCGGTGTAGTTAAGCTCTTCTAACTGCCTGGTGATTTCGGCAATCTGTAATGTATCGTTGTCACATCAGTAACCTGCCTCAAAGCAGCCCCGGCAAATTATACACATACCTTTGAAGCCTCCTTTTCTACCTCTCCTTTTTCTCGTAGTGCCTGCTTGACGGACTCGGGCCTGAATATGGAAAGCCATGCCATGTCACTCAGGGGTCGGCTCTGTGCAAAGTCAGATGCGGAAGACGGACAGCTGAAGGAAAATGAATGACAACGAACTTTTGGGCCTGGCTCTGTAGATTTGTTCCTCCGATGAAGGTCATTTTTTTCACGTACACTTCGAAACTTTTTGGGCACCAAAGAGGTGGTTTTGGTGCCCTTCAGTTTCTCCATGATGGATCCTGGACAACGAGGTTAAATGATCAAAGCTGAGTGATTGTGCAAAATCAGGCGGTCAAAATAGGCGATGATTTCTGAAATTGTGCTATTTCATGATCTGGGAACCAGAGAAAGTCAGGAGGTCGGTAATTGGGCGCTGGGCGACGTAATAATCGAGCGTCAGGACGTCGAGAGAGCCCTGATGGGCAGTGACGGTCGAAGCTGTTCCAGCCCTGTTTAAGGCCTGCTGAAGTCCCTGACGAGACGCTAAGCACGCCAAGGTACGCGCCTAATGTGATATATTCGGGTTCGTCTCGTTGTTTGTCGGTCTCTGGTCGCTCGGTGTTGTGTACGGGTATGGGGCTGTTGTGCACTGTTGTGTATTGGGTAAAAGTAGAGGTTGTTCTGGTGGTCTAGACCCTACGGTGGCTTTAGGTCTGGCTCGCAGGGCAGTTCGAGGTAGTGACTATAGATTTAAACCCAGATGATTGCGCATAGGTAGGGTTCGGTGATAGGGTAGGGTCGTGGTACGCAGACGGCGAACGGCGGACGTCGAGGTTCGGACGAGGGCAGGCTTATGACGACGTCAATGGGCACGGACAGACCGACGGGAAAAGTCTGGGGAAGCGGGCTGGATTGCGAAAAATAAGATGGAAGGTCGAGAGATAAGGTAAAAGGTACGCTTGGTTATTGGATGTCTGGTATGGGGCCCCCGCTTTCTTCGTTCGGGGTCCTGGATTCCTGGACTGCGTCGTCGGACTGTACGTAGAGGTACTTGTTAGATCATATCTGCACATTCGACTTGCGTAAGGACATGCCCTGAGGCCCAGTGATGCTTCGAAAAGGACATCCGCTATCAAACCGGCGCGTTGACAAAACCAAGCCTCAAGAAGCCTGCTGCGCCTGGAAATATCGTGGAACGCATGGTGGGGGTAAACATACCTTGAGGAGGGGTTGTCGGGTTTGGTTCCTGTCCCAGTGGAAATGTTCCAAAGATACCATTCGGGGAAGATTCGCATGACGGACGGCCTACCTAGCCCCTGACGAATGACGGGGTGCGTGGTTGTGGCTCTGTTCTAGCGCTGGATGCGCTAGAGTAGCGTATGTAATCATTGCTGGAATAGGCCTAAACAGATCGACATTAAGCGGACAATTAGTCTACCTACACTAAAGGTTGTGCGCATGGATCACGCGGCTGAGGATCGGCTGCGCGGGGCAATGACGATGGGAACCCGACATCACCTAAGAGCAAGTACACTAAAAAATTCGAGACAACCTAACATCTGATTCCCGTCTCCAGGCAGCTCGCTTTCTTCCTTTACATGGGCAAAATGGAGATTTCCCATGGAATATTCCATGCAGCAGGCAAACAATCATCGACATACTGACTTCCAGAGACGAAGACGGGGTAGCCACCATTGATACACCTCCAGCCCTAAAGTCTTCCATCATTCAGATGGATAGCTCTTTTGTCTGATGCCCGGACCCCTTGTGCCCTGATGTCATGTTTTCCAGTTCCTGTTCTATGGTGCCTGACCTACCGTGCCTCCTTGTGATTCGCACTTCATCACGTTCCCAGTCTTTCAGTGGTGGTTGGACGCAGAATGGCTACCTACACTGAAGGTAGCGAGGGCAATTGGGTTAGTATCTCCATACTGTGTAAGTGGATGCCTATTTCATCTGTTTCCGTGTCTAACTGGAGCGTTTCTGGCAGAATGACGATATGACGGCCGACGTTGAACATCATGGTCCCCTTTCTCCAGTTTCAACGTTTCTTGGGCTCTTCCAGGCAACAGATTTCATTGGTGTTGTGAACACTACACTAGCAGCGCTAGCGCAACGCCGCTGTCAGTGGAGGCGACATGCGGAACAGGGAGGTACCATGGCTTTGAATCCCCTCGTTGGGTCCAACCCCAACAACCTTCGCGGCGCCAATGGATCCGCTTGTATCCCGTCTGAATGACTCCTCCCAATGACGTTGATTAGCTTTTGTACACGGGGTTCGCCTGAGACCGCGAACGCTGCGTATTCAGCAACCCAGCTTTACTACCTTTATGTGGCAGGATCCTAGCTAGGATACTGTTGACAGCTTTTGCTACTTATCTGCCTTGTTCCAAGGTTGCCGTCGTTGGGTTACCTCCCTGTGGTAGCGAATACGGTGACGACCTCAGTCTCAACCGTAACGCACATAGGATTCGTAACCACTCATGCTTCTTGTGGGTATCGTGACCAGTTGCTAGGCATCAAGGTGCGCTGTACAGTATTACTCATATGAGTGGAACGCAATGGACAGATGACTGCGAGCAAACGAAATTCGATTTCTATACATGTTGACCAAGGATACAAAGTACTGTGATACTGACAACCCCCAATGTGGAAATCACGGCTTCTCCACAAGGTACTGTTCAAAACAGAAAACAGATTGAAACATGAGCAAATACTTATGGAACAGCACAACTGTTTTGGTGTTGGTTTGTTAGCTTGATACACTAGGTATTCCAGGTAGTGTACTCTAGACGAAGTCTATCCTAAATAGTCCCAAAGCTTAGAAGGACAAATCAAACTGGCAGAGTACGGATGGTAAAGACATTGACAAGAATTCAGACAATATATTTAACATCCAAAATGTCATTTCCCTGGTAAGACTACGCATTAGTTAGATTTGAAAACGCCCAGGAAAGTTGCCACAAAGTCTTCCATGAGCTGACAAACAAACCAGTATCAGACCGTACACTGATAGTGGAGTTTTTACGGGAGTGATTACCCCTACCCTACGCGAGTCCCTCCAATCCAATTCCCTTGAATTCATTCCTCTTGGGGTACACAAACTCCTGAGAAGTTCCGATTATAGACGGGAGCTTAAGTGGAAATATCTCTTCTCTAGCTCTACTTTACACAATTCGAACACGCCGAGTATTGTAAACCGGTTCATTGCCAGAGGTTGTGAGTACCCGATTATGACAGGACGGTGGCATCGACATTGGGAATACAACCTTCAGGATCTGCATCGACAACGAACTTTCACAATGCTACCAGTCTTCGGATCTGGCCGGACAACGTCGAACGGCACACTATGTGATTGATTCACTCAGCCTGGTAGACCTGGGTCTTCTGTCGTGAGATCCAGAGTCTCGGAACTGAAACTCTCTCTGTTGTGGTTCGATGATCAAGTTGCTTGGCGGGCCTTCCCCGCAGTGCCCGCTTCCTCAGCTCGCCGTTCGGTCACCCTGGCGCCCAGGCGCTCTCCACACCCCCCAAGCAATTGACTCCAATTGACTGCCGGCGGGAGACATTGTGCCTCGGCATCGGCATGGATGGGCTGGCTCCTTAATCCGGGGTAGATCGTCTCTCCCCGGCGGGAGGAAGACCAGCTTTAGTAAAATCGAACGACATTCCCATGAAATGTCCGCTTTTACTCTGGTTCCCTCCCTAATGCTGGCAGCTCTGATTGATTCATGATCCTTTCTTCTCCATTACAAACCACCTGTCTTCTTTGCTTCATTTGTTGTTGATTGACATCACCGCCCAATCCAAACATCATCATGTCTACCCAGATTCCCATCGCTGTAAGCTATCCGTTACGCACTGCATCTCACCCACTCCAATTACTGAACATTCATCTTCTGCCTGTAGGTTCGCAATCGTGTTAGTGAGCGAGCCAAGAAGACGCTGGACGTCGTTGCTCGCTTCGTGGAGGAGGACTGCATCCCGTAAGCATCATCTGCATGGATCCGGTTTCTGTTCGACATCATACCTGTCTAACACCGGCCTGTCACAAGCGCCGATACGGTCTATGAAGCCCAAATCGGCGTTGGAGACGCAAGATGGGAGGCCCACCCCCAGATCCTCGAGGATCTTAAGGCCAAGGCAAAGTCCTTGGGCCTGTGGAACATGTTTCTCCCCAAGGGTCATTATAAGGAATCCCCTGGCTTCACCAACCTTGAGTATGGATTGATGGCTGAGTGGTTGGGCAAGTCCCGCGTTGCATCCGAGGCCGTCAATTGCGCTGCTCCCGACACTGGTAACATGGAGGTTCTGGCCAAGTACGGTAACGAGGAGCAAAAGGCCAAATGGCTGAAGCCGCTTATGGACGGCAAGATCCGCTCTGCCTTCTTGATGACTGAGCCTCAGGTGGCTTCTTCGGACGCCCGGAACATCGAGATGAAGATCACCAAGGACGGCGATCACTACGTTCTTAACGGCCAGAAGTGGTGGTCAAGCGGCGCCGGTGACCCTCGCTGCAAGGTCTACATTGTCATGGGCAAGAGTGACCCCAACAACAAGGATCCCTACAGGCAACAGTCCGTCATTATCGTTCCATCCGACACCAAGGGCATCACCATCGAGCGCATGCTTTCCGTTTATGGCTATGACGATGCTCCTCACGGTCACGGCCACATCACCTTCTACAATGTTCGCGTGCCAGCAGCCAACCTCGTTCTTGGCGAGGGCCGAGGCTTTGAGATCATCCAGGGTCGTCTGGGTCCCGGTCGCATTCATCACGCCATGCGCACGATCGGTGCCGCTGAGAGGGCCTTGGAGTGGATGCTCATGCGCATCAACGACCCCAAGAAGACGCCCTTTGGAAAGCAGCTGCGGGAACACGGCGTCATCCTGGAATGGGTCGCCAAGTCTCGCATTGATATCGATGCCGCGCGCCTTGTCGTGCTCAACGCCGCCATTAAGATGGACGAGCAAGGTCCCAAAGCGGCGCTCACGGAAATCGCCCAGGCCAAGGTCCTTGTTCCACAGACGGCTTTGACTGTCATCGACCGCGCTGTCCAGAGCTTTGGTGGTGCGGGTGTCAGCCAGGATACTCCCTTGGCTAATATGTGGGCTCAGATCAGAACTCTAAGACTGGCTGATGGTCCGGATGAGGTCCATCTGCAACAAATGGGTCGCAACGAGAACAAACGCGGTAAGGCCGTGACGGACAAAATCAATGCCCAGAAGGCCAAGGCAGAGGAGTTGAGGAAGAAGTATGGCGCCAAGCGCACTGAAATTGGATCAAACATCAAGCACTCCAAGCTTTGAGTTGTGCAGTCCTCTTGGCCAATTGTTACAGCGTTCCAATAGAAATCTAAGTTATGTCAATCATTCAGAGACTTTCTGATAGGTCTGTGTATGCTGGAGTATGATGGAGTCGTTGCTGGCTCTGTGAAGGAGGTGACCCGTTGAAAACCCATACAGGGCCTCGGGTCCCATTGAGGCGAGATATGGTATTACCGTCCAGTGTTCGGTTTCTCAGTTTGCTCGGAATTTGATCATTGTCCATTTCCATGTTCTGTTGACAACATCCCAAAATTCTCCGAGGAGCGAGACAACACAGCAGGCCCAGACGCAGGGGCCACGTTCCTGCGTCGGACGGGAGCGATCAGTGATGATGTCTTGTGGGTCCAAACAGCAAGGGAGGGTCATCAAGGTGGAATGAACGAGCCCGTTGCCCGGTCGCTGTCGCCCAAACAGGCAGTCTGTCAACAAATTTTACCACCGACACGACGGCTATCATTACCAGCATTCCACATGGCAACTACTCAATCCTTTACTCGTCATTAGATTCTCCCCTTCCTTCCGCACGATCTTTTAAGCCAGCTATACCCTAAATCCAACAAACGAACCTTTTCCGGACCTTGGCATCATCAAACCGCCCACTGTTTTGCCGATCTTGGACTTGCCCCGCGCATCAACTTTGACTTCGACAGTCGCATCTGATTCACTCCCAAACCGTCTGCGCCCAGCCTTCGAATCGAAGAAAACCAGACCACTTCAGCATTTCAGTCTCTCTTCACTTTCAAAAACCACTGGAACGCAGTGCCCATCCTTGAATTCTTCCACGTAACCACCACGGTCTCGCGCACAACCCCCACTCGTCTGCCATAACACCCAAATCACGATCACCACTTCTGCGATCAAGATGTCTTCTAACACCGCCCTGTTTCCCAAAGACGCCAACATGGCAATGGATACTGCTATGTCCGGCGAGCCCATGGATATGACGCCCGAACAAAAACCCACCTTGTTTGCCGCTCCCTCAGCAGACAACAAGGCGACCGATACGTCAGCACCCATCAACAAGTCCGACTCGATGAAGACCTTGGAATACCACCGCCAGGTCTTGCAAAACAAGATGGAGATTGAGTATGCAACTTCCCCAGTACCACCCCCCCTCCCCCTGTTACCACGTACCTTACTAGTATAGTCTTCTAAGTAGCTAATACGGTTCATCTACAAAGCCACACCAAGTACGTCTCTCCGTCGGACAACATCATGAGTCCCTGCACCGCCAAGCTCAGCGCCTTTCGCAGCAAGCAGGCTGGAAAGTATGTTATACCAAGCTACTTCCCCCATGATGGTGATGATGATCATGATCATACCGTCACAATATACCTGCCCAGTTATGCTAACGCCTGGCTTTCTGCCTAACAACAGGGTCAAGCCGAAGTCGCTCTTCGCCCAAGCGTCGGCTAAGAAACTCGAGGGCACGACGGCCATCGGCAACACAGGCACCACAGGCACCACCAACAACGGACTTTTCGGGGTGAAGCAGGATTAGACGACTGCTACATCCACTTATTTCCTTTCGATTCCGTGTGTTACATCGTTTGCGATGCTAAGCGTAGCAGGCCGAGCTGCGTTGGCTTACAAGGACATTAGCGAGGCTTGCATTTGGCTAGCAGCTGTCTTTGTATGGAAGCCGGTGTCTTCCAGTGCGCTTCTGACATCATGAGAGTCCACAAAGATCTCTCTTTTAGAGTTGTCCTATCTCTTTCCTTTGTTTTTTTTATGACGTATCGCAACTAGGGCGTTTGGGCAAAATGGCTTCGGGGATCATGTGTTTTTCTGTTGTTACAGCCATCAGAGAGGAAGGAAATCAGAGGTTAGGGATGAAAGCAAACAGAGATGGGCTTATGTATGCGCCCATTGGGCGTCGTTTATGAATGATGGAATGATAACGACAAGGTAGCCAATATGACGGCTTCTACAACGGTAGTCCTAATGCCATCTTCTGTTCAAAATCGGCTGATTGTGTGGACGTGTGATGGATGTCGTGGATCTATTTTGTGACATGTTTGGCTTGCCTATACCATAACAGGCCAACTAAGCCTTCCACCCACTGACTATATACACGACATCCTCATCCGCCACCGGATGACCCAACCCCACCCTCTGGGGGATATGCCTAGCGCTGGCGCCCCAGACCAGGGCGTACTTGAAGGTCTCTTTGAGCGTCCTGTGGATGCGGTCGCACACGTCCTCGATGGTGCTATTACTTCTGACGATCAGAGCTTCGCTAAAGTCTGGGTCGGTGCCCTTGCGCTTGGTGTAGATGCGGATCAACTTGAGCTCCTTCCAGCAGCGGTCGATGACGTCCTGAATTCCCAGGTCGAGCTCGCAACTCATGACGCACGTGTACGGCTCACGCGCAAGCTTGTCGAGGAAGTCCAGGGACACGCTGTCGATCTTGTTGTAGACGTACAGGCACTTGATGTACTTGCGGTGGTCCTTCATGATCACGTCGATGAAGTCGTCGACCGTCACGTTCTCGTCGCGCACCAGGACTTCGCAGTTGAGGATCTTGTAGTCGCGCAGGATGTTCATCACCATTTTCTCGTCCAGTCCATTCTTGGGCGGCGTCTGGAAGGTGATCTTCATGCCGCCGGCCTTTTTGGGTTTGAGGTAGATGTTTCTAGGGAAAGGGGGATTATATCGTTAGCGTAGAAAAGTAACAAGGGAAGGATAAAGGGGGCGTACGGTGGCTCCCGGTTGAGTCTGATGCCTACAGCCTCCAACTCGGCCTCGAGGAGGGCCCTCTGCTCAGCACGTTTTGTGGCGTCCAAAACCATAAGAATCAGATCGCTTGTCTTGGCGGCGGAAATGACCTGTCTTCCTCTACCCTTGCCCTCGGAAGCACCCTCGATGATACCGGGCAGATCGAGCAGCTGGATTTCGGCACCGCCATATTCGAGCACACCGGGAATGGCTGTCAGGGTCGTGAAAGCGTATGAGGCGACTTCGGACTTGGTCTTGGTGACCTTGGATAAGAACGTCGATTTACCGACTGACGGGAAGCCGACCAGTGCTATACGAGCATCACCACTTTTGCTGACGTCGAAACCGGCACCTGGACCGCCGCCCGAGCCCGGTCCTGGCTCGAGTAGTTGAGCGCGGAGACGAGCGAGCTTTCTGTGGATGGGCGTTAGTGAGAGTCAATATCAAGGATGGCTTGGTGTAGACTCACTTACCCCTTCAAGAGACCCAAATGATATTCTTTGGTTTCACCAGGTCAGCAAATGATGTTGGAGACAGGTGATAAAGAGCGTACCAGTTGCCTTGTTCTCTGTTAAACTTATGTTAGCGTTTATGGCTTTCAGTCAATTTGTTTGCATAGGGACGTGGTCTTACTCTGGGTTTTCCTCATCTCCTCCTCAATCCTTGTACCTCATGGTCAGTTTGACTAACTTCATCAACTCGAACACGCAGGCACCGGGGAAGCGTCAATGGTGCAGCTTACTCCTTGATCTTTTCCGTAATGTTCACCATCTTGGGCGGCTTAGGACAGGTCTGTCCTTGGTATCACTTTACAAAAGAAAACAAAGACTGAAGCGATATGACTTGAGGTAAACACCAGGCTGGCAAGCTGATGAGAAGTGAATCGGCCCTGAAAGTGAAATTCAAGGTTGATGAATTACACGCTGTAAGGAACAGTAATATCAAACACATCAGTGCGCACCCCACGTTCCCAAGTGGCAGAATTTCCCGGACAGGAGGGGCAGCAGAAGTGGGTTTTGTCTTTCACCGCCTTTGGAAGACCCACAAAATCTGCGGGAGCGGAGTGGGTCTCTGCCAGCCAAGGTCGGCCCAGGCTTGGAAATTCTCCAAAGTCCAACACCCCTGGAATCTCGGAAAAGAGTCTGTGCTCTGCGAGTTTGGCCTAGACAACAAATCCTAGACCAAATTCGGCGTCATTGTCTTTTTCCACTTGTCATCGCATTTGCAGCATACGTATCCGCTACCCTCTTTCTACCCTGGCAACAACGCACGCGCATTCAAAAGGCCAACTGAGTACCGATACTTACTTTCGAACCAAATCGCCTCTGGAATCCCAATCCGACATACCATGGCCGAAGTCGATACCAGGCCAGAGGAGCCTGTCTCCGCCGTGATTGAACAAGCACAAGCCGGAGAAGACGCGACAGACGCGCAGACGCAGGAGCTTGCTCTCACCACAACCAACACCGAAGTCGCCGCCCAAACAGAGAAGAAGGTCAAAAAGATCATCCGGCGCAAGAAGAGACCGGCGCGACCTCAAATAGACCCGGCGCTGGTCAAATCCGAGCCGCCCCCGCAGACAGGAACAACGTTCAACATCTGGTACAATAAGTGGTCCGGTGGCGATCGCGAAGACAAATACCTATCCCAAACACACGCAAAGGGAAGATGTAATATCGCCTTGGATACTGGATACACGCGCGCCGACGGAGTAGCAGGATCATTCTTCTGTCTGTTTTTTGCGAGGGGCGTCTGTCCCAAGGGCCAGGATTGCGAGTACCTCCATCGACTACCTACAATTCACGACATTTTTAACCCCAATGTGGACTGTTTTGGGCGCGACAAATTCAGCGACTATCGCGACGACATGGGCGGTGTGGGCAGCTTTAGCAGGCAAAACCGGACGATTTACATTGGCAGAATCCACGTGACGGAGGACATTGAGGAGATCGTGGCGCGTCACTTTGCCGAATGGGGACAAATAGAAAGAATACGTGTGCTCAACACGAGAGGTGTGGCGTTCGTTACCTATTCGAATGAGGTAAGCCGCGGTTGCTAGCATTCTGCTTGGATGTTGAACTCAGTACTAATTCGCTGGTTACAGGCAAACGCCCAATTTGCCAAGGAAGCAATGGCCCACCAGTCACTGGACCATAACGAGATTCTCAACGTTCGCTGGGCGACAGCGGATCCCAACCCCATGGCGCAGAAGCGCGAGGCGAGACGCATCGAGGAGCAAGCCGCCGAAGCCATTCGACGGGCGCTGCCTGCCGCGTATGTTGCCGAGATCGAGGGCAAAGACCCAGAGGCGCGGAAACGGAGGAAGATCGAGAGCAGTTACGGCCTGGAAGGATACGAGGCGCCAGACGAGGTGCACTTTGCTCGGGGAAAGAATGCGGTCAACCCAAGGGGTCGCGAAGGGTACGAGCTGGAGGATCAGCAACTGCTGATGCTCGAAGCTGGGGAGGCTGGAGGGTGGGGACAGGAGCAGGAGGAAGAGGCATATCCTCAGGAACAACAACAGAGTTCCGGTGGGATCTTGTCTGGCAGCACGCTTGCTGCGCTACAGTCTGCTAGGGTTGCAGTTGCGGCAAAACCGAAAGCACCTGTCTCGGCGGGACCGCTGGTGGCTTATGGTAGTGACGATGACAGCGATTGAGACTTGACTGGGAAGAAGTTATTCGGTAATGATGATAAGAGAATGAGGCAGCAGAAGCCAGTGCATATGTGCCATTATTGGCATAGAAATAATAAGATACCAAGTTAAGAGCGTTCGAACATGTGACGTACAAGTTTGTGGTCATGATTTGACTCCTCCGCCCCCTTTTCCAAGTAAACAAAACCCGTTTCCCAATCACAATCCGTCCATGTACCCCTTTTCACCCTCGACTCCCGATGCCATCCGCCGGTCCCCCCCCCCCCCCCCCCCCCCCAACTTAACTGTTGAAGATCCTCGAATAAAGAACCTCATGCCTACCAATCCACAAATCCATAACCGGCACGCTCTGCCCCGCCTCCTCCACGCCTCTCTCCCACTCCTTCTCCATCAACGCCCCAATCATCTCCTGCACCTGCCTACTCGCCAGCGTCTTCTGCGCCTGGTAGGGGCCAAACATGCCCGCCCTCACTGCCGCACTCACCAGCGCCTTCACGTGGCTAAGCAAATAAACGTAAGCTGTCTGCTCGAGCGAGAGCCCGACGAGGGCGCAGATGGCACCGAAGAGGGGCGGGAGGTGGGCGGAGACGGGTGGAGGATCGTTCCACCCGCTACTTCTTCCGCCCGATGTCGATGGATTGCTGCTACTGCTGCTGCTGCTGCTGGTGGTGGTGGAAGACGGTGGCGCCCCTGCAGATCTAAGCAAAGCCGAGAAAGGCTTGAGAATGGCAGCCGCCGCTTCGGCAGAAGTAGACGAAGGCGGTAGTGACGAGGACAGAGAACGTTCCCAGATGGAAAGCAGCGCTCGGCCCTGAGCGACCGATGCTCGACGGCCGACGGTGCAGACGATGGTTGCGTCGAGGGTGTCGTCTAGCAGGGCGAGCTGGGCTGGGTCTCGGTGGGCGGCGAGGACGTAGGGGAGCGTGGTGGAGGCGTAGGAGGAGAGGGAGAGGGGGAGGAAAGAGGTGAAGGAGGGTGGTGGAAGTTTGGTTTTGGGTAGTTTGTTAGTGACAAATGATGTAGAATGCGAAGGGGAAGAAGATTTGTTGTGGGCGAGGTAGGATTCGAGACCGCTGCTGAAGGCGAAGGATCCGAGAGGCAGCGCGGAGTCGGAAAGGAGGAGGAGGAAGTGGTTGGCTGTGGAGTGGAGGATGGTTTGGGACGGGGAGGGGACTGGAGGGTTTGTGTTAGTGAGGGTTTTGTGTTATGATGAGAGTCTTGATTGATGGAGTCGAGTACAAGAAAGGAAAGGAAAGGGTAGAACAAGGTGCAACTCACCTAATATCACCCCAAGATTGGACTCTTGCACGACACTCCGCTGTTGCTGAGCCTGTCTTTGTCTCTCTTTGGCTTCTGCCAGGCGTCTTTCTAGATCGGCGATCTCATCTTCAATTACTTCGGCATCGTTGGATAAAGCTCTCTCATGTTGTAGTTGTGACATATTTACTGTCATGGACAAATTCGGTGTTATTTTTGCGCTATTCGTGAGGTGACTGGAGAAACTTCTCTTGTCATGGGTGGTGATAGCAACACACCGCTGGGTTCGTTGATGGTTGTTGTTGCTAAGAGGCATTTGTAAAGCGGGGCAACCCTGCGCTCTCTTATCAACGATGCATCGTTTCTTGCTATACCTAGAAAATCAATATTGTGGGTGAACGCCTCAATCGAACGAAGAACCAAGATGAGCGGAAACCATCGGCATCAGATGTGATTATTTGGTTCCATCGCTTCGGTCATGCTGTGGACTCGTCGCTAGCTTTTCTCATAAAAGATGGACGCCGAATAACACTATTATAATAGGCACAACGTAGCGATCCCTAGATAAGGAAACCCATATCCCCTTGACCCTTGAACACCACGCAATGCTTCCTCCTGTGATATAAACAGTGACCGTAACCCAACCAATTCCAGCCTGCCCGTTGCAGAACCGAGCTCATCTGACACCCGGCCTCTACTGAAGCCTTTCCCTTGCCACACGTTTGCCCGCCATGTACATATGAAGCTACAGACATTATCGCCACGAAGAATAAGTGGTATGTATACCTCTATTAAGGCCACAGGTTCTCCTTATTTCTGTCGCCCAGACCCCTCTCCCTTTCGGCTCTTTTGCGCTGCAATCGAGCAATGGCTGCTGCCCGGCGATCTGCGGGAAGTGTTGTGGATGCGGACGTCTTCGGAGGGGGTGTTATGCTACCGACGTTCCAGACAGAGCTGCTGTCAATGTCAAACCCCTCCAAACGCGCAATGTTTGAATGCGGCACCACATCTGGTTTGAAGGGCTCAAGATCCGGCACCTTGAAGGAGTGAGAAGTGGGAGCCTTGAATGGCTCAAGCTCGGGCACTTCGTTGGAGAGAGGCCGGGCGATACGCGTCATCCTAGCTGTTGGCAATTGAGAGCCAGCGTTAGCAGCAGCTGTTGCCGTCGCCTTAGTGCTCGTCCATGGCTTGTTCAGCTTCTTGCCTAGAATGTCCTCCAAGCTGGACTTTGTGCGGAGAGTCCTGGCAGCGGCAGATGTGCCGGCTGTCGTGGTAGTCCCTGCTGTTGTCCTATGTGAGGTGGCTGCCCGCTCAGGCTGGCTGGTCGTCCACAAAGGTGCTTGTTGCTTCGCGGCTTCACCGAATCCTAGAGGCTTTTTGCCCATGTCTGCCTCTACCTTCTCTCGAAACGCACGAGAAGAAACCAACGCATCGTCCTCGTAGCTGTACCGCTTGATGTCGCCCGTGTTGGTCCTGATTCTTTTCTGGGCTCCGGCAGCTGGTGCGGGAGCCAAAAGCCCTCGTTGAATGCTTGTTTTCCTGAGCGCATCTAGCTCCTTGAACAGCAATGTGCTCTCCTCCTCGGCTGATTCCAGGAACTTGAGTGCCTCTTCTCGGTCATTTGCCTCCTTGATCTTGTCGTGGCTTGCTTTCAATTTCGCCTCCAGGTTCTTCATCCGCGCCGCCCACTTGGACTCGATCGTCTCTGCCTTGAGGGTTGCAATCTCCTGCTGAAGTTCGGATATTTTGTCGTTCTTCTTTTCCAAAACCTCCCTCGCTTCGACATATCGGGATTTGGCGTCCTCCTTTAACTTGTTATAATCTGCCCTGAGTTTTTGAAGTTCATTGTCCTTGACCAGATTCTCATTCTTGGATTCGGCCAGCCGTTTCTCCAAGTCCTTGACCTTGAAATTGCTCAGCACCACCTCACTGTTGAGTTTCTTATTCTCCTCGGCGAGTGCGGTGGCTCGTTGCTCGGCGAATTTGAGTTCAGTCTTCATTCGGCCCCGCTCATCCCGAAGCTTTCCAAGTTCCCTAACCTGTGACCTAGCCTTCCTAAGCTCTCGCTGGGCCTCCAAAAGTGTCCGATGAGTTCTTGGCGATGCAATCCGTCGTTTGTATGAAGCATGGCTCCCGGCCTGATAGTCATTATGATCCTCTTCATCTTCGCGCAGTATCTCCTCCAATTCCTCGACCTGGGCCCTGTACTCTTGCGCCAAAGCCTTTTGCCGATTAAGCTCTTCTATCAAGCCGTTGTTGGGCTCGACACCACCTCGCTTCGAATAGACATTGACGTGGCGCGTCATCTCGGCAATTTGCTCCTCCATTTGCTGGACCCTCTCCTGTTCCTCCTTGAGCTTCTTGTTCAAGTCAACGGCCTCGGCATCTTTCAGTTTGGCGTAGGACTTTGCGAGTTGCTTATATCTAACCAGCTTCTCCATTTCCGCCCTCGCATCCGCGTGGTACTTTTCGAACTCGGCCTTCCAGTACCTTCCAGAACGCGAGTGTGGTTCGTTGAGATCGACCGTGGCATCTGTGATATCTGTTTCAAGATCCGAGTCGTCATAATACTCGACATCATCTTCATCCCATGCATCTTCGGCCGAAAACGTCTTGACACCAGGATCTGCGGTTTGCGGCCTGGTCCGTGAATTTTCGAGAATTTCGGTCAATCGGGTCTTTGGTTTCGAGGCCTGACCGTCGGTGCCAAGGCCACCCGTCGCGGTCAAATCCAGGGCCGAGCCCGCCTTAACGCCATGACCAAAGGAAACGCGTTTGCGACGGGCTGCGCCGACGCCTGGAGTCAAGAGAATGCCGTTGGGTTTCGTCGGTGATCGATGAGGACCGGGCATAGGGGCGGTTTTTTTCGAGTCTTTGGCGGGTGTGCCGAACAAGGCAGTCTTCAAGGCGCGCACAGCGAAGACCGGCGCTGGAGTATCGGGGACATCGAGCTGGTTGGTAGATTCATCTGGGCCAAATGGTCAGACTCAACAATGAGGAATAAATGCGCTGAGGCTCCTGCAATGGCCTGCAACCGTACCGGCATCGGGTGCGCCCTGTGCATTTTGCGCAGTCGAGTTATTGTTTCGCCGCAACGCCCAACTAATCATTGTGTCGGTCGGCGATGGATGAAGAAGCTGAAGCGAAGTCTAGCGCAGCATACTCTGGGCGGTCGGAGATGGGGGAATAGGCCCCTCGAATACGGTTCGCGCGATAAGGTGGGAGAGTTGGTTGATGGTGGCTGATGGAGGGTTGTAAATGGTAAGAATGAGATCGGATTCGCGCTCTGCAGGTGTGTTTGTGTCGCAGTCGGGAGCAATGGGAGTGGGAAGAACTAATCCTGTTTGATGGGCGAGTGGGTGATTTGTTTACTCTTTCCCTGAACAGGACAGACGGGAGCCAATGAGAATCGGGATGAGAAGTGGAGGACGAACGGGATAAAGCTGACCTGATGGCACGTCCCGCCGTCCGTTCCAGCGTCCTGTCAGTGTAGTCAGTGCTATTTCAAACAAACAGATGGGAGCGCGGCAAAGATCTCAATCCAGATTCCCAAGTGGGACTGCAGCGAGGGTCTCCACTTGTGCCTCTATTTCTTTGCTCCGACCCCACTTGCAAGTGTTCGCCACGGTCCATCCCTCGGTCTGAGAACCCGCTACCCAGCTACTACCTACATACCTAGAGGTAGGTACCTACTGTGAAGATAAGTATGTACAGTAAAGACCCCTGCAAGTGCAACCACCCCCAAGTGCAAAAACCCCCTAAAGTGCAAAAGAATTGGGTGGCCGGAATTGATTTCCCATACTAAACCTGCAAACTGCAAAGTGCAAAGACTCTAGCCCGGATTTGCACCTACAGGGGTCCAATCTTGGTGGGAGAGAACACTTATACCTATTTACCGAGGCTCTAAGGTCCCACTTTTTAATATAGCCGAGCGTCTTTAAGTAGCCGGAGGGGGCTTTATGGTCTGTGCACCAGATCCCCCAAGTGCAAACACCCAGAAAGTGCAAAGGATTTCCTCCGCCCGGATTAGTTGCACTTTCAGGGGTCATTACTGTAGTGTACATCGCAGGCGGAGTGTAGAGGGTAGTACTGGACTGTAGACCCGCTCACAGCGGTGGGAACTTGGTTAGTTTATCGGGACTCGCTGGGGGAACCTTATCAGCCAGGCTCGAGCTGAACAGCGGAATGGATGCTGTTGTCGTGGACTCGGGCTCTGGACCATCCTGTTGTTGGGGACATTCACGGGTCTTCATTTCCATTCCAAGTCACAGTTGGAGTCATCCAACGAGTCACACACTCACTTGTCCACTTCACCCATCTTCCATCCATCCATCTCCTCTGCTCCCACTCACTTTTGGAAACGCGACCGTTGACCACGTCACTTTGTTTCCACCCAACCTTCACCCTTCCCTTTCCCTTTTCTGAACCCAGTCTACCACGAGTTAAGATGGGCTCCGCTCAGTGAAGTCTCGCAGCCATCTCGGCTGTGTTCGTTGCATAAGGCCTAATACACCAGACCAACCCCTTTTCCACAACGACTAACAAGACTCACTGATTAATAACCAGGATCTCTGCCCAGCAGAACCGGGTCTCGCAATAATGGCGTGGAAGAAACCTGCCGGCAAGAAGAAGCCTGCCCAACAACAAACCCCCAAGAAGAACAATGAAGGCAACACCACTTTCCCGGGGCTCAAGGCCCCGGGGCAAACCCCACCAGCAAAGACTCATTATCAGGAAGTCCAGGAGAGTGAAGTAATGGTGCTGCAGGCCATCTATGGCGAGGACTTCACCCAACATGAAGCAGCACACGGGGCATGGCAGGTAGGATCCATCTCTCCTCTTCTCTTCCCACAATGTTGTTCACTAACAGACGTCCAGAAATCAGAACCCCGTTTTGACATCAAGATCAAACCTTCATCTGACCAAGAGCTTTCAGTAACACTGGGCGTTGTCATGGTGGCCACCTACCCAAAGACACCTCCACTGCTGACCATCAAGGATGACCACAGTCTTCGAGAGTCGACCAAGTTCAAGATTCAAAAGTTTGTGGAAACACAACCAAAGATCTACGCGCAAGCGGAACAGGAGATGATAGACCAGATTGTCGAAGGGATCCGCGATATCCTGGAGGAAGCTGCTCAGAAAAAGGTCCAGGGCCTGGAGATCCCCTCCTTGGAAGAGGAG